ACAGGGTTGAAAATTGGCCTTGAGTTTTGAGCATCTCGAGCAACTTGGCCAACTGGAGGCACACCAATGGTTATCACAGGGTTGAAAATTGGCCTGGTGCGGGTTGGTCTGTCGGTCGTTAGGGTGGTAGATATGTCAGAGTCGGGCAGTATAGCTGCGAATGCCTGAGTTGTGTTAGTTACTTGTTAGAATAGCATAATGAGAGACAACATACAATTGGCGTGCCTGTGACAACAGTCAGGGCGAAGGTTTGTGAAAACTTCATGATGAGATAGATGCGTAGAAATTGATGATATCCTGAAATGAAAATTGCGGAAACAACAGAATGTAGATCCTCTCAAAGGACTGCTTGGTAAAGTGGTGGATTGAGGCGAAGAAATATAGAAATGATGCTGATGTCCTGATGAACGGATAAGAGAGGAGAGAGTGGGAAAGCAGGATTATATACCCAATACCAATTCTTACCATGAGAACAACATCATACTAGACAAGCAAAGCCACAGAGGATTCTTTCATGATCCTTGGCAGGTTGGGGATATCTCAAGGAATCCTCATCCTCTATCTAGAAGCATTATGGTTGAAACAGCGATCCAATCCTCTTCAGCCATATATGGTAATTTGAGCATGAACCACGGTAGACAAATATATATCCACGTAGGTAGCAAGTACCTCGCCATATGTACCCCTGCATAGGTACTTACCATACTTTCCACGAATGGTCCAGAACCTATCAGATAGAGTTGTGCACCAGGTTCATCCCAGGTGTACGATACCAGCAGCGGCCGTGCCATTGGCTATTTCGTCGCCAGTTGCCATCATCATACCCGGGGTTCCTCCCGGTGTAGTCAAGAAGCTTGTTTGAAACATGCGAATAGCTTGAAGGATGGAAGGATTGGGAGCATCAGGGTTTGGATGGAAGCGATCGGACTTCCGGGAAAGCTGGGGCGGAATATAGCATTGTAGGGTCGTATTGCGAGGGTTCTGGACGTAAAGGCCTACTCATATATCGAACCTGATTTGTAGACAGCCAGTTGAAAAGAAAGTTGAGGCTTCGAGTTTGACAGGTGGTATTGCCAGGCTTTCACCTTACCTACTACAGTACGTGCAACTCCAATCACGTGATCCCCCCCCCCTATTGCAAGGGTCGCGAGAGCGCAGCGAACAGACCACTCAGAGTCGTCGTCTCGCCTTGCAGTCTTGCAAATCAAATTACTTATACACCATAAGCCTACGCGGCACATTGAATCCTACCGGAATCCAAAAAAGCTTGTCATGTCGCCCTTAGATAACTTCCTACCTAATCAGATAACATAGCTTCATACTTTAAATCCCAGGTAGGTACCGTTCCATGGTTGTTGTCGTGGTAATTGCACGTAAGAACAGATGGGATGGCGAGGCTGTAATCTTCAGCCCGAAACAAAGTGGGAATGTATAAAGTCGCGAGATGTTGACAACATCATGTTGTTCATCCAGGTGTTGTTCAGGTAACCATCACGTAGGTCCCCTCCGTAGAATGCGATAACCCAAGAAGTGCATCTGGATAATGTCCGGGGTAGAAGGCACAGCAAATGAAGGAGCTTGGCCCGCCAGGTTGGCTCGCTCTTGACAAAACACTTGTCTGCCACTTCATGGATCATTGTATCGAAGGATGAGGGTTGGCCTAGAACAGCAGGTCTACAACGTGCGAGTTCTTCGTCGGCGCCGCAAAAGTCAAAATAGTATTTTCTCCAAAAGGCTTGTCGTTATGAAGGCGGTCGTCTTGTTAGCATTTTAGACGGTAGGATTCGTGGCAGGATTCTAGGTTTTAGATTCGATGGGCGAAGGATGAATAACCAGTAACCTGCATATATCGGCTTGTTACTTCGCGGATAATCTCATCCGCTGGGCTCCGGATCGTACGTAAGCCCTGGTACCATCTCAATATTCTTGAGTCAAGCTGGTTTGCAGGGAAAGTTCGAGCCGGTTTCAATTGATGTGGCTGTGTTGGCAATGGTCGTGTCCCTATCTCGGTTTGGGTTGACATGAAATATATATGAGGGCTTGAGGCTGAGCGAAGTAGAGGAATAGAAGATCTTCATGCCATGACGATGGATCTGGTTCGGGAGAGGCGTATATACATACCTTATGTGGCGCGTTGTTTCTTCACGTCAGACTCTGGCGAAGCGCAGCAGTTTGAAACTCAGGAGTTGGTAATGACGTCCGAGCCCCAACGAACCATTGGAAATAATTTCAGGAATTCCCAGCTGCTGGGACTGGGGTATTTATATCTCTGGTTCCGGCGTGTAGATATATATAAACAGATGTCGATCATTCTATGCGACGTTCCTCATATCTACGAGAGCATGATTAAGCTTAGGTTTGCTCATAGCATCTCCATCTAAGATCATGTCAAGTCTCATCGTGTGCGAAGCAGCTCCAATCCACGCATAACCCAATGCGCCACGACACCAGCCACTATGTGCATACTCCGTATGAACTTCAATCGCAAATTCTGTATGTACTAAAGGAAAAATTGGAGAACGGGCAGAAATTTGTACATTGTGGCATTTATGATTCTAGATTTAGATGCCAGTGATTTCTTCATCAACAAGGGTATCATCATCAGCACCACGTCTTCCTGCGTTTGCGGTGGTTCCAGGCTCGACGAGGTACACTGTGATGATAAATTAGTATTCCGTCACAATCCAGGAGATTCAGGGAGACAAACCGTTCGGCCGAATAAACCAACTAACCAAAAAGGCCACGCCAAAGGACGCACTCAGAACCACAAACACAGCTTGCGGTAGCGTCCCCACGGTTTTCGAATATATCGTATTAAATACTATGGGAGCCACAATCCTCGCCAATGCGTGCAATAACCCTGTAGCTCCCAGCAGCTGTCCTACTTTATCATGTGGAACGTGCTTCGTAAGGGCTGACTGTAGCGTAGGACTACCAATTCCACCCAGTGCAGCAAGAGCTCCCGCAAGCACGAAGAGTTTCCCATCGCCAGCGAGGGCATAGCCTCCATATCCAAGGACCTCGAGGAAGATTGCTGTGCGGATGATGGCCAGGTCCAGGAAATCGGAGCCGGAATGTGGTTCCGGGACCGCGAATCCTGACTCTCGGCGCTGTTTGTTGGCGCGTCGAGTGCGGACTAGATAACCCAGGAGAGGAAGGACAATAATAAGCCCACTGACTCGAACTATGTTCACCGCGGATACAAACTTGGAAGTATCTGCAGTGTCCCAGCTAAAACGCATGCCGAGATAAAGAACAATGACCGTCATCGACCCCATAGCGACACCGAAGATGATGGTATCGACAGCTGAGAGCAAGACAAGGTTTACACGAAGACGGCGGGAAGTTCCAGGGCCAGTGGGCCAGAGTATCTTCAAAGGTTCAAGGATATTGGCACGTCTCAGTGCCCATGACAAGTTCCGAACAGCTGGCCCAAGATCGGAATTCTCGGCCGCGGCTACGGCTGCGGCATGTTTATCCTGCGCTATCATTTGGCGTTTCTTGCTCAAGGATTCTGGAAGCACAAGGAGGACGAAGAATATGAAAGCGGCATGTATTCCTAGAGCGATGTAGAATATAGTCAATAGCGTACCGCCGTGGTCGATGATGACAGCTACTAGCAGTGGGCCTAATGCTATCCCAGAGAAAAGGCAAGCATGGAAGTATCCAAACGCAACAGCTCGCTTTGGTGGTGGTGTGCAATCTGCAGCATAGGCGTGGGTCAAAGCCATGCTGGCCGTAAATGAACCACAGATGCCGTCGAAGGCTGACCCAACAAGCAGCCAGTTGTAGTGAACTATGTCAGGGTACTTCGCTGCGAAAATGGTAATGACCTCGCCTATGAGGGCCCCAAGACTGGTAATAACGAGGAGCTTGAGGCGGCCATGACGATCAGATAGAGCGCCTAGCTTCGGAGACATGATGGCACTTAGGATCCCGGTGATTACTCCCATATAAAGTAGAAACGTCGACCCCAACGCTTGCACAGATGGGTCTCGACATTGCGGTCCGTTTTCGTCGCCAGGTGCAAAGACCATAGAGGGATTATTGATGGATTGTTCCAAATAGTACCGGTTGCATATGAGAGACACAATGAGGTTGATCTTCGGGACAATGATGGCACCGAATGCGAGCGCAAAGACGAAGAATGATGGGACGACCCAGTAGATCTTGAGTCATTAGCGCTGGTTCAACAGATCAGGATAATGTCTCACAGAGGGTTTCTGCCACCAAGGTAGGCCAACAAAATCGGCGAGGCCCTCCCATTCCAGTTCTCTGACACTTCCATCCTCGTCTGAAGAGGTTCTGCTGCTTCCAGTCACACTCCGAGCCCCATCGCCCAGCAGCGGGGAGCCTTCACCATCAGCGCTCCCATCCAAAGCTACATTCTTTCTCAGCGAGCCTTTCGCTCCCCAACTACGTCCTCGAGTCAATGTGTTTCCATCGCTGGCCCCGCCCGAAGGGGGCTCACTCGCGCCGTCCATCGTCGTAAGCTCCAGATCTTGGATCCGTGTGTGAATGGAGGCCGTGTTGATATCTTGATCGCCAATTCCCCCTAAATGAGTAATACTATGTCTGGAAGATGACCTCAGGTGAGTTAACACCCAAAGTTAACGGTGACGACGTTATCAGCACGGACATATGATGGCACAAGTGAGTTGGCAACTCGGCCGAGGAGTGCGGTGCCTGGGCATGCCCGAGCGCGCCAACTGTGGAGGAGAGATTGTGTGTACAACGCGTACGTAATCGCGCAAGGGAGAGTCGGAGGAATTGGAAATCAAGTCGATGTCTTGGCCTTGCTTTGGCAAAGGACGCGCGCTGGTTCACTGGTTCTCAACAGGTTCTGGTGAGAGTTGCTTGATAATACGTAGTAAACAGCGGTGATAACCATGCGATATCGTAACTCCGCAGGAGCTACCCGATTGGCGGCGCGGGGTCCGGAGTCTCGCAAATTCCGATCCCGAGGCTGAATATTTCTAGGTAGATCTAATCTAATCTGTCCTTTGACGAGGACGCTAAATCACGTGGCTCACTCGTTCATTGTGGGACACGTGCTACCTATGTTTGTCCTGTTTGCTCTCCTGGAGGCCGCCCATATACAACCATCTCAACCACTTTCCCTTTAACAAAACTAGTCAACCAAAACTAGAACCACCGACTCTGTGCAGATTGACCCTTCAGTTCCAAGGTGCTCTTGCCAAAGGTTCTCGTACGCAGTAGTTATAAGAAAGAGTCGAGACCCTTTCACGGCGTGGCTATATTTGGTGCGGTTTTCCATAACCTGCTGGAAGACTACGGTCCTCTGTTGAGTGGAGACCAAACAGTTGCCAGGTGGGTTTTTGCGATGCGGCACAGAGATTAGGAGACTAGAAGCTTATTCGTAACAACATCCGAAGTCGAGAGATGCGATTTCCTTCGTCGTACATCTTACTTCTTTTACATCCTGAATTGGATGTTATCAGCAGGTGTGGTCTCCCACTGTGAGTCCCACACGAGGTAGGGTCTTATTGTATGGCGAGTGGTGTCCCAAGTTGGACTTCAACACAGTTCATACCGTTGTTTAGTTCCTTGGTCTTCAAGCTGATGGCAAATTGGCCAATGGCAAATTCCCGCGAAACGAAACTTACCACTAGTTGCTCTATCCCTTGACGAATTTACTTCAATTGTGGTGTAGTACACTTCTTGAATATGGACGCTTTATACGTGTTAAATCTCTCGGTTATATGATAAATCTTCTCAGCTACCGTTTGCAAGGGCACTTCTTAAAATCCCCATCCTCAGTACAACATCCACATTATGCAGTTGAGTTGCAATCGTGCGGCATTTAGTCCCAGAGCTACAGCCTTATAGTTTTTGTCTTATTCGGATGCCATCTACCCCATGGCATTTAACCGTACCACCGACTCCATCGAACTCCCCACAGTTACTATCACATTGGGAGCCCTCACTTTCCTGAGAAGCACATTCCTATCGATCCAGCTTGCACGTGGACACCTCTACATCCTTATCATCACATTTGACATTCTTCTTCGGAATAGGCGCTCGTACATGGGCATCATTTATAAATTCCTCGTTGCCGGACTCCTTCGGTTCCGTCTTGTTCAATCCATCCATATGTCGTAATCATAAGCGCCTCCGGCCGCTCTGCAGAAGTTCTTGCAGCAAAATCAAATACAGTCCTCTGCCATACAATTTCCAAGACCGCCATCATGAGTGTTCCACCCCCGCAACCGTTTTTATTGCAATCACCGGTAACGTAGCAGCATTATCTTACTTTGGAATACTCTCTTCGAAGGGGCCTGGATAGCCATTGCCGCCAGCGCGCACTTGGATCCCAAAGCGATCGTCCAAGCGTGGCTAGGGTTGACTAAATGCCCCAAGTGGAGGCAAACTTTTGGATCAAGTAATTTGACAAATATTTCGAGCTAGGGGTGATTCTAACAGAATATTGGTGGAAATAAGAGCAGGAAGTGGATTTACTTACATTTCTTATACGCATATGCTCCGTCTCTCACATCCTTGAGTTTTGACATTCAGTACCTTGGCTGAATGCTACTGCCCGAATCCTCGGAAGCGGAAATCATACAGCTCGTACACATTACTATGCCTGCGGAATCAAAAGATTAATGGTCCAGAAGTGTCTTGGTGATCCTAACAAGGAGCTTCAGCTGAGCAATTCACTTCTTCACCAGTCTAGCATTCATATCAAGGCTCTTGGCCAGGTGCCGAGGCAAAGAATCAAGACCTTACATTATCCACCTCATAGCACGTTCATATTCCAGTGGCGGTTGAACCAAGGGATTATAGTATAAGCAGAGGCTCTGTGGGCCCTCATAAGGAGCTTGTTTCCAAGCAAGGTACCTTTCGAGAGAGATCATTGAGATGTAAGACATCAACTCGAACCAGTGTCAAAATCCCATACACAATGATGACAAGTATGGGACATGAAATCGCGGATTTATAAACATCAACGAAGCTGCATCTCTGAACTACTTCCCCCACCGCCTAATTTCAGGCGCGAGTGTCACAGATATTACTCAAGGACTAGGGTCTAGGAGCAGGTCAGACTTGTGTCTAGTTGGAGGGTGTATTGTCCAGCTTCCGTGTTGTTAGGTATATGGAGGAATCTACGATTCAGCTTAAGGGTAACCCATCAGAGACGATATTAGCCAGGGATCAATGTGGAAGTATTGTCCAGGGGATACGTATTATGAAAACTCGTTAGAGTAGACTGGGAAAGGGCAGCCTTCTTGTCAAAATATGAATAATGTAGCAGGTAAAGCTTCACGATCAGCGTTATTCCTCACGGGAAGAGCTTCATCTGTGTCTAAACTCTCTAAATCCCATTACATGCTAACATGCAACTGCTATTAGATAAGACACTAATTCACAATATCAATATCTCCAAGATAATGCTCCTAGAATTTGCATTTCTCGCCAGTATACGGCGTACTTTAGTTCTGGCAGCATTTTGCTTGTCAACTCTCTTCGGGTATGAGCATCACCCACCGCCTATCTTATTCACTCAGGAGCTCGAAATCCGTAACAAAGGTCCACCGCCCAAGGCAAACCGTCGGGCTAATATCGGCAATTGTGGCGCCAGCCTCGTTACTCTGGAGGTCTATATAAATCAAAATAAGCAGTTTTCACTTTCAGAAACATACAGGAGACTGGGAAGCAGGCTATACCGGACGTTCTTAACGACCACCATAGTAATAGTACTAAGAATGACCCTGGATGATCTGCCAGAGATAACATAGATGGTTGGGACTACTCGAAAACTCTATGTTTCCCGGTACAGCTGTTACAGCGGTATTTCTTTTGCCTTTTTTAATTAATTTTTTTTATTTACGTTATTGCTTCTTTTTTCAAGCCTCCTTCGAAGCAAACACCTTTCCGCTTAATAGCCGGGTTATCAACATCCTTCTTGTATCTTATCTCACACCCTTCTCCGATACTACACCCAGCTTTATACCTATCTTTTGGCAGATTTCGCCCAAGTTTAATCACTTGTCAGCCTAGCAGGATATAAATCCGAGATGACACTCATAGTATATTATCAGGCTTTTTGATGTCGTTTCGCATTACTCTCTTGTTCCCTAGTTATGGTCTAAATTCCGGTATAGTAGAGTTACTAATTTTACAATCACATCCATCCAAGCCAAGGCTCTAGATAGCCAGTTGCTGCCCAGCGAAGAACTTTTTGCTCTCTGCACATCTCTCACTCTTGCATCCCGGGCATCTCAACCCCATTTGCTTGCTGCAAGCCATTCCGCTATCCAGATGCGCCTTCGCAATATCCGCCAGCGCTCTGATAAAAACAGGATGACCATTCAAACTCTCTGTTCTCTTAATGGTGTCCTTGTGTCCCGACTCGCCAATGACCTCCTCATCCAGCTCGTACAATGTCTCGATATGGTCGGACGTGAAGGCTACCGGGATGAGTATCATATTATGTTGCCCTTTTTTGATGTAATTCGTAACTGTATCGCTCGTTTGCGCTCCAAGCCAAGCACTCGGCCCAACTTGCGATTGCCACACGAGCCGGTAGGCATGGGAATGTCCCAATCTCTGCATAACGGCTTGAACCGTTGCAGCAACTTCTGCAGGATATGGATCACCTACTTCATATCAGTACTAAACTCACAATAAGTGCAAGGGTGGCGGACCTCTGTTAACCACGGACATCGGTAAGCTGTGCGCTGAGAATAGCAAGACAACCTCATTTCGTACGTCTTCTGGGTACTCAAGCAGCTTGGCCTCGATGTTCTGGGCAATCGCCTCCACAAGGCCTGGATGGACCGGCCATCGGTCGATCACACTCCAATTTATCGTGCCATCGTTATCACTCTTTGTATCAACACTCTTCCCCTCTAATCTTTGCCTCCATTTCCATAGGTCATTCAAACTGCTGCCTGTGGTGGAGCAGCTGTATTGAGGGTACTGTGTAAACGCAACGGCCCTGCCTCCCTTCCCACGGCCGAAGCCATCCTCCAGCAACTTGTTATACATTTCTTCCGTCAAAGGGTTGGCATATCTGAAAGCGACGTAGGGTTTATGAGGTGCAGTTTCTGGGGATATTTCGTCAAGGATTTTGCACATCTCTGTCGCTTGATACTCTGACCATTTGCGGATGGGCGAACCCCCGCCAATGGCAGCGTATTGCTGGGTGATCTTGGGTGTTCGGCGTTTGGATAAGAGGGGTCCAAGGTAGCCTTGAAGGCGTCCCAGTGGTATTAAATCTGCATCTGACTATTTATTGAAATCAATATCAACATCGACAGCGGGCATATATAGCAGGAGGCATACAAATAGTCTACTCAAGAAATCCCCAACTTCATCAGTCGTAGATGGGCCGCCCATGTTCATAAAGACCATTGCCGTGGGTCCTTTTGAAGATGTCGCATTCTGGGTTACTGGCGGTACTGGTGTCGCAAAGGACCGCGACTGGCATATGCTCCCTCGCCGCCATAGCGCAGCTGTAGGTTTACTTGTGAAGTTCAAGGTTGAGGGCTGTGATGCTCTTTTGCAGAGCTGGCCTATCGGGGTTCGACACGCCATATTGATTATGCGTAAGAGCAGTGGAGGAGTATGGAGGGCAAATTATTATCATAAGACCATTGCTCAGGGAGTACGAGGGATATAGCATATAGCGGTGCGTTCTCGTACAATGGAAGCAATTGATGTCGATATGGATGTTGAGAAGTGGCTCGACCGAAATATACGACGTACAGTACAGGGTTTCATCCGGTGGCGGGCGGACGTTGCGGATGCCGAGGAGAAACACGAACAAACCAATCAATTAGTCGCGATTTGACAACGCGGGCTTCCCCACGGTATATGTCACCTGATTTGGTGTTGGTACCGCGCAACGATCGCGTCTGCCGGGAAACATCAAGTTGGATCCAAAACCCATCATCTACTTTACTACCTATCCAAACATCTACCGCCGAGCTCGAGTGTATTCGACCCTATTAGCTATTCGAAATATCTTTCATACAGCCTGTCCTTGAACGCAAATTGGCGTAAACCCACGCAGTACAGCACGACAACCGTCCTCCCTCCCATCACCCCACTCGTCAAGAATGGCGGATCCCAAAGAAAGTTGGAAGCAGGAGGATGACGAGGAGGAAGAAGATATTGATGAGACAGTTAGTCGTACTATATTTTGCGCGTTACGTTTATCTGATTTATGTACAGAGTTATATCTCTCAAAAAGATGCCGTGCTCTTTGCGATTGATGTCAGCGAGAGCATGCTCTTGTCCCCTCCCTCTTCGGACTCCAATAAAGGCGAAACCGACAGTCCGACCATAGCTGCCATCAAGTGCGCGTACCAAATCATGCAGCAAAGGATTATATCGAGTCCGAAAGATATGATGGGCGTGTTGTTATTCGGCACCGAAGAGTCTAAGTTTCAAGAGGAAGAATATTCGAATAGTCGGGGGCATCTTGCATACCCACACTGCTACCTTCTGAGTGATTTGAACGTCCCTGCAGCGGAAGACGTTAAGGTTCTGAAGGCGATTGTGGAGGATGACGAGGAAGCGAAAAGTCTGCTCGTTCCTACCAAGGAACCATTTTCCATGTCCAATGTCTTGTTCTGCGCCAACCAAATCTTCACAACGAAAGCTCCCAATTTCGGGTCGAGGAGGTTATTCATAATTACAGATAAGGATGACCCTCATTCTACGGATAAAAAGGCGCGGTCCCAGGCTGCTGTCAGAGCAAAGGATCTTTACGATTTGGGTGTCATCATCGAACTATTTCCCATATCGCATGCAGACCATGAATTCGATCGCGCAAATTTTTATGATGTAAGTCGCTACGAATGCTTAATTTCTGGTAATATTAATTATCATAGGACATCATCTATCGCGACCCTGACGAGGAAAGCACTCTACTAGCCGCGCCTAACAACTTCAAATCGTCTGGAGATGGAATTTCCCTCCTTACCAATCTCATCTCGGACATCAACTCAAAACAAGTCGCAAAGCGGACGCTATTCTCTAATTTGCCTTTTGAAATTGGCCCAGGATTTAAAATATCCGTCAAAGGGTACAACCTCTTGCAAAAGCAAGCGCCAGCACGAAGCAGCTTTATTTGGCTTGGTGGCGAAACCCCCCAAATTGCTGTTGGCGAGTCAGCACGCATGGAAGAAGATACAACCCGGATAGTTGACAAGGCTGAGATTAAAAAGGCTTATAAGTTCGGCGGGACCCAAATCCTTTTCAAACCAGAAGAGCAGAAAGAGTTGAAGACCTTTGGCCCGCCGGTTCTTCGAATTATTGGATTCAAGCCTCAAAACATGCTACCTTTTTGGGCTTCCGTTAAAAAGTCGACATTCATATATCCCAGCGAGGAAGACTATGTCGGCTCAACTCGCGTCTTTGCTGCGCTATGGCAGAAGCTTCTAAATGATAAAAAAATGGGCGTTGCATGGTATATTGCGCGAACAAATGCCACGCCCCTTCTTGTTGCTATCTTACCATCTCAAGAGAGGCTAGATGAGGCCACCAATATCCAGGTTCTTCCTGCGGGGTTATGGCTATACCCACTTCCTTTTGCGGATGATATTCGAAATCCTCCCGATGTCCCCACACCCATTGTCAGTCCAGACAACCTTGTCGATGAAATGCGTAAAATAGTTCAACAATTACAGCTCCCAAAAGCACATTATGATCCGGTCAAGTATCCAAACCCATCTCTACAATGGCACTACCGGATCTTACAAGCGTACGCCCTTGACGAAGAAATTCCTGATGTTCCAGAAGATAAGACTATTCCGAAATACCGCCAGATTAATAAGCGGGCTGGGGAATACATCAACAACTGGCAGAAGCTCCTGGCGGAGCAGGTTCAGCTTTTTCAAAAGGAGCGAAAAGAGCGGGGTGGATTGAAACACGAGATTGAAGATGACGATGGGCCTCCTAAGAAGAAAGCGAGGACTTCGGCAAAGGCTGCAACGAAGGGCTTAGCTGAAATGAGTGCTGATGATTTAAGGAAAGCAGTAGAAGCTGGTACCCTTGGCAAGCATAGCGTAGCGGAGTTCAAGGACTTGCTCCTGGCGAAGGGTTTGAGTACCTCGGGACGGAAACAGGAGTTGATCGATAGGGTAGAGCAGTGGCTTGATGATAATTGAACGGGGATGATAACATGGGTCAAACAGGCGCAAATAAGAATATGTTAGGCTTTTGGGTGCGGATATGTCTAGATACTTGTGATTTGGGGATGCTATGGAGGCTACGGTGAATTCTTTGGCTGGAAAGATGTACTATATACAATACACAAGTTGCTACGACTTGCTAATATATCCGACGCAACTGCTGTAGATTTCAACCGGCTCAAAGAATTAGCTTGGTTCTCCAATATTAAACTATGCTACGCAGCATGGCCTTAGTGGCCCAGGTGGGATCTGGGTTTTAAACCTGCTGGGCATATTGATACGTTCACAACCTGGGCAAGTCCGTCTGTAATTATTATGCCAATCACCGGCCAACTCCCCATTCTTGTCGATAGCCTCATCAACACTTCCACAATATTGAGAGAGTACAATAGAAGGTAACCCTCACTCATGGCAATCTACCAACACCAAGCCATTATCTCGACCGAAAGGGGTTTCTATTATTGAGCTCTATATGGCTAATTGCATGACTGTTAAAGAATACTGAAAACCACGTAGGAAGTAGACTCCCCCTAATTCAAAAGCAGAGCGAATATAGCCGAAGGCTACTATTATATTGATTCGCGTTACAGTACGCGTAACGCGCGTTATCGTGTTTAAAAGGTGGCAGTTCAATTGCAGTGGGGGAAAGGTCAAGGCTAGCAGGTTGCATGAAACTATGGATGGTAGGATGAGTACGGATGTATGGAGGAAGGCGGTAGTGTTCTTGGTTGCTATGGAGACAGTTTTTGAGATGGGGGTCTTGTCGCCATAGACGTGTTATGTACGTGATGGTGATGTTGAGGCGTTGTGAGTTTAGCTACGGGAAGGCAAATGAATCTATCTTCAAGGTCTACAAGAATCATATCAATTACTCCACTCAATGCAATGGGTCAATAGTTTTGAAATTCATTTTGGTATTCTGTGAACTAGTTGTATCTGATCCTTTGATGAAACCTGCACAAAGCAAGGCCGGCCATGTCAAATTATCATCAGAAGAACCAAACGACGACATCTAGAACACACTCGCCGGTTCTCTCCCCAAATTGCAATGATCGTCATTTATGAAGAAGCAAATCGTAGCAAATCGAAATGGTGTGAAGTCCCAACCTAGATCAGGAAGCCATGGACCAGTCCGAGAGCCACCGCAAGCGACAGCTGGACCTCCATCTTGCCAGCAGCATTGGTGACGATAGGCGAGGTGGACTGGGTGGCAGTCGAAGAGGTGAGGGATGGAGTGACGACTGTCATGGATGTGATGGTGGTAGGCGGAGCAGTGGCGATGACAACGCTGGTAAGGTTGGTGTAGGTGGGAGGGTCGGATGGGATAGGCAAATGGCTGGTGGTAACATTCTGAGGGCCATAATGGATGGGAGTATGGCCGGTGGTGAAGACGGGAGGGCCAGAATGGATGGAGGCATTGGTGGGGATGTTGCGAGTAACGGTCTCGGGGGTAGATGTGTTATCGACAAGGCTGGGAACCGCAGATCGAGAAGCATCATCGCTGCCGACGGGAGGGGTAGGGGCTTGAACCAGAGTATATGGAGTAGCGAGAGTGTTGGTCTTATAGACTGGGATTGAAGCCATGGACATGCTCGTAACCGGGGTGCCTGGAGCGGAAGTCTTCACGCTGGATGGCGTGGTGATGGGAAGGCGAGGAGACCAGGTGCTCTCGGTGACTGGTAATGGCAATGGGGTGAGGACGGGGACATGAGCAGACCAAATAGGCTCAGTGATGGTGGGAACGTGAGCAGACCAAATAGGGTCTGTGATGACTGACAATGTCGACGATGCGGTGATGGGAGGGCTAGGAGACCAGCTTGAGGTGACGATGGGAAGGTTCTCAAGAGCCGAAGTGATCGAGACGGTAGCGGTAGTGATCAAAGTGATGGTAGAGGTATCAGTCTCGACATTACGAGCCAAAGCTGAACCTTCAACAGTAGCGAATCCAGAGGCAGCGGAGAGGGCTGCATACGCAGTGTTCTCCAAAGCATAACCCGCCGAGCCGCCGGCAAAGACGAGCACGGAGAGCAAAGTGAGGAGGGGAGTGATGAACTGCATCTTGACTTGCAGCTCAATGGAGCTTTGGATTAACGTGCTTGTTTTTGTTTGAAGAAGCGATGAGGATCAAAGAAGTTGTTGTTGTGAAGTGGTGGAAGAAGATTGGAGGTTGGGGATTGGAGAGAAAAGAAGAGAGAAAGGGAAGAGGAGAGGAGGTGCTCCAGGTATAAATACCCTCACAGCCGGGGCGGAATATTCAGTTACCCGGATTCACTAGCGTCGTTATTAGCAAAGTGCTCAAAACATGCTCAGTTTAGCGAAGAGAGTTTGCAAGAGAGTTTGCTCAGTTAGGACAACTCTTCACCGCTGGGTAGAAATCCAAGAGTGCCGAGCGGTAGAAGTGTCGGTCCTATATCCCCTACGCATCCCTTCGCTTTGCCTTAAGCGATCCTCAACCTTGTCGGGCTTTGCCAGTGGTATGTTTTTATGTCTTCCACAAATCGTATACCCTTCCTTTCCATATGGCTAAAGCCAACCTAGTTGGCAAAGAAGGAAGAGCAAAGAGCAAGAGATGCATATTTGCATGAAAGAAGTCAAGCATTGAGAAACCCCATTGTACAAGCAATTCTTTTGACAATTTCATTCTAGCTAAGCGGATTAGTTGAGCAGCATGTGGGGAGAAAGTATGTCTTAAAGTATTGCTTAGATGGTACCTATTAGAATAAGTCAGTAATGGGAGAGTGAAATAATAGGGGGCTTACTCGCCTACTGCTGTGATGCCAAGCAATTCTCTTATGCAGCTTGTGGTTTGTGGTTTGTAAAGGCAATTGTAGGACTTACTACGTTAGAGAGTAGACCAGGGAGTTGTCGGCAATCCCTATATAGAGGCGTTCGAGGATAGCGTTTCGTCATATCTTTCTATATTCAAGGAGTGTAGAGTTGATGCCATCACAGACTAGCAAGCGCCATAGACAGGTTCGGTTTCGGTTTTGACTATGTTCATGTTTGTTATGTTGCATCTGATGCATATTAAGCAAAGGTAGCTCAGCTGAATGCACGCTCGATCATCCATCCTTATGTATAGTACAGCTCTCCTTCGCCTCTCTCTTCACTCATCAACCGCAGATTAATTCCCAGCTTCGTCCAAAGTTCGGCAATGCTCTCCATGCACCTTATATTCCACGACGAGTGCATCTCACTTACTGCTCCACAATCCAACGCCAATCATTCTCGGCCGTCTTTGGAATTCGAAATATGTTCTAAAACTACAAGTGGGAATCGAAAATAAGATATCAATCCGCTTTTGATTTCACAGCAAAATTATGCGTAGTGCGTTTAGCATACCGTAACCACCCACCATATGTGTGAGATGTATGCTTATGCAAAGGTCGCCCGCCTCAGGTCTATACTGAGGCTATTCCGATGGAACACATATGACCATAAAACCACCGGCCCACCCGCTGCAACGCCTTCGTCTGCCGAAAAGGTGGGGCAATGACGATTCAGATCCTGTATACCATGTGAAGAGTTCAAGGGAAAATGGTCGTAACGGTCGTGTCTTAAAGGAAAAAGTAAAGGATTCAATAAGTGAGCGAGGACGGCTCAGTCATCATCGGGGTTTAGTGCTCGGAGGATAGGCCCGTTCGGTGCCACTCGTCTCGAGTAATCGTGGTTGTCTTGAATGGTGTTGACACTTTCTCGGCTCTTGTTCAGACCGCCGCGCTGGTACACAGGCGCAAAGGGATCTAATCGGGGGTCGACGGGCATCAACCGGCTATTCCTAGCACCCGGTTGGCTCTGGTCTCGTTCCCAGGTTTCCACCACCTGCCGTCCATCGGTTCCAAGGACGTAACGTGAGTTCTCACTCATCGTCCTTGATGGCCCCGTGCCTCCCAGACTATCGGTAACTCCAAGACCCGCAGCGCTTCCTCTTCCGCTGACGTCGTTGTAGGCCTCGGCTTTGTCTTGTCTTCGTTTTCGGAGGCAGAACCACACCAGAAAGCTGACGAGAGCGACTAGAGCGACGAGACCAATTGCGAGGCCGACTGCACCTCCAGTACCAAGTTTATTCTTCGTATCCTTCGAGACTGAGTTTTGAGACTCCGAATTTGGGGGGACTGTCGGGGTGACTGTCACAGTTCTGACTTCTCCAGTGACCGTTTCAAGAGAAACTACTGGTGTTGGAGTCCATGTCGACGACGTGGTAGGGGCTCGGGTAGAAGTCGTCGATGTACTTGATTTGTCCTGTAGAAGAGAGTGTTAGTATTATATAACGAGACCCTATCCAGCCATCCATCCCCGTATACTTTGAACAAATGAAACAAGACCATACAAGAGATGACGAAGTCCTCGAAGACGATGGAGGGAGGGAGGTCGTCACCGTGTTAATAATAGTGACGGCGCTTGGAACCGCCGTTACAGTTACCTGCTATTACACGAAGTCAAAATGGTTGCCAAAGGGCAAACTGGGACGACGGTTTGTAGCAGAGGGCCAGAAGTGCTAGGTAACGAGAAAAGGGACGATGAACAAGATGCATCCAGGCGAGTACTAACCGATTCAGTTGTCCCACTGCTTCCTTTCGTGCCCGCAGGTGGTTTTGTTAGAGATATGTACCCGAAGACGCCGTTGCCACCACATAGATCGGGAGGGTATCCGGGACATTTCTTGCTACAGCCGTCGGCAGTGCTGGCTGGAACATAATCCGAGCACCAGCATCCATCATCTTGAACTATTGCGAAAGCATATTTATCGACACAGAATCCCCTGCACAGGCCATTCGACTGGTATATGCTGGAATCTATAGCAGAAAGGGATTAGATTTTAGGGTGTTTCCAGGGGGGATTGGCTGGGATTGAAGCTTACTCTTGTTTGTTGACGCAGTATTCAACGTGGAGCAGTAGGCTATGTCGAGGGCGGATACATGGTTGAAGGTGAGGAAGCTGGTGAAGATGAGGGCCAGCAGCACCAGCCAGCTTGGACTAGGCGAGCGCTGTGAGCAGAACATCCTTACGGAGTGTGTTCCGAAAAGAACGACGACGACAACAACGAGAAACGAGGGAATTGAAATTGGCGACGAGCACCAGGTCGAGTCTAGGACTCTGGGGGGACGATGTGTGTCTGTCCCGGGCGTTGCTGAGCGAGAGATGGCGATCGCCGGCGGCAGGAATGCAAACAGAGACGACGACTCGGTCGAGGTCGAGTGGAGCTATCGGATCCCCTTGACCACCTCCATGCCAGTGTTCGCGGGACTGAATTGAAGGAGACGGGCGGTATGGGAGACTCGTGTTGCGGTGAAGAGGAGGACAAAGAAGAGAGGGGTGAAGTATGAGGGTGAGGGTGAGGGTGAGGATGTCGAGGCCCTGAGCGTGTGGAGGTGCAAAGGTCAGGTGTAGGAGTGGATGTGGATGTGAATGGGGCTGATCGAAATATAATAATCTTCCAGCGGTACCGAGTATCCCCACGTAGTACGAGTCCGCATCTGCTATTTACTCGGGTCGCTGCGTCTCCGCCTAGGCGGCAGGCGACACTGCGAAAAGTACCAGGGGAGATAACTACATGTACTTTGCTTATTATTATTATGATTATTCTTGTTATTATTCATTATTGTACAGTACTTGCTGTGGTGTACGTAATGTACTTGTACTGTGCTTCACTACATTGCACTCTCTAGTAGAACAGCAAGAGGATACTGGACTGTGCTCAATTGCATTCGATTCATATATTACATGATTCCATTCAACTCCTCCATCCTCTCCACAAGCTTTGACTTTAGCTAAATTAACTTGTGCTGCACGGAATACGCCGCATGTAGATTGCGTAGTGTAATAACTCCTCTGTACGAAGAGCCAAGCAGTGCCACTTGCGGGTTGGCAACACAACACGAACTACGGACCACACGAACAAACATCAATCCATGATGCCCCCAGAGAAACACCGATAGAGCAGCAAGCCGGTGCAACTTCGACGGAGGCCGCCTCCACGGTGTGGTCATAATAATATAATAGTCATGCCATGCCATGCAGCACAAGGCAAAGACGCTCCTGAGTAATAAGCCCCGTACTCGTACAGAGCATACTTTCCCCCTCTCCCCAATGCAACGCCAAAGCGCAAATCGACTGGCTGCGATTTGTGCCAAAATATGTCAACAACTTGGCCGCCAACAACGGGTCCGTACTAAACAGTGCTAAGCAGTGCTAAGCAGTGCTAAAGTATGCGCCATCCAGGGGTAAGGGCCGCGCGCGAAAACACGCAGAATCCACCCGGGGACCTAAAAGCCCCAAAAGTTAAATCGATCTCCACCAATATCCACTTCCCAGTTCAAGTAATAACAATAAAAGCTGCCTTCCTTTCCCTTCTCTTCTCTCTTTGACCCGCTGCGGAGGGGGCCCCGTACCATGTTATTCGATTTTCTCTCATCGCCGGTTCTGGGCTAAGTAGTCCATAGTCCATAGTACGGAGTGCACACAACAAACCCCCACTGACTACTCCGCTAGAGTATGCATCTTTCAGCTGCGATGTTGTCGTCATACAGAAAAAGAATCGTATGATAGGTGGTGTATCAGAGTGGAACAATAGCCCTCAAGCTCAGGCCTGCTGCCCCGCCGCCAGGACACATGAACTATACTGTGCAGAGTAAGCCTGTACAGTGTGAACTCGAGGCGACGATACGACAGGCGATATGGTGATGCAGTTCAAACTCGAATATCAACTGATTGAGGCGAGGTGGTGAGGTGAGCATCAGAAGGAGGGGCCGGCTGGCCAAATGTCCCCAAGTATCCCCAACAGTCAAGCATCGCGATAACTGTATATTTCCGATGTTGCATCATGACGATCAGATTCTCGATTTCTGGCCTCTGGGCTATCGATTCCGAGGCTCCTCTTCCGCCACTTCAATCTCCCGACCCAGTAATCCAACCTGGCAACTTGGCAACCAACCCCCTGCTTTTCGCTGAGCAATCGTCATATCGTCATCGATGTGGCACGTGTCGATTTCTGCACGTCGTTGCAGCTTTTTCTGAATCAAAAGCTTCAAAATGCCAATCACGTAGAACAACAACAACAACAGATTACTCAGATCATCGCCTCCTGAAACAGCAAGTGTCAGTTCCCGCGCGGGTCGGCCGCTGACACTTCCTTCAGGATGAGACTTTCTAAGTGCTTTTCCCTTTACGATTAATAGGATTCCTTGTTCTATCGCGGCTCGAGTCTTCCTTTGTATTGCTGTACCTCCCGTGTCCTAAAGTAACCCTAATATCTGTTGGGATCCTCGATGAGGTAGTTAACCGTAGGACCTCGTTCCGGGGGGCTCGGGGAATCTGGTTCGAAATCCCATCTAACGCCTTATCTCTTTGATCGTCGAAATCCGGGCGGGAACCCTGACAGGTGCATGTCAGGTGCGTTGTCGAGGTTGTTCAAGCGGCGAGTGGGCACCTCTCATCCGAGAAATACAACCACACACTGCAGCCTCCGCATTCCTGCGAGACTGTCAGATCACCGCCGTGGGGCGATGATGAGCCATCACTGGTGCATTTTTCACTTCGTACACAACAGCGACACTGTGGCACCTCGGCTTCTCAACTGAATGCCGGAATCATGAATTCTAAGATCGGTACATCGAAGTTCGCCGGACTGTTTCTTTAGCCCTATCTCTCCCGTGTGGATTCCACCAGGGAAAAGGGAAGATCTGCTGCGCCGAGACCTATGAGCCTTGTATGAGTATCCCAAGGATACCAAGCCAGCAGCGCCCAGATCCAACGGTGGCCACCGCTGCAGATGTTAACTTCAGAACCGAAATCTCAATCTCCCATCACAAGATCAAATAGAGAGTCGGACCTCCCGCGCGTAGCTGTCAGATATCAACAAACACTTCGTATTCTGCTCTTGCCTTCAAGCAGGTTGAATACGAGGTGTATATTTATATTCATGGCTCATCCCTCCTTTCCATCCGCCAGATACGACGCTAGTCCAGTTCCTGCAGCAGCAGTTGCACGTGACTTTGGCAGCGCCCATTGCCGAACTATTTTTAGATGATTGGCCAATGCCAATAAGGGGCGCGCGAGGCTTTAGTTCGGCCTTGCGGCCATCTGTGGACGTAGGTGATTATTGCGTTATGAAGTCGTGGTCTATTTTGTAGCCATTGGGTGTTAAATATATGTTACGTTAGGCTAACGGCCATGGATTAATTATACGCTGTTTCTTCTTCAAGATTTATTCTTCATTTTTCTATTATTTATCCAGTCTTGTCTCCGTTTCTACTTCAACATGATGGCTTGCCCAACTAGCAGGAAAATTCCATCCTCTCACATCAAATAGTACATTGGTTATCACTCATCCTTTCTATTCTTTTCCCTACAGCCGTCAGCAAAAATGGAAATTTTCACCTTCTCTCATGTTCACCCAGGGGAAAAACATGGCTGGAGGTACAAAATACTTCGAGTCAACTGTCAACTTCCTCCCATCGCTTCATGAACTACCATGAAAATAGCCCCAAATTGGTTAGAATCTCGCTCTACTCGTTATACATGGGGCTTCGGAAGAGACTCCGTTCTTATAACACCTAGACTTGACCTTCTGGAACAAGATGTGAGGAATGTGGAGCGATACAGTCAGCTGACGGTATAGTACGTACTCGTATACCAATGTACAATAAACCGGGACTTGGCATTCTCTTCTACTTCCTTAAACCTTATCACCACCACCGCCACTATCTTCGAGCAACGAATACCATGAAGCTTATCGTCGCCGGCTCGACCGGCTTCGTCGCTACGGAGGTCATCCGGCAAGCTCTCTTTTATCCCGCCGTCACATCCATTGTGGCCCTCGCGCGCCGCGAGACCACCATTCCCCAGAACGTGGGGCCCGACGCTGACGCAGCGAAGCTCAAATCCGTCGTTTGCGAGGATTTTGGAAACTATCCAGAGAGTGTAAAGAAAGAGCTTGCTGGGGCCGACGCCTGCATCTGGTATGTAAACCTTTATCCACGCATTCCTGAATACGCCGCCATCATAGAATTATAAACAATCACGTGCAGGCGATCAACTTATACGGTTCGTTTGTTCACTAATATATCTCAGGCTCATCGCTGTGACGCCGTCCAAACAGAATAAGATGCCGTGGGGGGAGGTGCGGAAGATTTGCCTTGACTACACGGTGACGGGAATCGAAACCATGGGGCAGATGCCGCGGGCCTCCACAGACAAACCCTTCCGCTTCATCTACACCAGTGGCGCCCACAGCGAACGGGACCCAAGCAAGAAACCTTGGTTGTTGGGCGACTACTGTGTGATGCGGGTAAGCTCTCCCTCTACTCCCCCTATATCAATCCTCCGCTCGATACTTTGTCGCAGTGCTGAGTGTGCATGCCTATAGGGGGAAGCTGAGTCCCGTGTCCTAGGCTATGCCAAAAAGTCTGGAGGTGCCATAGAAGCGTGTGTGGCGAAGCCCGGGCTGATCGACGCACCAGGTCGGACAGGAATGGTGATGAACGCTGTCCGGACTGTCGGCTGCAGCATTATCGGTCTTCCCAGGGTCGACGTGAGCGAGGTAGCGGCGACGCTACTAGACCAGGCGATAAAGGGGTTTGAGAAGGAAACGCTGCTCAATGAAGACTTGGTCAGGATTGGGCAAAAGGCGTTAGCAGACCAGCAAAAAGACTCATAAGGTCTATGATGCGTATACCAGGATGACTATACAACCATAGAGAAAGGTCTCTTAATACGATGGTCGAATTGTGTTGCTTTGATAGGGCCCGTTGATATAATCACATGCCACAAGGGAGGCCAAGGAATCTATGATTCAAATATTAGGAGCAGATTCATCAAATTATACATTGGTGGCCCTCCAAACACCAAGATAGCAATAGGTTTTTCTGCATGCAACAGTCAAATAGGAGGGCGTTCTGTTAAATTTTATAATTCGGAGACGAGGTGGGCAAATATGTATATGCTTTTACTACAGGAAGTTAAGATGAGGCCGAGCGTGTATACGGCGTTTTTTTAGGTGTTGAGACCCCGGCTTGATGGAGTTTGTGATGAGGTTCATCTCGTTGAGCAATGGATAAAGACGGCTATCAAGAAATGCCGCAAGTGGGCAGATGCTTCACACGTGGACATGGTGGACGTTGCAATGCCACAAGTGGGCAGATGCTTCACACTTGGACATAGTAGACATAGCTTCGGCGAAGATGCTTTCACTGCATATATAGTTGCTAAAGCTATGCAGCGCGACTGTACAGCGCCTGCTGGCTAAAAAGCCAGGAGGAAACGGCACCCTCAAAATCGAGGGGTGGATCTAATTTGAAGCTCCTTTCCACAATTGACAGCAATATCCCTAACTGACAGAAATACCCCCAACTGACAGCAATACCCCTAACTGACACAAGGTATACCTTACCCTCAAAGGCCTCGCCAGTAGCTTAGCATGTTTTCGCAAAAGGTAAAATGACACAAAAGTGAAAGTGGGAGGTTTAAATACAACTTGAAAGCTCCACTGATAAACACAAGTGCGGTTAAAATACCTACGGCGATGAAGCTCCGTGATAACAATGTCGCCAAGTTCACTTAGAAAAGGGGTGGATTCGAAGACTCACATCGCAATTCGAGTGTCGGTGGCCTTGGTAGCAAAAGCAATCCCTTAGATATTGTGACGCTCGGAAAAGTAATCTCCCTATGTTTTATGTAGTGGTTTTTTATATTTGAAATGTACTGTAGCCTCTTGGCAAATCCCCAACGACACCTTATAGTAACCACCTATTAGCTTATAAAATGCTGAATATATTTAAATTAGGAGACACTGTTTTTTATTGCTCTTAATCTCGACGATGTACCTCCAGTTTCTAGTTTAATATATATTAACTCACAGCGACTTTACTTTTCGGTTGAGTTCTCAACCACCGTATTAATAATGTAATCCAACCTCGACGATTTAGCCCGACTTTTTTTCTTAAAGAAGAGTAGCCACCGTTGAAAAAGAAGTCGTGCTATATAACCCAGGTGAATCTAAAGATAAAACTTGTAAATCTAGCTTCGACATATAATATAACAAAGTATAGGTATTAATCTTGATATATGTTTAGCAATAACAACGATATGCCTTTATTAGGAAATATTAATATATTACATCTATAATATAGAAGCAGTACTGTTAAAATATTCTGATCCAGGACATGGCCATACGATATGCTCATATTGCAAAGATTTATATTATATAACATGTTTATTTTCCCTAGTTGATGTGAACACATTAGACTCTACATTTGCCAGCCCTCCCCTGTGTTATTAGATAATATAAGTCCTCGCAGGAGCAGGTGGTGATGGCTCCTCCTCGCATTGGCGCTCTTGGGTTTGCTTTTCCTCTGTTTGTACTATAGTCTCTAAGACTAGCCATTGACTCTATTATATCACTCCCAATCCATCTTAGTTGCAAATTGCAGTCTTCATACTTTCTGATAACCTTCGTTCCGCACCTGACAGTACTCCTTGAAGCAACGCAGTCCCTTATACATCCCGTATATCAGAGGTGAAAGTACCATGCTGGCAATGGCGACTATCAGCAGCGTAGCACGCCATATCCCAAGTCTTTGGAACAACATGTCCCATCTCTGGAGCACTTCATGCCGGAGTGAGCCGATCCTTCCGTACTGGTCGAAATGCATCCGGTATATATATTGATACCAAGGCGGGTCACCAAAGTCGGAACAACGCCACGAAAGCAAGGTGCATTCCCTCAGATCCTTTGGGCCTACCCACTGATAACGGGAAGTCCGATCTGTGATTTTGACGTCAAGGATTTCATATGAGCGGCGGGTCCAGTCCCCGCGGGCGTTGTCATGTCCTCGCAGCTCGATATTTACAATGCCCTGGTTGGGGTCTTTTAACAACGTGTCGTACCCTGCAATTCCAGCGCCGAGCAAGTCGATGGTCAAGGTGGGAAAGTGGTTATAGTAATGGATAGAAGGGTCGTCCCGAGGAGAAACGAGGCGCCCATAGTCGAGAGCGAACAATGGATAATCGTCAAGCTTGGCAATCTCCCCTCGATTTAATCTCCCCGTGGTCTGCTTGGTCTGGGGTGCCACGAGTTGCGGAGGGATATGTGGATTTGGTAATGGGAAGATGGGTTTATCTTGGAGCAGGAGAGTGCGTCGGTCAGGGGTAAGCGTGAAGTTGAGCACTAAGGCTGTGGGAACATCTTCTCCAATCTGTTCCGTCGGATTCCAGAGAGGGAGATCAGGGACGTCGAGGCGAACGAGAACGCTGGAGCCTCTTTCTAGCCAACTGACGCCACGGGCCGTGGATTGACGGTAGCCAGCGGCCGATAGAACGTGGAGCGCTAGGAGGAGGAAACGGGTGACAGCGGCTGCCATCACTATCTGGGCGTGTTCCTAGACGTGCAGATTTTGACTGGGCGCCCTCGAACACGGGTCTTTATGTGGAGGAGTTAAGAAGCAGGAGAAGCAACGACAGAATGAAGGAAGCTGGGCTGATGATTTGCCAAGCAACTAATGAGCGTGAAAGAGGCACAGACAATACAACCCGGTTTCCTATTAATAGGTGGACCGTGATATTTGAGCTTTAGCTTCATTCTTGGAGATTCTTGGAATAATCACTATTGAATTCGGCCGCAACGATTGTAGGGTGCACTTCGTAGGCAAAGCGTATCGCATTGCACATTTTCTTGCGTCGGCAACTGCAGTTTGTTCCCCGTCCCCTCACCGTGCAAGGCCCGGATCCAAGAGTCTTGGGGTACGCACGTTGAGTAATTCAGAGCACCACACTTGCTGTAAGAAAATAAAAGGTATATAAGAGTGGATGGAAAAGGTTGATATTGGAAAGTATTAGGGCGCTGGTGTTGTGTATTTGGGTTGCTTGCACCGAGGGGACAACTCTCGCGTCGTTGATCTCTGTTTGAACCACAAAACAAAACTTCGCAACCTGAACAACCAAATCTCTCCAGTCCATCAAGTTGCACCGTTGCGACCGTCGGAGTACCTAAGTCTATCCCATTGACAAGAGGATTTCTTCTACAAACACGAGTGCCAGAGGACTTTTCAATCGCCAGGCCCCAGCCTGCGAGTGCGATTGGCCCATCAGCGTCGCCATCACAAACATGTGTCGCGTTAGTGATGGGACAGGACCTGTGCATTTCCCAAAAAATAAAAAACGAGAACACCGCAACAGATGCTAAACAGTGCGATAGCTACTGGGCATGCTACCGGTATGAAATACCGGCAGAAGACCATAGGAGCACCGGATGAAGTTTCGGAATCCGGCTCACCTTGAAAGGAAACATTACTCGAGTATTGAACCGTTTGGAAATCCCCGTGCCCTATCCATCCTCGAGTATCGCACCCACGTGGCTCCCGTGGATGATATCTCGCTCCGCTGCACGCGCTTCAAAATGCTACTCTTCGATCGAGAACAGAGCTTCTTCGGAACGTGTGGGAATTGGCTTTATGTTTTCCCAGGCGGGCCCTGTCGCTCTAGGCCCCTTCCCTTGGGTCTGATCTGCCCGTCGCAAGAAAAACAATTATTGCGATCGATGAGTTTCCACCGTGTTGATTGATTGGGGCGCGATTATTGCCAGTCGTTGCGTCGTTGGAGCCCTGGCGCCCCCGTGCTTGAACGACGCGCTGCTACGGGTCGAACCAAACCAAACCGTGGGACGGGGATTGAGGCAAAACGCCAGGGCGCCAGAGTTGGCTCATGCCCAAAACCCCGTCAGCCCACGCCATAGCAATACTCCGTGCTGGCTGTACCATGTCGATACGTTGTGCTACAGAACGTGCGGTACACAGGGCATATTTTGATTATTTTGATGCCAGCACCAATTTGAACATTCCTTGGTCTGAACTTCGAGTTTGAAGTTATGCATAGCGCCCTATATTTGAGCAATATTATCCCCTGTGTTGGGCTAGAATGAGCTTATTTTATTTCATTTTTATGCATCTCGACCACCCACAGCACGTTGTTTATTACTTGTGGGAACGAAGAACGTAGTCGTTCTATTCGATGTATCCAGTCTGCACTGAGGCCGTGATAAAGCAGAGTGTCACAGTTCCCTGCGGTCTGCAGCCACCTTTTTAGGGGCTGAATCATGTGCGGTGTTACACCAACACAGTGGTTGTCTAGTGGGGGGAGAGCTTCCCTGCGTCCTCGAGTGTGGAGTATAGCAAGCTCTTTCACTGGCCCTTATAAGGATAGGGACGATGGGAGAATCGGGACGAGTGGGGGTTTTGCTCATGCCATAACCCGGTAACCCTGATGGTGGTACGAAGTACTCTATTCCCTTTCTTACTTGAACCTCCGGATGGACTACTACAACCGCATAGCACGCTCCAGGCTCCAGACTCTGAACTTCACCTCTGGCCCCAGCTTGTTTTGCGACTATTGACATCTGCCCCCAAATCACACCGTGTGCTGATGGCCGCTCAACGGGCTGAATTCAAATACGACATATGAGAAACGCACACACATGTTGTGCAGCCAGCAATCAAACCCCGCCTACATCATTGCCAATATTGATATCGACGCCAGGCATCCCACCTCGTTCGCAGGATCGTATATATTCGGACATATTAAGCCGGATGTGATTATTTGTTTCTCTTCATGGTTTAGCAAAGTTATTCCATCTATCGTTTTGTCGTCCGACGATTCCCACAGCCGTTACGGGCTGAAGCCTTCTGCTCATGGATCGCCTTCCTGAACCTGCTATCCCGTTTACTCCCGCACTTACTCGTACCTATGGAGGCAACGGTGCCTTCTACAATTTCTATAATGACTATTCACACATCACCGATCCCAATCTTCGCCGAAGGCTGGCCCTGGCAGAGATAGACAAGGCAAGTAGCTTTAGGCTTCCCAGCCATATCCAGTCTAGAAGCCAGGTGCTGACTGAAGCAGGTTCCTTTCGGCTGGTATCATGTCCGAGCTGTTGTAGTAGCAGGAACCGGATTCTTTACCGATTCTTACGATATCTTCGCCATAAATCTCATCACCGGCTTGCTAGGTTTAGTTTATTGGCAAGGCCCCCCAATACCAGGGTCAAGCTATGGAGGAAACAATGGGATACTACCGCAAGAGGTCAACACCGCCCTGAAAGCCGCGACATCTGGAGGCACCGTCATCGGACAACTGGTATTTGGCTGGCTGGCGGACAAGATGGGAAGACGTAGGATGTACGGAATTGAACTGGCTATCATTGTGCTGTCCACATTTGCTCAGGCCTTGGCGGCTCCTAGCAGTGTGGTGACAATGACTGGTTTAATGATATTTTGGAGAGTGTTAATGGGCATTGGCATTGGAGGAGACTACCCCCTTTCGGCTGTGATTACCTCCGAGTATGTGAGCTCTATTTCGATTCTGGCCAGCGAAAACTACAGTCTCCATAACCAGTCAGATTTCTCATTAGGCTTTGCCAGCTGATTTTACTTAGATTTGCTCCAACACGTTGGCGAGGTGCAATGATGGCAGCGGTTTTCTCGATGCAAGGGACGGGGCAATTCGCAGCTGCATTGGTTGCACTTATAACGACTGTTTGTTTCAAGGGCTCGTTTATAAGCACTACGACCCCTGGAACTTGCCACGAATCTTGCCAAGTGGCCGCTGACCGTTCATGGCGTATTATAATTGCTTTCGGCGGCATCCCCGCATGTTTTGCGTTATATTGGCGACTGACAATCCCCGAGACACCTCGATATACTTTCGATGTCGCTCACGATATTGAGAAGGCCCATGCAGATATCAGAGCTTACGTGAACAACCAGCCTGAAGGAAAGGTCGATCCCATTCTGCAGCAACAGACGAAGCGGAGCCAAGCCAGAAACTTGGCAGCTCCAGAGGCATCCTGGCCAGACGCCTTCTCATATTTCTCACAATGGAAGAACTTTAAAGTACTTTTTGGTACTACAGCCTCGTGGTTTTTCCTTGATCTGGCCTTTTAGTAAGTAGCTTTCACTCCGCGACCTCTTTTCATTCGCTTGCTTGGGCTTGCTTTCTGGTTGTATTTTCCTTTTATTGAGACATGGTGCTGATACTGTGCCTTTCTAGTGGCATCGGGTTAAATAACGGGGTAATCTTGGGAGTCATCGGGTATGCCAGCGGGGATACCGTCTACAACACTCTCTTCAACAACGCACTCGGTAGCTTAATACTTGTGTGCGCGGGCTCTATTCCAGGGTACTGGCTTTCCGTCCTCACAGTCGACACCCTTGGCCGCAAATCCATACAGATAGTCGGATTCTTTATCCTGACAATAATATTCTGTATAATCGGCTTTGCATATGATTCTCTCAGCTCCGGGGCTCTCCTCGCGCTCTACATCCTCGCACAGGTATTCTTCAATTTCGGCCCAAACACAACCACCTTCCTCGTTCCTGGAGAATGCTTCCCTACCCGTTATCGCGCGACTGGACATGGGATCTCAGCCGCCGGCGGGAAGATTGGGGCTATTGTAGCACAGGTCATGGCACAACCGCTCCTTACAAAAGGGGCGGCGAGTGACTGCAAAGGCCATGCATGTCAGCCGTGGCTCGACCATTTGATGCAATTATTTGCACTTTTCATGCTCTGCGGGACAGCTACGTCTTTCCTTATCCCCGAAACCAAGGGACGGACACTAGAAGAGCTTTCCGGTGAAAGGCCGCCGGATTACAGAAATGGGAGTACGACCCTGGATGATGGGCCTGGTGGGGGGTGGTTGAATAGAATCAATATTTTTGGGGGTGGCAAGCCTGCTGGCTTTAGCACGATGCGGAGCCCGAGTCTTTTACCTCGCAGCCCAGGTTTAAGAGGGAGAAAGGAACGCGTGGGTATTATGACGAGTCCAGAATTATTACCGAAGAAAGGAGAGAAGAGGAAGAAGAGCCATACGAAGGCGGGGAGCTTTGAGAGTGGTGCAGATCCGTTACGGCATTCTGCGAGTAGCAATGGTAGACACGACGACCGCGATGATGCATATATTTCGAGGGGCTCTGGCGGAGTGTTCCCTGGATGGGGCGCTGGTTGGACGGTTCAGGGTGGCTCGTCGAGGGAGAGAGTGGGAGGAGACGGTATCATGTTACATGATGTTGGAAGCTTGTTGAAATAATTAGAAATTTAGACTTAAATGTATATGCTCCGTTTATGTACGAATGAAACATCACTAGACTCGCTCACTTACTTTTCACTAGACTATACACTTGTGCTAATAATCCTCAAAAATTCAGAACTGCCTCCGCTCTAATCGCGGGGTTGCCGAGGGGTCATAACTCGAAGCTATCGTGAAACTCTCGTCAACTCTCGTAATGCGCTCAGAGCTTTCAACATAATAATTGTGGCGTACGAATTCATCCAAGCTTGCGTGCGAACATATGACTTATTTCCACCCAGATGCATTCCAAACCAGATATCTTCAATCAATTATTCGACCTATCGCCGAAGTTAGGCATGTGTTCACATGTAGTGAGACCCCGCGATGGTGGCGCATGTTGCTATAGCAACACCACGGCGAATACATGCAAAACATCAACATCGCCGAGGGATTGGCCGCGCAACAGCTGTCAACGTTTGACATCCACCGTGGTCTCTTTACTGGCCGTCCTCGCTGCAGATCCCAACGGTTCCCGAAGTTTACGATCAGATCTCCATCGTGGGAAGCGCATTCCTGCAGAGAAACAACGGCTTTCGACCTACAACTGCTGACTGACCGCGATGCAGTACATGCATTGAATACTGGAACTCTACGGGAAAGCACATCGATAATGCGTGGACAAAGCTCGTTGGATCTCCTATAGCACGGCTATTAATCCTCGTCAATTAGCATCATGAGGCACCACGTCACAGCTCTGCTCTGGGCCCTGGCCCCGTCACTGTTTGCTGCCGTCCTCTCTCTATCAACATCATTACCATACAACCCGACATCGATATATCTATCTCAATTATCTTCAACGGCTGGAGACCTCGCATACGCATTTGTGCCGAATCCCGAGTCGAATTCTCGATATGAGCTATTGTTACTCAACATTTCCTCTACACTATGGACAACGAATCTATCAGTTGATAGCACTACCACGAGCCTGCCGTTTACCGTCGACCAAGGACAAGCCTTCACGCCCTCCATCTCGTCGCTCGATGAAATTTCGGTATATACTGGGTCGTGTTCGACGCCGAGCACCGCTCAGCTATGGCAGTTCACACCCTCAAATATGAGTGCCAACGGTAATGGCACATGGGCGCAACAAAGTACAAGCACCACCAAAGATGCAACATATACCGGCCTCATGGGGCCCAACTTTCTCTCCGCGGCCCTCAGCTTCTCGGCGTTTGTCAATGCGAATGCCTCCCAGTCCAATATTTATATCTTCGGCGGCATGTGTCCGGAATCAGATGCTACGGCTTCGACTTGGCAGTCTGCTGCTAATTATTCTAGCTCCATGCTTCGATTCGTGCCTTCGACTCCTTCCGCAGATACAGGTTATTCTCTCGCCCGTGCTCTAAGTAAAGGCCCACCGATCGCCGAAGCAGGCTTCACGATTACAGGCCTAGCACCATCATACTCGAATAAGTCAGGAGTTGTGACGCAGCAACAGAGCTCAGTGCTTATCGGAGGACACACGCAAAGGGCTTTTCTCAATATGAGCCAAGTTGCGCTTTGGAATCTTCCTGAGGAGAGTTGGAGTTTTATTACTGTGGGTCAACAGGCTCCTCCACCAGGCCCAAATACGGAATTGGCCATCAAAAGTATGGCGACGAGCATTGATAGCAGGTCTGGCCATACCGCTGTGCTCACGGAAGATGGTTCAAGAATTATTGTATTTGGTGGATGGGTTGGGGATATTAGCCAAGCTGCAGAACCACAGCTTGTGGTGTTGCATGTTGGGACAGGCTTTGGTGGTGATAATGACTGGGAATGGTCCATTCCGGGTGCACAACCATCTGGTCTCGGGACCTATGGCCACGGTGCTGTGATGTTACCCGGGAATGTCATGATGGTACTTGGCGGGTATGAAATCTCTAACTCGACCACGTCCAAGAGGGAAGTCTCTTCAACCAATGCCATGTTTTTCAATACCACCAGCATGGAATGGGGCACGATGTATACCAACCCGGCATATCTGAAAGCGATCAGCAAGCCTCCCAGTAGTTCTGGATCATCGAAATCAAAAGCAAAGAAAATCGGTCTCGGTGCAGGACTTGGTCTTGGCTTTGCAGCTATTATCATCGCAGTGGTAGTATACTTTTGTTACAGCCGGCGACTGAAGAAAAAGAGAGAAGACGAGCGAGAAAAAGATCTGAGGTCATTGAATAACCGTCCCGCGAACCAATATCCTTCGGGACCAATGCGTCAGACAGGTGGAGGGTTTCCATGGTCGAATGGAAGATGGAACGGGAATGACGACCAAGAGCGACAGCTTTACGATTCAGCAGGTGCCCCGGAGGGATATGAAAACTTGTATACCGGAGTGCATGGCCTGGGAGATAGTGGATCCAACCCAACATCTCGACAGATTCCTCGCAAGCCTTTGCATTCCCGTGCGAGGGGGATTTATCAACCAGCGCCAGCGTTTGACTTCACCAATGGTGGAAGCCACGGGCGAGCAAATAGTTTGGGCACGGCTGGCCCCATACACCCGATATATGAGGCTGACGAGGATGACCATGTGGGATATAGTAACGTTGACACTGTCGGGATGGCGCTCGGTCATCCTTCGACTGCTGGACCAGCGGACCCGAAGCGGCTTTCGGATCCCTTCAGAGACACAACACCGTCTCCAACCCGGGATAATAGAGGAGAGGGGCCTTATGATCAAGAAAGTCCTGCTCACTCACGAGATCGCGAAATTCAGGAATGGGTTTCCGACTGGGCAGCTGCAGATGCTCTCCTAAACGCACAAGCACGGTCACACTCCAGCGCTGGTCGGATATCTCCCACACGGCGCGCCCAACTTGTCGCTGGAACCACTGTCAGCTCTCTTTCAGCAGACGACGATGGTGGCCGTACTGGAAGCAACCTCAGCGAGGGAAGTTTCGCCGTTTCAGCCATATCAAGATCTGGCTCTAGCTCCCACGGTCGTTCAAGGAGTAACTCCCTTCGAGGCTTTATAACTAGCACCATAAATCCATTCACATCAAGTGTCTTGTCTCCAACGGAAGCAAGCACAACCATGAGCCCAATGTTCGATTCGAGACCACACAGCTCGAAATCAAATCAGCCGCCACCTAGGAGTGCAGGGAGCGGCACTAGTAGTTTTACAACTGCTCACACCAGCTTTACCGCTTTACAAGCGGAAGCAGAAGGTCTACTCCTACGACCAGGAGAGCTCTCCCCAAGTGGTGACAATTCCCCTACGCGATCACAACCTGAGCAGCCTGGCAGCCCGTCAAAAAGTAAAGCTCCTGGCGGTCGTCAAGGCCGGGGACAAGGAAGCTGGCTAGGCAGTCTACGACGTGTTTTTGTTGGCGATTCCACCAGTGAGGATGTCTCCCCTGATTACCATACTCCACCAAGTAGGGAACCAAGCCCTACCCGTATGGACCATGGTAGCGGTGCGGCACCACGCCGGACCGTAAGTGCAGGCGCCACAATGTGGCGACGAAAGCAAGGAAAAGGAGACTGGGAAGACAGTGCCGAAGGGGACAGCGCCACCAGGTCAAATACATTCACGGGCGATTACCCCAGGGAAGACGAGTCCCTACCTGGTAAGGGCAAGGCGCCCCAAGAAGAAGAGGATGAATGGGATATCGAGCGTGCCGTCCAGAACCGTGTCGTGCAGGTTATGTTCACGGTTCCCAAGGAGAAACTACGGGTTGTGAATCATGATGTTCTGGAGGATAAGAGTGAAGTGGGGAGTTTGAAGAGTAAGAGTGGGAGTGCGAAGAGTGCGAAAGATGATGCTGCTGCCGCGCAGCCTTCTATAGCTGCTATTACTGAGGCAGCTTCGAAGAGCGCTGGGCCATCTATGGAAACTATTTCCGAGACGAGTAGCAACAGCGGGAGAGCCAAGAGCAAGGTCCTGGAAATGGTTGAGAAGATGGAGGGAAGGAGTAGTCCTGATCGCTCCTTTTGAGCCGGGTATTTTGGTGCATTTTAGCGTGTGATTTTGCTTTTTGGATTACGGGGACGCGGCATATGATGCTGGGCGTTTTTTGTTTTGGCTATACGACGTGTAAGAGTTGAATTTAGGAAGACGGCGCGGGGTTGATTTTTGGTGTCGGTCTAGAGGTGTATTTCTCGCCAGGTATCTGGAGACTGATTGTTTGGAGTTCATGTATATAGGATTTTCGAGGAGCGGGAAGCTTGTGTCTGGGGAGGCCGCTATAGAGCGAATTGAAGATTGTTGCCGTGAAAAATGTGCTACTATCGCAGCACTTTAATTATTCTCGTTAAAATAGGCCTTCATGTGATGAAGCCCCGGTGCGAAAAAATCGGGAGGACGCGGCTGAAATACAAATGATCTCGGTGTAGAAATTTTCGAGGGGAAAGGGCGCAAAGGAGGAGAAAGACATATGAAGGCTGCAGTTGTGGTGGACGATATGATATATCATATACTTAATTAACAAGCTGCTCCAAAACTATAGTAATAATAATATCATATTCTAAAAAGCCGGTCAGGATGGGGATCTCCGATCTACATATTTGAGTACCAGTATTCTCGCTCGTGAAACGCAGGAAACATCATCCGAAAAGAAGTTTCTGTGCATGAGACCCAAGCATCCCCGGTTTCAGAAGTATATTGTCTGGAATTTTGTTGCTCATCGGAGGTGTTCCGAGGGTCTGGGAAGGATTCCCAGTTGATTCATGCGGGACTTTGCTTGAAACGCTGATAAGAAAATCTTACATCAGCTCATGCAGGGGAGCAAACGAAAAGAAAAGAAAAAAAATGCAGGTGTTGATTGATTAATGACATCAGTATAATTAATTCGCAGGGGGAAAAAAGACCAAAAAAGGAAGCACTGATGTGATCGTAGTAATTAATTAATCAATCAATCAATTATTATTGCCCACAGACGGAATCGAACCGGCAACCTCGTCATTACTAGTGACGCGCTCTACCATTGAGCTATGCGGGCTAGTGTCACGTGTTGTTCTTCTAAGTTGGAGTACTTTTGCACTATTGATGTATATACGTGAATGGGTTTGATTGTGGGTGGGTTTGGGCACGGCGGAGTGGCTTCAGAGCTTGATTGGTACGAGTTAAGGCGAGTTAGGGCTGGTGCAGGGTTCAAGTGGATACTAAATCTCGGACTTAGGGGCGAGACTTCGAGGGCACTACGAGGGCGGTTCCTGGCTGGGAATGTGATTTACTTCAATTTCATAAAAGCACTCTGGGTGGTGCGAGGTTCTGTAGGCTGATCGTTAGGCTGGATTGTTAGAGTTTGATACTTTTATATCAAGTTGTCTTGTCGCGCTACGACTTACTTCCGGTCCGGAACGGTGGGCGAACCCGCACCCCTAACTTACAATTAATAGCTAAGTGAACTTCCCGAAAAACACCCGAGATATCGAAACAACTATCCCATTAATTTCTTTAATTTTCTTATAATTGATTCACAGCTTGTATTCGGGCTAGATGAGTGCCTACGCTGCATTTTGACAAAAGAACCCGAGGGCGGTTCTGCAGAGCAGCTCAGCGCAAATTCTCTAAAGGACGTAGGTCTCCAAAATATAGCACTTGGTCTTATATCCATCCGCCTTGCAAATCCTCCGGCCTTTTCTATCCTGCGATTAAACAATAGCAAATTTTTGTTTTACGACGATCTTCCTGAGACTTAATTCGGTAGCTCAACTCTTAAGAGCTGTAATTAACAGCGAATCCGACGATATCATCTACTAGGACACCGCCTACTACAGAGCTATAACTGAGTCTGCACTCAGTTGACCACTGCTACTCCTAAACAAAATTCCTACTGCCTAATACTATGAGTAGTATTATAAATCCCCCAGAGCATGAAGAATATGCGGGGATGAGATTTCTTATGGATGAGTTAAGATGGACAATACACAGCTATGATTCGCCCCCATGGTACTAGAGGTAGACGGGGAACACAGACATCGAAATTATCCGCGAGGGGCACAAATAGCGCCTTGTGCTCGACGAGGTGATGAAACGGGTAGGCTGAGTCTAAAGTGGAAAGGTAGAAGGCTCGATACTCCCTCTAACCCCCCATGGTACCAATGATGTCACCCGTACTGAGCAGGGGCCGAACAACCAGGAGTTCGCGGCTTGGCCTTGGTGGGGTTATTTCTGTTCTAATAACATAATTGCTTCATTTTCCGACTCCATTTCTAGGTTGGCTTTTTCTAGTTGGAGCAGGCAAGCTTTGCCTCGACGAGTTAAGTAGTAGGGCTGGCTTGACGGAGAAGTCTTCGGGACACCATGTTTTGTCCTCCCTCCTCCTCATCGACCGCCTCACGCCTGGGGTCTAACTGCACCGTGACTTCTTTCCCGTGTTCGGCCACTCCAACGAACACTTGATACGTATGCGTCTTGTTATCAAGTTCGACCTCGGTGTCCTCGCTGCTAAGTAGCACCGTTGTCCGTCCATCCACGGCGTCAGGAGGCGGATGCGGGGAGAGAGCCCGAACCAGGAGCTCGGCCACCGTCGTCCAGGTGGCTGTGTGGTGTCCTCTTGTTAAGATGATCACAACGTGCACCACGACGATGAGCAGGTAAATACACATTATTGCTAAGGCGAAAAAGCTGGGGGCACCCGCGAGCATGTATGCATAGCCCTGGACCTCCATCTCAATATGGAGCGGCGTGGTTCCCTCGCGGCCGTTGAACGGGAAGCCGAGGATCACATCGGGGTTGCCTTTGCTGAAGGTGTCAATTGGAATATCGGTGAGCGAAGTCACCAAGTCCCATATGCGCGGTTGCAGGTGCAGGCCGGTACGAGAGACACCGTCGGCCACGAGATTGGCGACGGCGTGCTCGGCCAGCACCAGCAGCTCGTACCTGTCCGGGGCGTGGTAGTCGTATATTGCGGAGGAAAGTGAGGGGCGGACGACGACGGCCCAGAGGGACGGGATAGTGTCCTCGAATATGGCGTCCAAGGTGGATGTACCCGCCCGACCGGGAACTGTGGGTGTCAACGCCTGGAGCCAGTCTTTGGACAAGCTAATAGGGGACCACCCGCCGTGCGGAGCTGGGAGGAATAATCTCTCGTCGTCCTCGCCGTTAGGACCTTCACGACGTCCGTATAACGTGCTCTTTGTTGGGTAGCTATACCCAGCCAACGCCCAGTCCGACTGCGACGACATCAGCCAGTGCTGCCCGGGCGCCCACCGGGCATCTACTGCACAGCCAATCCCCAGATCGAAACGAGTTCCGTGCCCTTCCTTGCCGGCGGCTGACATCAAGATAAGGAGCCCAGCCGACACACTGCCGAACTGGCTGGGAGGAAGTGGTACCCAGGAGGTCTTAACAATGAAGGGGGGCGTCGATGAGCCGTTCGCTAACTCCAGGAGCGATGAGCTCATATTGAGACGGTTGGTGGCACCGTTCCCGAAGTAACCATTCTTTTCTGACATCTTGAACCAGAAGTCGTACTCGCTCAGGACGGGGAAGTCCATGGGGAATGTACCATCAGAGTTAACAGAAGAGGATAGATTCCTCATTGGCACACAAGCGGTGCGGACAACCGGGACTGTCGTGTCAACTCTGCCAGCCCGCAAGTCCGAGAGCTTCAAATTCGTACCCTCCAGATTCGCGAGTCTCTGGCTCCATACGGCACGGATAGGCTCCTGGACAGCGACTGTAGCTGCATGTGGCGCCATCGTCCAGGTCTCGCTGCCGTACGATATGCTGTTGCGGACGTTTCCTTGCATAGTGCGAATTGTAAGAGCGTCCGCAACATCGAAGACGAAACTGTTGCCTTGCGGAAACGAGATGAAGGAGTTGAAGTAATGACCGATAGACTGATAAGCCCCGGCGATGCAGGAAGGGTCTTCGATCGCCTTCTGAGAGTCGCTGCAGTGGGGACTGCCGATGTTACGCTCAGTGAGGGTCAGTGGCCAGAGGTCCTCGCTTTTGGTCCCATTGAGCACGAAATCGTAGTTCGCCGACGGCCAGGTCTGATTCTTCGGGATCATGAGAATGGCGCTGGAAGGCCCAGCCGAGTTGGCAACGACGCAGAAGAGGATAGCCATAAAGGCGATGACGACTTTGTGTCTACATTTGTATGCTTCAGATTTGAATATTTTGAGAAACTCGCTCGACCTTGTATCATTCCATGTTATTACTATGATGTCGGGCAGACCAGGGCAGGGCAGACTTACAATAGATAAGTCCCTCCAGAAAAGGCCGCGCCAGCATCTACGGCGCTAATTGGCACCCCTACATTGCTAGATAGGACATAGCAAATTATATCACACACGACCGTCGTTAAGCTGGCGATAATGGAGATTTCATGGATTTTGGCCGCTATCTGCAGCATGTCAATCTTGGAATCGTCTTGCCAATCGGCAGGACCGAGCAGTGAGTGCCCGATATAATATCTGTGGAAATTAAACCCCAAGAGCACACATATGATAGCGACGGGGAAAAGATGCACGATGCAATGGCGGCATAGAACCCGCAAAAGAGATTTCCAGGTGGCAGGTCTTGGTTCTTCTCGATCGTCTCGGTCTTTTTCTCGAAAGGATGGTTTGATTAGTCGTCGAGGACCACCTAAATAGCTGCCAGGTGGAGGAGTCCCTTGACCCTGCTGAGCAAGTTGATCCTCCTTCAAGGTGGAAGAGACTTCGGACTGAGACGTGCCATCTTCGCGCGACTGCGATGCGGCTCGAGATAGAGGGATAGATCGAGCAGAAGTGTCTGTTTGTGGCCCGGACGCAACGAGTTGATCGGTTTCTCGGCCAGGCTGCTGGGGCAACAGATTCAGAGTCGATGGTTGATCGCGAGGAGAACCTATAGACACAGTGTCGACCGTTGGCGTGGCCATTATGAGAGCATTGGTACACTAATAGCCAGATTTTTCTAAAAGATAACGGCGCGAGGCATGGTATACATAGGTACACATACCAGAACTTAAGGTCTAGATCTGTTCGGAGTGCTGCAGAATTTCAGGCCAGCTCAGAGACACTTTTCGAACCAGAAGTGCGCTTATTTCATACGCGCCCACGTGGAATCTAGAACGAAATCCGAAATATGACTGAGCGGAATCTGATCTGTACGAGTAAAGGACATGAAAACGCATGAAAAGGATCGCAGCTCGCACACTAACGAGAGAAGGCGCAGCCAAGGTAATTGGTGGCGTCCTCTCCAAAAGAATAGGAGCAAACTAATACCAATAGAAATGCTGCTGGGGTATGAAAGCGACTTTAAGTTAGCTGGAAAAGGAGCAGGCGGCTGCATGAAGGTCTATTCTTGTTTCGAGTTCAGCCCAACGCAAATTAACCGCCGCCGTTCCTTCGTGGCACAGATCTCTCCAACTCTTATCTCCATCTCTTCGGCCCCCATTTCTTTCCTTCCGCGAGGTCAGGCTCCCGCCGGTAGTAGATGAGCCGCTGTAGACCCCCTTTTGGAGATCTTGTATATTTCCCTGGCAGGCAGGCTGGAGGGAGATTCGAGAAATTGCGAAATTGCTTCACAAGGCTAGCGATACGTAGTCTGTTAACTCTGGAGCCGCGCGCTTAACGAGATCTTTGAAACACACGGGCGGCATTAGTTCTCAGCCGCTCTATTTTAAGCCTCTTTGCGGCAAGGAACCTACTATCTTCATGACTTTGTTCGGTAGCGCCAGCGAGAGAGGATTATTTAGTCTCTAACCCAATAGGCCTAGTTAATCAGATGTAGATGTACTGTACTACTACGTACCTACACCTAGGTACTCTGTGTAGAATCGCCGCGCTTCCGTGCTAGAGCAAGCCGATTTTCAAGGATAAATGTTTTCGGTCCCATTGTACGGAGTAGTAGATGTGTTGAAAGAAGATCGACAAATTTGCTGATATTTCGTAGTGGACGGTGAAATGTGAGAAGTGGGAGGCTGGCTCCTGATATCTTGGCAGCTCAAAGCGGACAGCCCGTGCAGCTCAAAGCGGACAGCCCGTGCGCCCTGGCCAGTACTCCGTCAGCGATTGCGTCCGCAACCAAAACGGGGTTTGCGAATAACAGCAACTTGCTGTGCGACCGTAATAACAGCCATCTACTACGCCCGGCTGGTCACCATATATCGATTTCACACACAAATTCTTATGAGTTGTTAGCGGGTTTTCCTCGTCAAAACCCCTATTTATCTACTTTCGGGATTTTTATATTGAACACTCTTAAAAAAGAATTTAAATAAATAAATAAGAATTTCTTATATAATAGTACCTTAAGTAACTTTTAGCCTTCCTGGCTTCATAATAGAATAAACATCTCTAAGATATTATTTAATATATTAATATTAATTTTTTAACTTTGCTATTAATCCTTTTTATATAAGAAATATATTAAAACGAACTTATAAAGTAAAGAATATAAGTTGTTTATTCCTAGAGAAAAATATAAAAATATAACTTTAATTATAAGTTGAGAAAGTTATTAAAGGTATTTGAGATAATTGACTACTAGTAACGGGCCAATTTGACCAGCCGGGTGTAACGCATCAAAGCTGCCCACCTCGGCGCGGGCACTTGAAGCTATTCCCAACTCAAACACGCACCCATTACCCTGTCAAGGTTGCAAAAGCTGCTCTAGCAAGACTAGCACTGCCCTTAGCAAGTGCTCCTTCTACGATTACGACATGCTAGATACCTTTACTATATAATTATTTAGCGCTACAGGCAACATATAGGGCCCTGAATTGCTTGGTTTATTCTCCATATTTGCTTCCACTTATCTAGGTCTGGCTTATAAATTATTATACATTACCACAATATGATATTATCCCTACTTGACTTGATTTGAATTGGCTATATCAATAAGCCAATCGATATTGTCGTCCGGCCACCAGGGATTCGGCATTAACATATCCGAATATTCTCCTCCATGCTCCCAATTTCGAGGTGGCCCATCTGTCACCGGGTGGAAATCTGATCTACGCCCAACGTCAGCCCTATCTTCAGCGCTAGACGCGTTAATTCCTTCGCCTGCGTCTGATACTGTTACATTGAGACCATCTACAAATTATAAGTTAGCATATGATGATGTGAATGGTACGTGAATAATAGTTAAAAATAGGCCAAGGAAATCAAAATCATACGGAGATTGTCGTGTTGATTCTCCGCCTGGTTACTGTTGTGCATTTTTTGCAAGTTCAAAAGACATTTTGAAGCGAACGGAATCCCAAGTCGTCGATACTGCTTCAAACATTCGATACATGTATTCCAAGACTTGTGAAGACGTTCTGTTTGTTCTGCCGTTAAGGGCGTCTGGAAAGCAGGAGTGAGAAAGGTAACAGCCAAAACTGTGCCAGCAGTGTATATTACTTCCCGCAAAAGGTTAGTAGAACATCTCAACTCTGGTGCCTGTATAGTAGGAGTGACTCACAGAATACAGTGAACCACGCTGGCGGAACAAACAACGTCCCTATATGAGGCTGGAGTGCATCAAGTAGCTCTTGGGCTGCCGAGGTGCATATTTCGACACAGCCCAAGGCCACTATTTGCTCTAAGGTTGCCACAGTTGTAACTGGGCCTTGCACGAAGCTCTTAGCAGCCAACTGGACGACCGCACGCCTAAAGAGTAATATCCTTGAATGTAAAAATCTGGTAGAGATAAAGTAAGCCCTTGTAATTTAAAATGTATAAAAGGAATTACCGATGATTTAAGAGATGAGCTTGACGCAGGAACAAATTATTAGGATCTATGGTTTCCTGCGCACAATCGTAGCGAAGAAATAGGGGTAGCTCATTTTGCCAGTTTACTAGCTCAGCGTCCACTCTGAGCAACGAATTATAGTCTTGCAGTGGCTGAGATTCTATTGATTTCTCAGAAGTGGTAGAGTAAAATAGTCTAATTTCCGGTAACGTAAGTCGTTAGCTATACTTTCAAAGAACCCAAATACACAAGGGAGAAAACAGGAACGGACCCTAAAATCTCCGCTGTGATGTTTGACAGTTGAAGGACGGACACCAAGTATGCGGACTTGGCAGGGATATCACGAGGTTGGCATCCGTGTGGAACTGCAGGATCAATGGCGAGGTATTCCTCATCGATCATTTGCGGAAGCGGCCCTAATGATGGATGTTCAAGCATCAATGGCCTACCAAAGGTCATACTTTGAACTCTGTGTAGGTCCAGGTCAGCGACTCTGTCAACCAAACTCTCTTCTGAGACTACCAAAATATTGTATTTCTGTTATCTGGCCGGGGGGAGCGGATTACCTGTCCAAAAGAACGCAAATATACCATGTCCTCCTTCTTTCTTCCCTTTGAGCCTGGCTTTCTTCTGACATATCTAGGTGTAGAGCCACACCATGGGCCACTCGGATGGCCATCCCAACCACCACCCAGCACCGGTTAGATAAATGCACATTTTGAAGATATTGTGCCATGAGGAGCAATACCTGAACCAGTTGAATAGACCCATGATCCATTAGATCTAAAGTCAATAGCTTCGTTGCTCGGTTGAAGAAGTCTCGCTGTGGTTTGTCAGATATTGGAGCGTGCGATTCACCAGAGATCGACATAAACCTGGCACCAAGAGCGAGCACTAGATTCAGCATACAATGGAATATATGTTCCGACCTTTGGCTCCTCTCATTTCCAAATGGCGACTCTTCGTCCGCACCTGTTGAAGGGTGGCTACTCCAGATATAATCATAGCTACACCAGGTTGAAGTCAGATACAAAGGAAATCATGGTAATGTATTGAATAGAGGCAGCTGATATATAATGGACGTACCGTCTCATAAAAGTACGCCGACTTATAAAAGGCTGTAACGGGTACGCTCCATCCCAATAGCTCTGCAGATACCTGTCGGCAATACGTTTTGGAGGAACCACAAAGTTAGGAGACGTCATTTCGTCGCCTTCATTTCCCGAATACCCAAGCCAAGGCGGTGGTGACGTGCAAGTCTCGTTCCTTGAAGTAAATGTTTGCGAATCGTCCTTGCTCGTGGATTTGTTTCTCCCGCGAAAGGTTTCGTAAACCTCCGCCATAAATCCTACAGCACTGGAGCTCCCTAAAAAAGCTGGACTGTCTTCGGATCCGGGGGTGGGACCAGTGTTCGAGCCAGCAATGGATCCGCCAGGCTTAGTCTGCGCGACGTTCTCGTGTTGTAGATCGCTATCTCTGGATGGCAATTCCGTAGACTGTCTGGCTACTGGTGGGACGTCTGGTAGATTTGACATATAATTTTCATACCCTACTGGCCATATCGATTGAGAGTTGCCGGGCGACACACTGTAAGGTAGATCTCGTGACGTGGGCGTCTGTAGTCCTAATGTGTTTGGAACGCGCTCATGGGTGTGAGAATGCGATTCGGGAGTAATGTCTCTCCCCCTGTGGCGAGGTGAAATATCATGGGTTTCGCGCGATTCAGGAGAAAATTGCACGACAGCGGGATGTAACAGTTCATTGCTTTCTTCCAAAGAGCGACCTGAATTTTGGATATTACTAGATTCGAGCTCTCGCACGCGGCTCTCGAGGGCTCTCACATAGCTTCCAAGGCAATCGTGTCGTTAGCTAGCGTACAGATATCTATATATGAACTGTCGTCTCGGGGGAATGATCACAGGCCCAGGAATGGGGTCCTGAATATGCAACTAACCTGTCATCAGAGCCAGTATCGGATGCAGAGTAAATGCAGCGGTCTGGCGTCAACTTTTTACGGGTGCATGAATTGCACATCGGCCGACCGCCATCGCAACGGATCTTCCGGTCGCGGCATTCCTGACAGGCCAATTTGATCTTTTGCCGCTTCGCATGCCTTTCGGGGCCGTCCGGGGGAGCATGATAGTTCGGGCGTCGGCCGTACTCAGTTTGAACCTCCATCGCTGAAGTCCATTCTAAGCTCGGGGAATGCGTACGGAGCGATGCCAATGTCGGGCACGAAGTCAGACTACGCGGGTATGATAGGCACGGGGGGATGAGCGCGCGGGGAGAAGTCTTTTGGAGGCTTCAAGGTCCGAGGCTTCGTAAACGCCCCACAAGCTACCCAACATTTTGCTAGCCGGTCTAAGGGATACACTAAGGACTAAGGGTCTGTTCGTTCACAAATGTGCTAGACACATTCCTAGAGTCACGATCTGTTATAGGCCCAAGAGACCCACACATTTGAAACAACTTTACGCACTTAAGGTTCCATATCCGAATTGTAGGATAATTATTTCTAGTACATGAAATCTACCAAGGTAGTTATTTAATATTGAGAATAAGAGAGCTCGAAATATAGCCACGACGACTACTTATAAGCCAGTGTTGTCAGGTAGTCCTACAGTGGACGCATCGACAACTGCCCCAGAGCGGATGAGCTTAGGGCCTAATTTAGAATAAGGCACATCTTGCACAGCAATGCCCATATCGAGTGCAACTGAAGAAGCAAATGCAGCCGCCTGGCCGACATTCATAAATGTATTCTCAATCCGAACAGCGCCATAGCCCAAGTGGGATACTGCCATGACCGTAGGGCTCATGAGATTGGTTGCCTCTTGACGCATTGGGGTAATGGCTTGGTAAGAGATTCCGAAAGGCTAACAGTAGATTATTAGCATTGTAATTAACCTCGAGACTTAGTGAACGTACCTGCCACGGGGGACCTTGCTTGAATATGGAACCTTCATCGTAGACGGACCCGTCTTTCACAATGCGACGAGCAATATGCACATCCTAATCAAGTCAGAGCTAACCTTCAAAAATTCTGCGGGAAACTTACCGTGGGCCAGAAAGCTACCGCAATTGGATCCTTTGCGGCAGGTTCAACTGGTGGGTGAGCAGCTGTCCTTGCACTAATAACGAAGTTGTTCTTCACCATCCTTCTCCCATCTCTGACGTAAAACTTTCTTGGGAAGTGGTCGTTGTCTATGAACTCATCTTTCGCGTATCCATACGTGCTCCACACCTCTCGAGTTTTGTTTGGCATTGAAGGGTCATTGGCAAAAAAGTATAGCTGGCCTTTCTGCCACTCTGCTAGTGAGTGTATTAGACTCTGTCGAGTGGCCCAGTTTCCCTCAGGATAAGCTATCTTGATTAGAATTATACCGAAATATGATGGGAGAACCCACCTAGTGTTCGCCCTGGTAGGTCAAAGCCTAGACCCAGAGTTGTGCTGCCGATTGTATCGGTCTTGGAATTCGGAACCACTAGTTCAGGAGTAAGAATTTCTCCCCCAGCAGCTACGTATCTTGACCAGAGGAGGTACTCGGTAGCATTATAGTTGGCCGGCTTAGTGAACGGGACAAGATTGGAGGTAACATTTGTGAGACACATTCTGAAGACATAGGCCGCCAAATTCTTGTCCCTAGAAAATTGTTAGAGAAGAATGGTAAAGGGTTTAGATTCTATGTGAATGAGAAACTTACCCGCTTCCCGGGGCTCCAAGTGGCTCATCCTGAACTGTAGGAATGAGACCGCTTGATGGATCACCTACGACCACATATGGGTCCACTGGGACCGTTAATTGTGAAAACGTCGTGTTCACACGTACTCCGCCATTGGTTTCATTGAAAGTCGCAGACGATTCCCTCCCAATCGTCGTTGACACGCCTGCAGCAGCAAGAAGATCGCCTTCATACGTCGCATCGATGAAAATTCTTCCTGAAAACACATCGCCCTGCTCAGTAAAAATGGACTTAATAGCCGCTTTCTATACAATCCGTCAGCTGAATCACAAATCGCTTTCATATCATTCCTACATTTTTTTTAACATTTGTTCCGGTCTGCTTGAGATATTGTCCTCGGAAAATATCGATCTTTTCTTCAGCAAGCCAGTCCTGAAGTACAGATTCCGCGACATGGCTCTCAAATCTCCATAAAAGCTTGTTCTTGGTATGAGTTGCCCACCCAGCATCAAAGGCCTCCACATTTCCGTATCGAATACTTATGCGGCGGTAAAATTCCAGAGCCAAAGAACCAACAGCACGAGAGTTTTGATATTCAGCCTGAATAAAATCAATCAGTGCTCAAACTTAAACAGCATGAAGCCTTGAAAAGGTGTTACCTGGGAATCAAGATCAGTGGCGCCGAAGCCGTCGACAGCAATGCCTCCAATATGATTGGAAGGCTCAACTAGTGCTACACTGCGATTTAGTCTGGAAAGTTGTATGGCTGCAGCAAAACCACCAGAAGTTCCTCCGTAAATAACAACATCGTGGTGATGCTGCCTTGGTCTGGATGTCAGACCGTTGCTGCTCGAGATAAAGACGGCCAGTATGGAGCAGGCCGTATAAAAATAGAACAACATATTGAGAAATAGGGAGATCACCTGATTCAAGCCGAGTGACTTGACACAACAACAAGGAAGTTTGGCTTTTTAATAGCGAAACAGAAGGACGATCTTGACCCTAATTTCCCGACAAGGTGTGATAACTCCATTCCCCGCATTTCCCCACCTTTGCTAAGTGTGTTTGATTATTTCCCCACCTTTGCTATGTCGCGTTAATTATTTACCCAACGACAAGTACTATTAAAATTACTGTGTGGGGAGAGTTCTCCATGCCGTTCACAGATCCAGAAGTGGTGCTCGTTTTCCACCTCGGGGAGTGATATAACGGGCGCTAAATGTTCCCCGAACCTTTCGCCAAGGAGCTTTTTCTCGACATACGAATAGTTTGATGCACAGCACTTCGAAATTGGAACTCCAAGAAAAAATAATTACCAACCTTCGAAATTTTCTCCGACACATAATCGTAGCCCCCAAAGACCTACAAAGGACCTCTTGTTTAGTAGGTGACGGTCATAGCGTTACACCAACCCATATCAATCAAGTGTTATATTTATTGTCACAGCATAAACAAACTTGAAAATAGTAGTTGTGAAAGTCCTTCCTAGGAAACAAATGAATTCTAAACAAATTTTCTTCTATAGATTTTTTCAAAAGTTACTTCGTAATGCTATAAGTTGGTGTAACTGTGTGACCTATTACACCGGAGTTGCTTAGCAGGTCTTTGGGGCTGCGATTATATGCGTTAGGGAATGGTTTTCCGTTTTGTTTCGGAAACAAAACATACTTCATTGTTGTACCCTCTTTTGAAGGGGTCCCGAGGTGATAGTAGACGACACGAATCAGAATGAGAACTGTTTTTGAATGCAGCTAAATTCGCCCATATCATTAACGGAAAGCATCCATCATTTGCAAAAAGGGTACACATTTTATTAAAATATCTACAAATAATCAACTATGTTCACAATCTAAGTTGACGAATCTGGAAATTCTGGTGCCCCGACTATAGTTGCATCAAGGATTGCTCCTTGCTCCAGCAATCGCGTTTTGAGTTCCGAGTAGGGTACGTTCTGGAGTGGAATCGCCATTTTTAATGCGATATCGCAAGCATTGGCACATGCCTGCCCGAGAGCGTAAAACTGGTGTTCGAGACGTACTGCTCCTATTCAGGCACTATTGTCAGCAAAAATGAAAATTCTTGTATGTGCTATGCAAAGACTTGGAATAAAGAGAGGAGCAAATCATACCGTAACCAACATGGGAAGACGATGGGCAAGTAGGTGTAATTACGTTCACCGCCTCTTGGATGTTAGGGACTAAAGCGCGATATGCAATTCCAAATGGTCGCCAGCGATGACCGTCTTTGAAGATAAACCCCTCATTATGGACTTTTCCATCGCGCAGAATTCTTCTGACGCAGTGTGTATCGGTCGGCCAGAATGCAACTGCCACCGGGTCATCTACAGGATTTTCACCATTGTCACGAGATGCAGTATGTTCAGTGATAACATAGTCCGATTTCATTCGACGTGCATCGCGAATGTAGAGCATGCGTGGGAAATGATTGTTGTCAGGGAATTCATCCAAGCAATAACCAAAACGGGACCACTCCTGCCGGAACTCAACCTGGGAGGAGGTGTGTCAGCCTTCCATCGCCACTACCATGATTGATTTCAAAGGTGAATAAAATCAAAGGATGACTTACAGGTAGACATTCGTCACTGGTGAAAAAGTAAAGAAGGCCTTTAGTAAAGAGCGCTGTCTCGTCGAGAATCTTTTGGCGTTCGGCTTGAGATCCTGTAGCCCAATTATCGTTCATACCAAGTAAATCTGTCGCTAGTGGGGCTTCAGAGCCTATTAAATCCGTCTTGCCATTAGGGATTCTTTTGGTAGGGGTATAGAACTTCCCCCCAGACTTGGCATAGCGTCGATGAAGTTCATAGTGGGCCGGGTCATACCCATCTGGCTTGTATATCGGAACTCGGTTGGCTGGCTCATCTGTCAAGGGGAGACGGTAGCTGAAAGCCGCAAGATGCTTATCCCCATCCCCAGGGTTCCCGAATGCTTCAGGAGAAATTCCATGAATCAGCCCACTGGAAGGGTCCCCATGGACCTTGTACGGGTCTATGGGGACTGTTAGTTGCGTGTATGGAGTGTTGTCTCTCACACCAGCAAGACTTTCGCCGTAGGTTGAGGATGACTCTCTACCGTGGACGGTAGTGATCCCGGCTGCTTCCAGCAAATCCCCCTCATACGATGCTTCAATAAATACCTGATTCATTAATTAATAAAATGATACAAGTTCTTGAATATTTTACTCACCTGACCAGATATGATTTGGCCATTGCCCAGTTTGATTCCACGCACCCTATTTCCGTCTCGGATAACTGATCCTGCAGGAGAAAGCATCTCCTAGCCAATATATTAGACCTTTCAGAATCAGTACGGGTGTTTACGTACAGTGATGATGGTAATGTTTGGGTACTCTGCAAGCCACTCTTTGATCACCTTCTCAGCAACTTTCGACTCAAACCGCCAAATATCTGGGTCTTTGATGCCCTCTTTGACAACATTCTCCAGACGCTCAGAACGGCCATAATGTAAACTTATACGGCGGTGGAATTCTAGGGCCACACCTCCGACCGTTTTACTGTTGAAAACCTCTTTTTGATTATCAATATCAGTTGCACCGAGGCCTTCAATCTGGATACCTCCTATGATTGAAGAAGGTAAATGTTAGCTAAGAACTCCTAAGATAATCACAAAGAATTCTTAGTCTACTTGCCAATGTGCTCGTGAGGCGAAATCAAGGCCACCGTGCGACCGAATCTTGCACTCTGAATAGCTGCGGCAACGGCAGCAGAGGTTGAGCCATAAACCACAACTTCCAAACTCGGTGAAAGCATATTGTGAGACTTTAGGAACCTCGATGAAATTGGTGGCGCTGAGGGAGTTGCCAACGAGGTAGGAGTAGGATATTTCCGCTGGTCTCTCTAAGATTCGCCTCTTGAATAATATTAACAATATCGACGTATTGCCCGCAAGAGAAACCTCTCAAGGGCAGATAGTTTACCCATCACTCACTCCCCGGGTTGAGCTTGAGCTTCTGCCACCCTAGTGTGTCTATACCGCGGTTGTGGGTCCGGTACGCAGTAACACCAATAGGGTCGATGACCGAGCATTGTTGCGAGCTAGTGGACACCTCCCCGAAGCTCGGGGAGGACGCTGCTAGCGCGTCCACCAGAAACTAATTCAATCAGCATCAAATTTTTGTCCTTTGCGTTGTCGGCTGAGTCTATCCCCGTTCTATGGAGATGGAGTACATCGATAGTGTTTGTTTCCTGGGGTGATAATCCGGGGCCCCTGTTCAAACCCCGCAACCGGTCCCGTGGAGGCGGGTTCCTGCAAAGATAAATGTCCTTCTGTAGTGTTTAAAGCGACTTAATCCCCCCAATAATTCTCCTCGCTCGTCTTTGCAAACATCCAATCGAGTAATTCGACAATGGCAGGGAAGGGTAATATCTTTGTGAGTCGCGGAGCATGGGCTTCTGCGACAAATCGTTTGCTCTATGCCTGTCTGGTGTACTCCATGGGCAGTATCTTCTTCGGTATGTCTTTATTATTGCCATCCTTTTATGAATATTTCTGACAGCTGTACAGGATAGTTAGTTACTTCGCTGTTATTTGGTTCGCGTTGGTGCTGATTTAATTTTACAGCGATGGCGCTTCTTTTGCAGGGGTACAGGCTTTCGCGCCCTTTGCCAAACAATTTGGATCATATAATGCGGCCAAAAAGACTTACGCTTTGTCACCAAGTCTTGCTTCGCTGATGAACAGGTAGATCTACCGTCGTGTATGTCGTCTCTGCAACCACTAATATTCTTCTAGTCTTGCGTTGATCGGAAAGTTTTTGGGAACAATATTAGTTGGCCCACTTACTGAAAGGCTGGGACACAAAAAAACTATGTTGGTTACATGCATAACTCAGCTTGTTGGTGTAGTTAGTAGGTATCAATTGGTCTGTCAGTCGACTCCCCTGATTAACATGACCCCCAGTCCAGACTACGAGCAGAGCCCCTGCGCAGTATACAGTGGGTCGCATCATAATATATACGGCGGTCGGCCTAGTTGAGAATGTAGGTCATTGGCTAGTTCTTCACTCCAACCCTTTATTGACAGAAGCAGGTTGTACCGACATATCAAACCGAGATATCTCCAGCACCTCTGAGAGGATTCTTCGTTGGGGCTCTTCAACTCTTCCTAACTTTTGGTTCCTTGTTAGCTGGGATTGTGAATAATTTCATGTCCAAAAGAACCGATGACTCGGGTTGGATTATCGCAACTGCACTGCAAGCGGCTCCGGCAGTTTTGATTTTAATAGGCCTACCATTTACTCCAGGTTAGTTCATGACTGTAATCGCCTGTCCACAAGCTAATTGGCGGCTCCTGAAGACTCTCCCCGCTGGCTTGTTGGCAAAGATCGCTCTGAGGATGCCCTTAAGGTTCTTTCGAATCTTCGCAGCAAGGAGGAAGTTGCCAATGGCTTGTGCGAGTTTGAAGTTCAAGCTCTCCGGGAAGATGGGCAAGTGAATATGAAAAAGGAACCGTGGATGGCTCTTTTCAACAAGCAGAACAGGAGACGCACATGGTAAGCTGAACAAAACTTGCCCCCCCCTTTCTTTTTAACATCCTGGCTAATGATAGTGGTGTAGTATTGCTTCTGTTATAATGGCTCTCCAACAATTAACAGGCGTCACTTTCAGCAGCTCCTACGGGCCTACCTTCTACAAGCAAGTTGGGCTAGGTTCCATGGCTTTTTCCTATGCAACAATTAACAACGCCGTGTCCATCGTGACAGCGATAATTGGGATGTTGGCCCTCGATGCATTTGGCCGCCGGGATGTGACATTTTGGGGAAATTGGATCCAGGCCTTATTCCTTTGCCTTATTGGTGGTCTTGGATCCAAAGCGAACCGAAGCCAATCTGATACCGATGGAATGGTGGCCTCCTTTATTCTCTACGCTGCTGCCCTACACGCGACTCTTGGCCCCGCTGCATATATTACCGCAGCCGAAGTCGGCACTGCTGCGTTGCGTGAAAAGACGATGGCGTTCGCCACAGCCATCAATGTTGTAGTTGGATTCGTCGTCGTCTTTACGACGCCATACTTATTGTCTGCACCTTATGCTAATCTTGGGCCCAAGCTTGGTTACATCTGGGGTGGCTGCGCTGCGGCGGGTGCTGTGTGGGTATGGTTTTGCATGCCCGAGCTCAAGGGGCGTAATCTTGAAGAGATCGACCAGCTCTTTGAAGCCAAAATTCCCGCAAGAAAGTTTAGCTCTTTCCAAACTACTGGCATGTCTCATGATTTAGCTCTGTTTGAACATAGCAACGCTAAGGCTGTTGCCGCTGGCCTTGGGGACTCTACACATCTCGAGAAGGCCGAGACACAGGGATCTAAGGGCGATGCAAAAGATGAAGTTTGAAGAAGGGCTCTGTTAACCATATAATTTACTATTAGTCTTGATATGGATATTAAACCTTACTAGTAATATCTGCGTTGAATGATCGTGCTCTTTAGCCAGTCCTGAAACCAGTTAAAGCAGTGGATCCGCATGGTAAGCGCACAATAGACTTGACTACGAAGCCAAATACTCTCTCCAAAGCCGTTGGGAGGGAGAAAGACTTTGCAAAACTAACTTTAATGAAATAACGTATCTCCGGCTTGGTTAACCCTCTTAGAATTAGATAGACTCCGGTCGTTGGAAAGGGGGCGTGGGGGGAGGGTGAGCGGAACATAATTCTTCCGCCCGATGTTACCCGAGGCGATTTCGACGCGTCGACGGCGATTCAACTTGTAGATTGAACAATCTACAGGCAGGAAAGAGATAGACTGTCTCAATTGCCAGAATGCCACCGGAAATCAGAGTAAGCGCGCTTGCAAACTTATTATTGCTGTCCGGCTTACTAGTTGGAGGGGCAACTTTATGTGATGTGTTACTTAATTGGTGGGGAATGTTAGGCAGCATTGCAGTACTCGAGTACAACGCCCGATTCCTAATAAGGCTGGAGTGAGGTACTGAGTATGGATTGCGCATAGCCTTCATGAGGCAAGCAGTCTTATTATTCGATAAGTACTTTTAGCCTGTTTTCGAGGGTCAATTAGCAATTCTTCAAACCCCTACATGTTACTGTGCCACAAGAACTGGGTCATCACGAGGAAGAAACCGGCCATCGCAATGGTGGGGTGACATGAAAGCTCCCGAAGACGACCGTCTTGATCCATCCATATCCTGCAAACCTATTGCTCCAGTAGTCATCATGGGAGACGCAACGGAGAGCAATTCAGCCCTCAGTGCGGCATCTCCAGTCAAGCCCAAAGGTCAGTGCGACACAAACAAATGGTACTATACTCGCTGACCACAAGCAAGAACAGTGTGGACAACCCTCCTCACAAACACCGACTACCTGCCGGGTCTTTTAGCTCTAGATTACTCTCTCAAGCGCTCCAAGTCCGCCTATCCGCTCGTCGTGCTCTATACAGATGGTCTTCCACCAGAAGGCCATGAGGCCCTCGACCGCCGTCAAATTGCCAAGCGCCATGTGCCATACTTGGTACCAACAGCAGAAAACGACTATAGCAACGATGTGCGCTTTTACGATTGCTGGACTAAGATGACACCCTATAGCTTAACTGAGTATGAAAGGGTAGTGCAGCTTGACAGCGACATGCTTGTCCTGAAAAACATGGATGAATTGATGGATCTGGAGCTAGATCCGCCAGAGCTGGAAGGAAAGGGAAACAGAGTTTATGCTGCATCTCATGCCTGTGTTTGTAATCCTTTGAAGCGCGCACATTATCCTCCGGATTGGTACGCCTCAATTTTCTCTTTGTCATAGCACTGCCCCGTGTGCTGATATCCCATCGCGTGCACGACCACTAAACTTCCAAAGGATACCCTCCAGTTGTGCTTTCACCTCTCAACACTCGACACCCGATGAGGCACAAATTACTGGAGCCCCTTGCACGACCGGTCTCCAGTATATGAATGGAGGGCTTCAGGTAATAAACCCCAGCATGGCCGTATACAACCTTATACTCTCAACCCTTCAAACTCCTACAACGGCCAGCTACGCATTCGCCGACCAATCTCTGCTATCTGACATCTTCCGCGGGCGATGGGTTGCGCTGCCATATATCTATAATGCCCTAAAGACGCTACGGTGGGAGGGTGTGCACTCGGATATCTGGCGAGACGAAAACGTCAAGAACGTGCATTATATCTTGACGCCTAAACCATGGAATACAAGAGACGCTAGAGATGAGGATGCCGTGACACATGGGTGGTTCTTCAAGTTGAATGATGAGAGACTTGAGAAGGAAAAGGAGGCCGGCATTGATGATGGTTTCTAGCGTCGTCGAACATCCCGTTAGACGGATGGTTTAAAATGATGCAACCTATTTAGAGCCTACCGCCCTTTCCATTTCCCCCCGGCTTTCACCTTCACCTAGAATTAGAATATTGTGACATGATCAAAAGTAGCTATACTAGATGTCTAGTTTCCTCGCCCGTGTCGTTTTGTCTAGTAGCCACGAAGTGGCAGGCTTAAGAAACGAGACCAGGCATTGTGGTCCTACATAACACTCTCCTTCGTCTCAATCCCTATTCCTTGACTTCTTACTTTTCCCGTCCTTCTTGCTCTTCTTGACTGGTTTGGCAGGAATGAATTCCTCCTCCGAGCTCTCGCTATCACTTGTCGAGCTCTCACTAGCACCACTTTCTTCCGAATCAAGCTGCTCGCTATCTTCACTGTCAAATTCCACCTTGCCCCTTCGTTTCCCCTTATCCCTTCCTTTTTGTGCCTTTTCATTTTGCTCTAGTTTCTCCACCAACTGGTTGAAGTCATCCACTCTGGTCTGCTCGAGTCGGGCGACGTCGGCGTCAGTCTGACCCCCAAGTGTACTCCGAAGATATTTGTCAAATTCCTTGGACGCTTCCGCCACCTTGGCGAAGTGGCGCTCAGTAAGTTCGGGATTGTACTGTCGAGAACCAGTCGCGTCGGCAACACCTTCTCCCGAAGCCTCGAACTCAGCAAGAGCAATAGCCGTTTGGAAGGCATTACGAATTTGTCTATGGATTGTTCTTTACGTTAGTAGCTGTACCAAGAAGACTTAGACAATCAAACATACCTGCCATTCCAGCTTCCGGCTTTTGCCTTTTTCAGCTCCATATAATGGGTTTTGGCGAATTTCAGTATCTCCTTCGTGTGAAGCTTGAAGTTTTCGCCTTTCAACGCCTGTGTACGTGCTAAATGCATCTTCCAGATCTGTATGGTTGCCTCTTTTTGAAGCCCTGGGTAATAGAGACTGATGTGAATACGCGATCGGAAAGCTGGATCAAATATACCGACACGATTTGTGGTCAGAAATAGAATGCCCTGCAAAGCCACGAGTCAGTTATAAATTTCGGATGAAGCAGAATATGCATACACTATAATATTCCAGTGTCCTCAGAAACACGGAAACAATGGCGTTTCTCCTAATATCGGTCTTGTCACGTTTTTGTAGGAATATATCCGCCTCATCAAGCAACAAAACGCATCCCCACTTGTGTGCCAGCTGGAAGTTCTTCTCTAGATTGGTCTCAACCTCAGATGCTGTATCGCCAATATCTCCACATGTTATCGGGAAGAGGGGTCGTCTTGTGGTGTCGGCAACACACTCGGCAGTGGAGGTTTTTCCAACCCCTAATAGTAAAGATTAGTCATAGGTTCCCCGGAGGGAGTTTGGACACTAGGGAGGCAACCAAGGAACCGTTCTTACCAGGGGCGCCGTGCAATAGAATAACTAGACCTTTTCCTTTGCCCCGCACCAAGTCTATTGACCGCTCCCCATTTGGAGTTCCTCCTCCTGTGTTGGGCAAACGCGAATGATTTGCAACCAATGCACGCACAGTCTCCTTGTGGCCAGTAGGTAGGACCAAGTCATCAAATCCGCTCGCATACTCCATATCTCGTATGAAATCGATGTCAAACTTTGCCCATTTTCGGCTACGCAGGACAAATCCGTAGACATAGTGAGGTAAAAGGACCTTCTCTTCATCATCGATATCGACCAGATCGGTGGTTGGCGCTAGTATTGCCTTGTGCTCATCAAAAAATTGATCTTCATATTGCAATTGCCAAGTATAGTCTTTATGAACCCAGTCATTGTCGCAACACCCATCTTCGGAGCACACTCCATTGGTGATCGTAGGATTGACAGTCTCTTCGTATGTCTCACGAAGATTGTGCTCCGTCAGGTTGCCGAGCCCAATGGGAGTAAGATCTGTGTAATAACGAAGGACTGCCATTCTGGTATCTACTATGATCTGGGAATCAATCTAATACAGCTGTTAGCAGGGAACCATTCAATCACATAATTTCGGTTAACTTACCTCCTCGCGAGGTTCATCGAGTGTCAGACCCGAGTAGTGTTTATGTGCCGGCTTATCAACACGAGAAAGTTGAAGGTAAAAGTTCCCCCGTTTGATTAAGCGTTCCCAAATCTGGTCTCTATCTGGGGCGAACGCCAAAGGATAGATGGGAAGGCTGGCTATCGGCTTCTCTCCATCATACTTTCTGATCAGAAACGTCTTCTGCACGGGGCCATACTGGTGTCCGTCAAACTCAAAGCTAACACACTCTATAATAAGTGCATTATTCATGATATCCGTTTTTTGGAAAGATTGAGCATCGTCAGTTGCGCGTGCTTGGAGTTCAGCATACATGCCGTGCTTAGCGAGGGTCTCACGGCCTCCTGTCCACCTCAAGACTCGGTAAACGCGCAACCTAGACTCTGAGCTTGTGACATCTTGACCGTACTCAAATAGATGCCAAAGGTCGGCGTATGCTATACTGGTGAGCGTCTTCTCCTTGATTTGACGACGCATATCAAACATGGGTTTCAAATCAGTATCAAATAGTTCAACAAGAAGCCTAAGGTGTTGAAGCGTTTCCTTATCGTCCTCCCCATCTCTTGTTTTACTCGCAGAACTTGTATATCGATCAACAGATGGTCTAGAGGTCGGTCAGCAAAGTTGGCATTACTTTATCTTGATTCATTTACCTGATTTCCGCACTAGATCTAGAAACATCCCCACAGCCTTCGCCATATTCTGGCACCGAACTAAGGCGACTATCTACCCAACTTGTAGCTCCAGATGTGTTATCTCCGTTAATGCTTATACTTTTCATCTCGCTCTGAAGGCCATTGCTGTGGCGCTCTTGGTCTGCGAGTTCCAAGCCTGCAAGCCGTTCTCTGATAGATGGCTCTAGCGTGGCAAAAAGCTTGAAGGGAGAGAGGAACGTCTAGTCAAGTAAGCCAACGCAAGACACTAAGCAGAACAATTGGAGAAAGAGCAGATATTAGTTAACTTACAATCGCGGAGGTTCCGCTTGTGACAAAGGATCGTCCCGCTGTTTGTGCGATCGATTCGAGAACCTTGAGGAGCTTCTGAGAATGTATACGTATACGCGTGGGATTCTGACGTATTATTGGAAAACTGTTCGAGCGACCATGCCGATCAACGGCATCGCATCCAGCCAGTGAGGTTTTCCTCACCCGACCGCGGATACTAACACGTGGTTCTTCGAGAAGTACTTCCAGCACCGAGTTTGTCGTTTTGTTCTTGAAATCGGAACCAACCGAGCGGGCTATTCGTGGTTCGGGTGATCCAGCTAGTGGTTGACGTTTGTAGTGTCCAGGCGGCGCACCGCTCGGTGGGCCGTATACTACGCCTGCCAAAGATCTTCTAGTCTGTGTTCTCTCCGCTATTCCACCACGCTCTCCGTTCGACACCACGGAATATTCTGTATAGTCCATCGGCTCCATCTCAAGGACAGCCAAACTGCCCTGGATAGCGTCCATATATTGGGAACTTCCTCGACTTGCGCATGCGTTTAAGGTATTTGCGCAGGGATAGATTCACTGATAATCCAAATTTCTTTGCCAGCAATAATGCTTAAAAACTGCTTCCATCTGAATCGTCCATATTCATTAGCGAACTTCTGTATGAGATGGAGAAGCGCTGTCCTGAAAGCCGTGCCGTAGCGTGGCAGAGGGTCTGGGAACGACTAACCAAATGGGAAGCAAGAGAGATATGTCGACCTCGTGGTGGAATGGAATTGTAGGTTCCGACAATAACACTTAAGACGGGTTGAGAATTTAATACCCAGGTACTCCGTACTATGACCGAATTATTAACAGTTCATCCCTAAATTCGACGCTTCGCTGCCTGCATCTGCATCTGCATATAGGCGTCAGCCTTCATGTAGGCTCGCTACAGGGCTGTCACACCGAAACCCAATGCCAGCCGCCCATTTCAGAGCGCTAGTAGGTTTCCAAGTATCACCGCATATTTTCTGTCGGGCGGAAAGAGTAGATTGGGGGCTGTCTGACGAGGCTTATTTATACCTGAGGGGTTGGAGATGCACGCGATAAACATCGCCCACTCACATAAAGCACCCATATGTAGCCACGAGGCGCTGCAGCTTGCCTCACCGCGGCCCCCAGGCCCGCCCAGGCCCGCCCAGCGCCTCCGTAGGGTCTTCGGGGTCTTCAGGGCCACGGTTAGGCGGGTGCCAAAACAAAGAATGAAGCCTTGCTTATTTGTTATCATCTTGGCCCCTTATCAATGCGCTGGCTGCGGCGGAAACTGCATAAGTTCAGCCCTCTATTGGATTTGGGATCATTTGGCACTCCCTCCTAGATGCGTCGAGGCGGCTCCTGCCGACCACCACGTCATCTGAGGCTCTTCTCCTTGCTGTGCCGTATTGCTTTCCAGCCGTACTCTTCTGGGGCAGACTGGTTCTTCAGCACGGGCGTGTACAGTATCAGACGGAGTCTGCTTGTAACTAGAGCTGACTACTGCAAAGGCCACTTACTACTTACTTGGTATCTTGTATCTTACATTTCCCCTGAGCTTCAACTCGGTCCCCATCATGATTCGGCATTTAGAGCATAGAACTCGAACACTGCCCGCTACCAACGCATCGGCTGAATTCATTCTCAACTCGATTGCCTTAGCAGAGAGCAGTCAATATGTAGCGGAGTTGGATAGATTTGTCCCGCTGCCAGAAGCGCAGCGTCATGAAGATGCAATGTTAGGATTCCGTCAGACGCGACCGGGTCATTGCTGACAGCGATACAGTCTTCGGCTCTGGGAAGACTCGAGCGTTGAAAAAGCGAAGTTGTTCGGCGCCATGGAACAGCTCAGTCAAAAGTCGCGGGACCACGAAACACCGAAGACCGCGGCGACAGAACTTCGCAACTGTACTTGGGAGCAGGTAATCAAGGAAGTTCAGGTTGCCGGCAACGCCTACAATAATGGAGGGAAAATTAAAAGAATCTTCAGGGGAATGTGCGACAACGCCGCTGTCTTCGAGAACTGGCTCTCGCTCTTACCCGATGGCGACTACGGGGCGAGTATCAGTGGCGCTTTTATAATGATCGTTAGGGTAAGAATTATTGAGACGCTCTTTGATCACAAAGTACTCATCGTCGCAGGCAGCCCACAATTTGGGCGACGTTCAGAAGACCATTCATGAAACGCTTGCCAGCATACCAGATACATTGGCGCATGCAAATGCGTACGTGGAGATATACAAGGCGCACTCGAGCGAATCACTAGTTCAGAAGACAGCGGCTTTGTGCAAAAGTATTATGATATCACTCCAACTCATTATACAATTCTTCCTCAAAGGCTCCTTTAGTAAGACATCGTGCCTCTCACAGGCTCCTTATGACTAAACAGATGAATAGGGAGAGGCGCAACCGCAATATTGAAAGGCAATGCATACGAGAAAGAGCTTATGGAGAGCATATCGAATATTAAGAATCAAGTTTTGACGCTTAGGGAGGAGGCGAATCTCTGTCTACAGAAACGAATAGCAGAGATGGATAGGAAAGGAGATATAAGAGCGATCAGAGGTATGAGCTATTCCAGAGCTCCAATAGAAACATGCGCTAAGTTTACAGAACAATCACGACAAGAACTGGCCAAGGAGGAGTTGCTTCTGGCAATAGATTTCAGCACCGAGGTCACGGCGCAGAAGGTCTGCACATATCTTCTTCGCCAATTACAAGCAAGTCCCGATTTCAATGTGCGAACAGGCGGGCGTAAGCTTCCCTTAAGATACTAAGCAAGACATAGCTGATCAGTTACAGTCAATTTACCGGTTGAAACTTCAAGTTGCTTGCAGATTACAGAAGGGGAGGCTTCGCCCTCCGAGCCAGCTACACGCAAAAGAAAAGGTCCCAAGGTTAAGGATTTGCTATACATGCTTGAATATGATCATGAACTTCATCAAAAGGATGCCGAGGACTGTCTCAGTCTCGGATACACTCAAGATGATGCTGGCCAAGCCCGAGCAACCTGGGTCCTTCATTCAACCGAGATGGGTGAATTCCTGGCAGGGAAGGTCGAATCCCAGCTCCTCCTAATTAACGGCAACTCTGAAGCCACCGAGTTCATTTCTCCACTGTCGTTTGTTTGTGCAAAAATCTCAGATCTGATCAGCGTTTCTAACCACGTCTTGATTCTTACCCATTTCTGCGGTCGTCATACAGACGAAATGCGGGATTCCAAGGCGAATGCGACGGGGATGTTGGCCTCTCTTGTCGGACAGCTGTTGATGCAAGTCAAAAGCTGGGGGCACAGAAAATTCAAGTTGGATTTGTCCTCATTGAGTGACGATGATCTCAGCGAGACGGAAGATCTGGGTGTGTTGTTCAATACTTTCCGTACTGTTATCGCGCAGCTGCCAAAAGGGACTCTCATCTTCTGCCTCATTGACAGCCTGTCTGCATACGAGAACTCTACCAGAAAGGAGGAAACAATTGATTTCATGCGAAAGCTAGCACGTCTTGTGAAGAAATCAACACGCGTTGCGCTGAAGGTACTGGTCACATGCCCGGGGCGAAGCATGTATGCAAGCAGTTGGGCAGATTTCAATGACAGAAAATCACAAATGCTCCATGTACCCGAAGATATACTCGTATAGCTTGAATGAAAATGTATTCCATGATAACTGTCGACCCTGGAAGTACTCTCTAGTTTAATTAAAGTAGAGTAAGTACTTATTATTAAAATAGTAGTAAATAAGTTTACTAAAAATTTATTGCTTAAAAATATACTAAATTCGTATAATAGCTTAATATAGTAAATATTTCTTAATTAATTAGTTAATCTCTAAAGAGAAGTATTAGAATATAAGAGTTAAAAGAGTTCCTTTAGCTGGCTAATTAAGCTACTTAAGTACTTTACTCAGTACTTCTTTACTATAAGAGAGAAATAATATATATATATCTATAATAAGCTAAATACTCGGATATTATTATATCTTATACTAATTAGTATAGTATATAATAATAGAGACCCTAAGAAGCTATTCGGATACTATCGATATTATTTCATTGAGTCACCTAATTGATCACCTGACTCTATATATTCATGTATCTATATAAGTGAGGATTTCACCCTATAGTATTAGGCTCTTTAATCAATACAATTATCTCATTCTATGACCTATTCTGACTAATCAATTACTTGTATTATATATACTAATTTGGGTCCCAATTATCAACACAAGCTTATATAGAGTGGGCTGAAAAGAAGGTAGAAGCACACTCGGAAACTCAACAGCGATTGTCGAGTTTTAGAAGGTGCAATGTGAGTGCTGATCCGAATAGCATGTTCCACTTTATATTCAGCTAGGCTCAGTAGCATAGACGCACGCTTCGCTTCCCTGAAAAGGCTGGGAATATCATCTGATTTTGTCTTGGCGTCTGTATTGGAGTCCTTTCTTGCGCGGGATGGCAATATTCAATACTTACAACCCTGCCAAATTATCATGGCATATGCGTTGTATTGAAGAGATGATTGCCAGTATCGGTGGTGCCTCTACCAGTAAACTTGTTTTCGGAGAGACGAAGAGCAATGATGTCAAGTTTGGTGCTGCGAGCAAGCCCACAGATAAGACTACCCTCAGAGACTGACTTCGCCTGAACAACACCCGCAACAACCACGACGCGAATAGTAGGATTCAATTTGCGGACGTGTTGCTCGAACTGTACCACGGTCGTGCCATTGTTCACCACTGAATCCACTAACACTACAGTAGACTGTCCTTGCAGATGGTGGGGCTTGATGTCTTCTGGACAACTTGCATGAACAAACATGGTGAGCGGGAAGATATCGTTGACCCCAAAGGCCATCGGTTCTCCACCACGCATGAGCGCTACAATCGATGTCCTTTGCTCATTTAGCAGTCGATAGCCGCTTGTGTGATGACCTTGGACATGGGCCATCGAAAACTCTTCGATGCCAACCACGCGACTCAAAAACTCAGTGGCTAGATGACGTCCTACACGGCGATGACTTTCCCTCAGGGCTGGACCACCAACATTTGCATCTCGCATTGGCGTCATCAGGAGCTTCGTACCATTCTGGTCCGTTGCGTGGTGGACTTGGATGCCAGCTTGTCGACTACGATGGCGGAGGATAGTATCGACCAACTCTAGATCCACTATAGACACCAAGGGAAGCATATCGGTGTTTAGACGTGGCAACGAATCGCTGGGCAGCACGACCTGGCGTGCTCGAAGACCGCCATCACGGATTACGTTAAACAAGTCCAAATCCATCGTTCTGCTTCTGGTCTTCTCGTCGCCAACCACAACAATAGCCTGGTCTGCCTTGCTTAGCATCTCCAAGTCTAGCGGACTGTCTCCGAACGCCCAGACATACACCTGGTGAAGATTCTGCAAACGAGCCACCAACGCCGCCTTCACTCCAGCTGTAACGATAAAGCCATCTGCGACACGTCCTCCGCCGATTACTTTGATTGCTTTAGAGAGCCCTTCTCTCTCCAGCACCTTCTCCCAAACACGACGCAATCCACAGCTGATAATCACCGCGCCAACATGGTTCTCTTTCATCACCAATTTTAACATGGCCACAAATTCGGGATACATGATCACCGCCGATGCTACCTCTTGGCAGATGAAATCAAACACTTCGTCATCAGCTATCTCTTCATATAGCAATGTGGCCTGGCGAAAGGCAGTGTAAGAGTAACCCAATGAGCTACTGAACAACGTCTTCAAAGGGCAATCCTTCTCTGCTGGCTGAGAACTAGAAACCTTCTGCCAAAACAACATGCCAGTATCCATTGGGGCCAAGGTCCTGTCGGCGTCCATTACCAATACCGTCTCCAGCTCGGTCTGGCCAGCCACTACGGACTCATCCAGAATGCTCTCGGTAAGAGACAAGTTGTACTCCTCTGTATGATGTTGGAAGTCGCGTAGCAGCATCAAGACTTTGTCGAGTAGCGTTGGCTGCTGTGATACAAGCGAGAACAGAATGCCATGATTGCGGCAGAGACCGCGCAGCTGGGTCTTCTCTGCCTGTTGCCACTTTCCTAGATGGGTCAAGGATGTAGAAGGACGATCTCTCGTTGTGTCACCTTGACGACGTTGCAAGACGATCTCGACAGGAATATCCAGGTAAAGAACGTGCGTAAACGTTTCGAGGTCATTTTGGGTATATACTGGCTGCCCAGCTTCCTCTTCCTCAGTCCAGAATATGAAATGTCCGGCGACAACTGCAACTCGCCCACTATTGGCACACTCATTCAGAATTGTATCAATAGCAAGCCGGCGCCATTGTACCTTCTCACCCTCCTCCAGTCTCTGGAATGCTTCAAGGCCGTCAGGGGAGACATTGGCAATCATCTCAGAGCCATCATAGAACTCGAAAAACTCTTTACCAAGCTCGTGCTTCAGCTGGTCTAGCAGGAACGTCTTACCAGACCCCGGAAGTCCATATATGCCGATAACTACTACTCTCGAGCCAGTAGTAAGTCGATTGTTAAGAATAGCTGAAGTATTAATTCGAGGGTTTGTTGTTGGACCTGGCTTGCTGTTTGACGTGTCATTGGAGTTGGAAGCCATCTTAGAGATATTTTCAATGATCATGAGTAGTAGACGTGGGAGTATTGGGAGCTGATTTCATTCATCACTGTCTCGCTGGTCCTGTCTAAGAGGGCATTTAAATGCACAGTCTTCCAAGCTGCTTAGTGCATCCGTATTCGATGAATCTGTCTGGACAATATAATAATAGGATCTAAATCGTATCCTGGCTGAATTCCAACTCTTGTTCATTACAACACGCCTTGACCAATACCTTTCACGACGCCCTTTGCAGGAGGCCTTGCATTGCAGAGCTGTATCACGCCAACTCGGGGGCCTATAGTTGCTTACTTCGCCGAGCACCTCAAGTTGTAGGCCTCACAAATAAGCAATCGATACAGCTGGCTGCAGATGTTCCGCCGGTACGCTACGTTGTGCGCAGCTTTATCGCACTAAATTTGAGGCCTACAACCACTTGCTAGGGTAACAGCACATATGATGCCTACAATCGGGGTACTCGGCGAAGTACGCCCTATTGTGTCGAGCTGCATCACGCTCAATTTGATAGCTACAATTGGGTAATTCTGCGCCACGCTGAATCGAGGGCTACAGCTGGGCTGCTTGGCGAAGTGCACCGGATGGTGCATTATTGCACCACACCAATTTTGAGGCCTACAACCACTTGCTAGAGTAACAGCACATATGAGGCCTACAATCGGGGTACTTGGCGAAGTACGCCCTGTTGTGTCGAGCTGCATCACGCTCAGTTTGATGGCTACAATCGCATACTTGGGATTCGGTGTAAGGCACTCACTTCCACCTTATAAATTCTAATATATGTCCAGTTCAGGTTCGAGTTATCTTCTATTCTCCGTATAACGAAGAGCCGTTTGCGATGCTTGTCATTTATCTTATTTCGTAGTCAGAACACACGCTTAGTTCTACATCGGGGAAATTCGAGTTTATTATGACGGATTCTAAGAAGTTGCCTGGGCTTCCGCTCCATTAGAGAGAAGTCCATCGCTCTTCTTCAGACCACCATATATCCTTACCTTCATGTTACCCATTTGAGACGATCGATCCCAGTTTGCTAGATCGCAGACTTAACCCTCCGCCTTCCGACCAAACCGTGTTTGCATCTGGAACTCAGCAGCCTCAAGACCTCAATCTTGAACACCTTTCACAGGAGTACAGAAATCCCCCTCTATTACCTCAAATTTCAGTCGAGCCCAGTCATACGGAAATGAACCCTACACCTGTCCACGACCCTTTTGCTTCAGATGTACCCCCACAAGGACACAGTGTTCCACAATTCAATTGCAATGATTGTTCTCGCACATTCTCCTTGCGCTATGAACTCAAGTGAGGCTTTCTCGATTGTCACCCAATATATCCCATGGCTAATACAGATCCTTTGCAGTATACATGTCAAATGGCACACTAGACCGTTCAAGTGCCCCATTCAAACATGCTCCTTTCCAGGTTCTCAATACCGGAAAGACCGAGACCGCCATATCGATTCAAGACACAGAGGAGATGTACCTAATACGAGGCGCTTCTACTGTTCCATCGAGACGTGCAAGTATTCGGAAGCATATAAGAAAGGGTTTCCAAGGTTAGATGGCCTCAAGAGACATATGGGGAAGGCACATTTGGAGATAAGAGGGAGACAATCCTGAGTCTGATTAAGAAATTGCAACACATTCATTTTACTGTCGTTGACATTCGTTTTGAAGATAAGAAGGCGGTGTACCCTATATAAAACCTAGCCTTGAGCTTCCAAACACAAGAAGAAATCTTATAGCGATCGTCAGCTAGTGACAACCTGGAACCTCAATCCTTCCACTCTCCCAATAAGTGCTAACTTCCGTGTTTGTTCTGGCCATTTTATAGTGGTTTTTGATGTCGTACTCAGCTGATCACAACTGTTGATCATTGGTAAGACTGGGTACTAATTAGGAGGTGTGGTAGCACAACAGCAACACAATGTTTAAAAGGAGACCGTTGAGCTGGTTCATCCTCATTACTGCCATCCTCCACATCTTAAAAACAATGACTACCAATCTCGAGATAACTGGGAATGCGAGGGATCGATTCGTTCAGGCGGCCGCGCTCCTCTACCTCCTAGACCCCGTCCGTGGCGAGCCAACCGTCTACGGTCTTGATCAAGATGCGCCAAATCTACAAGCGCCGAAAGAGCAAGTATTGAAACGCAAGTTCCTTGATTCTTTCGCACTCATATGCGCCACAAGGCAGGATGGGGATGCTGTCTCGGCAGCATGTTTAGAGGAAGGGAAGCCTGAAGGGACAGTAGTTCGGATCGCAAGCAACGCTGGAGTATCCGAAGAAACCTTCAGCCAATTGAACAACATCTTAGGCTTACTTAGCAGTATTTCAAACGAAGGCATGCGCTCTTCGCCGTCATTCTCGATGAAATATGCTGACATTTTCTCTCTACAGTGCCTGGCTCACCCAGCAGGGAGATAGAACTGCTGGCTAAGATAATCCAACTCGATATTGCAAAGATTCGAAAGTACGTACGGAACCTCCGGAAGTCAAGAGGAGTTTTTGGAGAGAGCATCACATCTCTGGAGTCACGCCTAGTAGAAGCGCTGCCAGACTGTGCTTTACCGGCGATACAGCAGTTTCTTGAATGGTTCGAAAGGATCCACCTTTTCCAAGACCTGCCATCAGAACCAGGCCCAAGAATTTTGCTGGGGTATGTAAGATGGGCTCAAAGGGCGAAGAATGTATATCGCGACCTGTTGACACTTGCCTTCTCCAAGGGGGACCAGCCACTACCACGTTGGGTTCACATCGTCTTTAAACTTGGACGGTACGGCATTGCTGCGAGGGCCTTGGTACGGACTGCATCTGACCTCCCTGCTTTGTTTAATCCTATATTCGTCAAGCCCATAGGTGCACCTCCCAGAGCACAGTTTAATATCCGGGACGAAGAGATGCTCCTCAGTTGCGTGCTGCGCAGAATAGCAGAAATCAAGCCAAAGGAAATAATCCCTCGACTTGCTAGTATCTGGGATACTGATGATCCCGAAGCATTCTTCCGGAGCTCCTGTCCGGCACATCTTGTTGCCCACGCCGAATTACAAATAGTCAACTTCTACGATCATAATCCGGAGCAGATGCCTCGATTCCAATTTATCGGCGTAAGCAAGAAGTCCTGTTATCTATGCTCCGTATTCCTCGCAGCCCATCCCGGTGGCTTCTACGTTTCATCTTGTCATCAAAAATTATACCTATCTTGGATCCCGCCCCCAGCGCTGGATTCCAAAATCTACAAGCGATACAAGGTTATAACAACAGAAATGAGCAAGAAGATGGAAGCCATTGCGAGACAGGACTTGATCAGTCGTCTCGGGTCTAAACGCCATCCTATACCTGCAGACTCCACAGCTGGCGTCTCCATCACTGGTCTAACAGAGTCTAGGAGCTTGGAAGTCACAGACTTTGAAGAGCATGATGAATCCTATGTTGAAGTCGAAGTGAATACAGGTACCGGACAGCCTGACTCTACCTCCCACGCAAGAATCGCTAATTCTCAAGTCCTTTCTCACACTGTGAACCTTACGCCGCGTATTACTGATTCGCAGCCGGGCATTGTGTCTGAGGTGGACCCCTCAGGACAACAATTCGAATGGCAGGATTCCCAGGCATCTGTCTCATCGATGGTATTTCACTTTAAATATCCCGGTGGCAGGAGAAGGCAGGATATTATTATGATTGGCAGCGTCCTTGACCCTCACACGCATACCCCATCGTGGTCGAAGTTAATCGAGCTTCTGAACCAGGAAAACGGTTTCGGGCTCGCTTTCCGAGACTCAGACATCCTGATAATTAATGATCATATTCAAGTACGCAACGAGCGACAATTCATTGCTTGTTTACAGTACCTGCTGAATTCGGGCGTTTTGAATTCAGAAGTAATGATCTGCGATGGAAGGTCACTACTTTAGAGTTCTTAGGGTCGAAATGAGAGATAAGGCCTGTTGCTATCTGATATTTTGGGATTGAACAGCGGGTTCGACTTCAACGAGTGGGAGTGGCCGTTATCCATAAAAGCTTAGACCCTTAAGCAGCCAGCTTTGTCTGTGGCTATAGTACTTTTTGCTATTATGTTATGTCGTTGGCAGAGACGTTTACCTAGCGGAACCAAAAAGATCCGTTCCGACTTCTGAGACTTGGAATGATTAGACCGTGAGGCTCGCGAACATTTAAACTTAGTCAACTGCAATGCCTTGCATCCACAACCCCACCCACTCACACCGGCGTATAGTCCTGGCTATTAACAACTCAAATCATCACAATGTCGAGAATAATTAACACATTTACCGGAAAGAGATACGCAGTCTCACATATCTCCTACTACCTCGGTAACAATGCCTCCACCCATTCAGGCAGAGTGCAAAATCGTCAGCTCGAGGTTGAGCGCAAATTTTTAGTCACACCAGCTGCTATTGTCTACCTACGCTCAAACGGCGGAGGTTCAGGATTCAAGAGGTATGAGAGCCTCGGAAAACAGACCACCCACGACACCTACTACGATCGAAACAACGTACTCTTCTCCAAAGGAGTTTATATTCGTCGACGGAATGGACATTGGGAGGCGAAGATCCGGTCTGGTGGCGATTTCATCAATTCAGCTTTCACGGAGATCGACGGCAAGAATCCAGTAAAGGAGGTTGTCGAACAGAACTTGCCTGTCACTGCAGACGGACGTGGCATCGAAGAAATTTTAAATCCTTGCGCCGAATTTGTCACGGAACGAGAGTCCTGGATGATCGATGGCAGTTTCAAGGTCGACGTCGACACAACAGACTTTGGAAATACTGTTGGAGAGGTGGAATTGACAAGAACCCTCCGATATGCCGATGGCGAAGAAGGGGAGACAAACATAAGGGAAAAGATGGACCAAGAGATCAGGGCCTTTATGCAATCTTGCCCACAAGCATTCCCGGCTGGACGCCCGCTTGGAAAATTGAGTGCCTACTTCAACCAGGCCCAAAAGTAACATTCGAGCCTAATCTAATCGACCTCTGCACTAATCTTTTGCCCACCTCCCTTCATCCACACTACAGTTGGTTTTGACGCTGCGCCTATGGCCGATTCCCTCTTACTCTGCGACATCTTCCGCTTTTCAACGAGTGGGTTCTCTAACTTCTTCAAATCTTCCTTCAACGTCCTCTGCTGGTCCTCCACCTTTTTATTATGCTCCTTTATCTTCCTCCTCCTTGTATTACCACTTCTGACCATTTTGCTAGTTCTGTCCCACCGTATATATAAGTCTCTTCAACATGTAGCTTAGACTCAGAATCTACCTACCCACTAAGAGGGCCGACGGGATAACCGTCAGCTATTCGGGAACAGCCCGAAGAAGCAATGCGTGGAAACAAACCAAGGACTTCATTGCGGGGTTCAAGGATGTCTTCACGCGACCCTTCAAGGCCTGCTGGGTCGAGATTAGGGTCCACGATGACTTCGCGCTCGTCAGTTTGAGCGATATTCCATAAAGAGATTGTGGACACAGCGGGGTCGAGAAGGCTATTTCGGAAGTGGAGATGTAGCGAGGGCTTGACTAAGAGCGACACAGGTATACTATCTGCTTGATCCTAATTTGTTGTTCGTGAGCTACCATGAACCAGTCGGCCATCTCCTGGAAGATTTCTGAATCATGACGGTGTGCATTGTTGAATCCTGGGCCACTAACAAACACGTCACGGTGTCGGACCCACGTTTCACGAGTGCCCTCGGGATATAAATCGTAACAACAATCGGGGTCGAAAGTGTTACTATAAACTTCGATGATGAAGGCATCTGTAAAAGTTAGCTAGTGCCAAGAGACCCTTCTCGTCTACTCCCAACTATATCCACGCGCTCGAGATGGCCACTTTTGCCTTCAAACCTTATACCTACGTGCCAACTACTCCGCGCTCCAAGAGCACACTAACCCGCCGCAGACCTGCCCCGGAACAGGTCAGCATCCTCAACAAGCTCCAGTATATCACGTCGAGTAGTACATTACTTAGTACGACGCGACTAGTAGCGGCGGTAGTAGCTGATGATAACGGGGGCTACAAGCCCGTAATTCGAGGTATGTGATGGAGATATATTAGCTTGTAGCGACAGTGACTTACTTGTAGGAATCTGACCAGGTACTGGTAAGAGCTTGGGGCTTTGCTCGTGGCACCCCCCGGTTAAATTCTCCCCCAACTAAAAACAACCCACATTCCATTTACCTATAACTACCCTACAACGCGCTATTAATTAGCTTAATATTAATAGAATCCTCAATTCTTTCTTCTCCTATTACGCCTAGAGTAGCAAAAGCTAATTGGGATATTCCGACGCGCGCAAAAGTATACGTTTTACACGATACTAGTCATAGCTACAAATCGATCAATAAACTTACTAATATTCCAAAGTTAACAGTACGAAATATTATTAAAAGTAGATCTTCTCGGTCTCTTCGAAAAGGCAAAGTGACTAAGCTTCAAAGTTTAACAAAACGAGATATTCGACGAATTCTTCGATATATATCTACTTCTTGGGATACGCGACGTACTTCTTGGTCTCGAATTAAAGTAGAGCTATTTCTAAACGTTTCTTCTTCTTGTATTCGACGTACACTTCGGAAGCTTGGATATCGTCGTTGTATAGCCTGTCCTCGACTTTTTATCTCGAAAAAACAAGCTAAAAGACGCTTTACTTTCGCGTTAAAATACTAGTAGTAGGGGACTCTGGATTGGAGACGCGTTCTCTGGAGTGACGAGGCAACATTTGAGATAGGAAAGAGAGGAAAGATCTAGGTTATTCGGAGGCTAGGAGAAAAGTACTGTCAGACTTATATAAAGTCGGTTTATAGGACTGGGAGAATAAGCGTCATGATATAGGGGGCTCTTAGCTGAGATTAGAAGTCTCCTCTTGTGTTTTTGGAGAAAGAGGACGGGAGGAGGGGTATTTGCAGCCAGGTATACCTAACCCAAGTACTAGACGCTGTTGTTTTCTTTTACTTTGACTCTCTTAACGAACAGGAGAAAGAGAAGTTAATATTTATAGAAGATAGAGCTAAAGTCTATATAGGGAAAGCTAGGTTACCAAAGATCAATAAAAGGATTAGAAGGTTTGATTAACCTCCTTCTTTCCCAGATCTAAACCTAATTGAGAAAGTCTAGAGATAGATGAAAGACGAGATTACAAAACTACTAAATCCTCCAACTTCTATTAATAAGTTGAAAATAGTATTACAAGAACTATAGAATAAAGTTAATCCTATAGAGTAGAGATATTTAACAGAGAAGCTAACTTGTAAATTTGAAGATATAATTAGTACAAAAAGAATAGCAACTGTTAATTAAAATATACTTATAATTATAATTCATTGTTCTAATATTAATTGTATATAAATTTATACTATAATAATTGTTTTGTTGTAGTAGTAGTTTGTGGTAAGTTTGTAGTTTTAGTAGGGTGAGCCGGGAGGTGCTACGAGCAAAGCCCCAAACTCTTACTATTTACAGCAGTAGCGACAAAGTAAATAATGACGAAAACGACGATAACCGAGACCTCCTTATAATCGAAGAACTACTGTTTAGTAAGCTACAAGCGCAGGCTTCATAATTGGGGGTCGAGGCTCTAACAAGACGGGCAGAGTAGAGGAAGTAGCTATAGATAAGAGGGGTAGCTTTGTTGACTAGAGTAAGTTAGCCCAAAGCGATAACTTAGGCGGGAGTCTAGGTGAGCTGTGCCTGTAACGCCCTTTATCATAGAAATAGATGGCTAATTTTTCTGATAGAGTATAGAAGATCTAGTTGTCCTCCTAGGCGACGGCGACTTGAGTGCCTCCGAAGCCGAAGCCAATGACGTTAGTCTTCGCGCCGAAAGTGTAATAGTACTAAGCGCTAGACTTTTCGATAGCCTAGAGACAGCCTTCGACTCGACAACTCCAGCCCTTCCTTGTAGTTCCGATAAGTGGCACGATATTGATAACTTCCCCGAGATAGCTCCGCGCTTGCGACTTGCGGAACAAGGAGCTTCGACGTCAAACTCTATGTATTCTTATACCCCTTCTTCGCGCCTCTCGAGTGAGCTATTGCACGACAACATCAGTATAGAAGGATCGCGCCACGGCAGATCCGAGGCTACTACCCCCTCTTCGAGCCCGCCTCCGCGCTATTATAGAGCGTCACTATAGAACCAGCTCAGTCAAGAGGGTTGTCTTCATACCGGTTGAGGCGTAGCAGACGAACACTGCACGCAATGCCGATCCTGTTGATGAGAGGGAGAGGCGGCAGCAGCAGCAGGACATATAGCAGGAGGACGACGTAACAACCTTTAATATATAATATATTATTATTAATTATATATACTAAAAGCTTATCTTCTAATCACATCCGATTGATCCTATCCCTTTGATACTACTTATATTGTAGAGGAGCTAGGAGGACCCTTAGGATTATCAGGAGGAGCCGTGGATAAAACAACCAAAAGACTATAGCCAAGGTAATGGGCATCAATTAGGCGATGGGCGCGGTGTCGGATTATCGTCGTTTAGTCATTTGGCTAAAGAAGTCTAAACCATAGTTTAATGTTCTTGTGAGAGGGGAGGGGTGAATATTCAGGGCGCACTCGGGCAGTGGCATTCAGGACGACTAATAGTCACAAGATCCAGTCATTATTAGAAGTATAGCAAATCGAGCTTGCATTCGTAATTATCCCAACTAGCCAGCTTCTCCCTAGTCCAGCTATATTGTAGTGAATCGCATATGTTGATTAATTGACTAGTGATTGATTGATTGTATAAAAGAGAGAGTGAGCGCCAGGAGCTTATATGCCCAGGTTGCCCCACTTATCCACGTGCTAATTCTAATACAGGTAAAGGTGCAAAAACAAAAGTAAGTAATTGGTGGTTCCTTGATCCCCACCACAATACCTCTACTTAAATAGGTGCCTTGTAAAAAGGTACCTTCTTTTGTGGGTCCTTAAGTTAGAAACTGTTTTAAAAGCTCTCTTATGTAAAGAGAGGTTGCTCCTTTTAGCTTGTATATTATAGATAAAATACAGTTGTAACAACAAGGGTTACAAAGGACTGATGTGCGGACGACTCAGTAATACAACTACTCTGTCCCAGGTCCAAAGTCGCGCAATAGTAAGTGCATTAGTATCATTATCTTTGTAAAAATTAAACTAAAATGTATCAAGTCTAGCATTTGTTAAAATTCAATTCGCTGAGTTCTACACGGTTTGATTCTAGGTATTTGATTTAGAGAGTGTACTGGAATCCCGGAAGGTCTGCAATAACCCGTTTTCCTTCAGCCGCTTGTTTGTTTGCATAACGGAAATAAAGGACCATTGACGATGTGATTAGGATGACAATGATATTGGCACTAAAAGAAATCCATAAGTTAGCGATAGTATACTAGTAAGCAAGCAAAAAAGAGAGTTGAGCTAGAGTTGCGATGGAAAGGGGACCGTTTTACTTACGCGATTGAGGCATACATCCCAGGTAAATATAAGGGAGCGTCCTGAGAGCGGAAAACAAGAGCACCGATGATGCCACCAAGACCTCCCATGCCAACCAAACTCGCGCTGCAAAAAGTCCGGTTCCAATGCCCTCGAATGTTGTTTGCTTGCCAGGCCAGGACAGCAGGGATGTTGGAGTTGCAGCCGGAGGTTACAAGGAAGACACCAAAGTATTGCACGCCGGGGATGCTAGTCCAAGCCAACAGGCACAAACCGAGAATAGTTTGAAGTGCGTTGTAGAGAATGGCAGCGCTTCGGACTTGATACTTGTCACACAACCAGCCTTCAGCGTACATCATAACGCCGGCGAACATGTAAGGTGGAGTGCAGAGTAGCTGAGAGACTCCGATGCTGAAGCCAAGTTCATGATTTAGAATCAAAGGAAGGAAGTATGCAACGGCATAGCCCATGATCGTTGAGCAACTGTGACCCAACATTAGCTTAGCTCTACCTTAGCCTTGTACGCATAGCATGCTGGTATCAGAACAGGATAATATGACTTGAGTGTAAAGCATCCCGTAACCCCAGATCCTCAGGTCAAGAGCCGGTCGAAGAAAATTCACCAAGTCGAACTTCTGATCAACAGCAGCATCATTTCGATCTTTCTCGATGCGTCGAATGATAAGCGCGGCTTCTTTCTCCGTAAGAAATCTCCACGCTTTTGGAGCATCTTGCGGGGAACCGACTAGGAAGCAGAAGGCGATTGCGGCAATGACACAGGTTAATACGCCTTCCATGACGAATATCCACCTCCAAGCTCCTAGGCCTCCCAATCCTGCCATCTGCATAAATGCATAGGATAGCACACCTCCAAGGGACGAGCCGACCAGTCCAATCAAGTAGAAGAAGGAATAGCGCTTGTGAATGTCGTCTAGAGCATGTTAGTCAATATACAGATCAAAGGAAATAATGGAGACAAACAGCGAGTATACCACACTGACATGAGGTAGATTGTTCCCGGGAAAAGACCAGATTCAAGGATTCCGAGAATGATGCGGAGACCAACTAGAACAGTCCAATTGTGCACGAAGCCAAATCCCTTCGTTGGGGGTCAGACAGCAACTTGCCATGTCAAAACACGAACCTTTACTTACCAAAGAAACCAACCCCCAGGCTGCAGTTAAGGCAGGTAAGGTCCATCTTGGGCCCAGCTTACGTACCAACACAGTGCAGGGTAGGATAGCAGCAATATATGGTGCGAAGAAAATGAGGACGATGAGAGACTATTGAAGAATTTTAGCCTCATCGTCCGATGGGAGTGTTTTTTAAAAACTGCACTGTGAGACTTACGTATCGAGTTCCTGTCGCGAGTCCCAGATCTGCCGACATCCTTTTCACATTTCAGTCAGCGGCGATATAAAGTCAAATTGCGGATTTAGAGCAATTGCTAAGGTCCAAATGTTGAAGAAACAGCGTACCCAGCAATGTTCGCATGTCCGAGGTTCCCTCTGTCTAGGAGACTAACAGCGACCATAAGACCACAGACGATAATGAGGCGTCTGTCAACCCTGTGGATAATTTTGCGTACTTCGGACTCTGTGTATTCTTCATCGGCGAACTTGCCCTCGTTGGACATTTCAATTTCATTGGAGGTGGCCTTTTCGATTCGCGAATCTGCGATCTCGTCCTTGGAAGACATCTTTTTCAGAGGCAAATAAGGTGAAAGCTACTCAACGGCGATACTCTGTTTGAATATAATGAGAAAGAACTATGTCAAATGGAACACAGATATCACCTTTATGTGCGAGTAGATAGCTAGGTTCAAAGATCATAAATGTGACGTTATATATATTTGTTCTAGCTCAGTCCATGCGATTGAGGACATCTGCCTAGCAGAGAAAAGCTAGGGCAGAACGAAATGCGGGGTAACCCCATTTGTAGAACATGTTCTAGTCGGAATGGTGTGGAACTGATTTTAACGCGAAAATATCCATATTTGTTGGTCACTAAGTGGAGGGTACATCGACGGCCGACAGCGCCGACAGTGCCGACCAGTACCGAGCCCCTCTACCGACGAGGTCTTAGTATCCATCTCCATAGAGAAGCGGTGGGGACCTGCTGCCGAAATGCGGACGGCGGTTTGGTCTTGGAACTTGGCCTAAAGCTGAGCGGGCTGTCGAATTACAGATTCAAGAATACCTTAGTCTCCTTTCCTAATTCCAGCACCCAACACTATATGGGTGTCTCAACCTCAGATTAGACTAGCCCGGACATCGCAAGTTTTCGGAAATAAATAGGTGGAATCACTTTTACTAGGTCAAAGTAGGTTTGACAGGCTAGAAAGTGTGCTGTATAAGTTGTGACTCAAGCTGTTCCTCGGCAGTGCCAGAGCCCATCTATTCGAACCGGACTTCATATTTCACGGTCAAGCAGTTCATTGCTCGTTCCTCGGTCTCACAGGGCCCAGCTTCTGGCCAGCTTGTTCTAGCCGGACCCCCCTTGAAGTGGCATTGGTGGTCTTTAGTAGCTTTGTGTAAAAAGCTGAGGTCCATTGGCAAAGGCGAGTCCGTATGACAATTCCGAGTATTCATCACAAATCCAGCTCAAATCATCGTCGAAATCCGCTAGGGCTCCTGTCCCAAGCACCATTTCCTGAGTACTATAGTCCAGCAGCTTCAGCCTGGGACTGAAGGAAGAAGGGAACGGGAATAAGTCGCGCAGTGCAGACATCTTATGATCTTCACCAATCTCGTTGACGTCTTGTGATGCACGAAGAGTTGTGGAGCTTCGAACCCGAACGCGGCTCCGAGATGCACGAAGTCGGTTTACCGCGTTTAAAACCGCTGTTGCCCCAGGCACCTTAGTCTGTAGTTGCTCCAGCGCTGCCACTATAATGTCCAGCTCCTCGGAACAGAGCTGATCTTGGTCATAGAGGCCGACGGTGGGGTTGTAGAGAAGTTGCGGTACGGACGCCACCAGTAAGAACCACATGTTAATGCCTAGTAGGTAATTGATGTCGTCTCTGTAGTACAACTCTTGGTACAAACGCGTGATACAAGATGAAGCCACCAGCGACGCAAGGCTAGTTGCAGAGAAGCTGGTTTGGTCTCCAAATAGATGGAGGTAGGTGATAACAATGATGAAGTACACCGTATGGACCTCGTATACGTCTCGCCGATAGCGTCTGCGGCCATGCCGGTCATGAAGACGAATACTTTCTGGAAGATTATGCGTCCAGCCCTTGAGGGATTCCAAGATAGCCGCACTCTACAAAGGTCACACAATAGTAAATATAGTTTCTAAGATAACAGTTGCAGAAAAGGCGATGGAGGAAACGTAGGGTGACACTGACACATACCTCTTCTTGAATATGTGCAGCCCGTCGCAAGTGCAGCTCTAAGATCCGGCCGAGGATGGAGGCCAGTTTTGCGAGTGCCATGAAAAGTAGTGCTGGGGTATCCGAAGTCTCAAAATCCTCCATAATTAAGGGCCGAACGTCGAACTCATGTACTTTTATCGTAGTTGGTCGCCCAACTGCGGCCGATAGAAGCTTATCCTGGGTCTGTATGATTGATAAGCAATCACTTGAGAACGTTTGAGAATTAGATGGACGTACGAAAATACACCAAGCAATCCGACGAGCAGTTCCAGGCCTAGCTAATTTGGCACATGTTGCTTCACGATGCAGGCCCATCTGGTGCAACAAGCTCGTTGCTACACCAAGCCAATGCCAACCGCAGTCAAATGTCAAGATCACGGGCCCTGTTATGTTCCAGGTCATCAAAAGACACAACGTCTTCAAGATATTGATATGATCCCGCTCGTGATTCACATGAATGAGAGTTTTGGCTTTGGCATAGTATTGACCGCTCTCGGCTAAGGGGTCAGGCCCCTTAGGGTGCCGGAACCTCGATCCGATCATGCAAAGTGCCTGGCACAGCACAACAGAAGGCTGATTAACAAGAAGATCTTCGCGGTCAACTACAGGTAGACGATGAAAGGCATATTGGAAGTAAGCATCGGCGGAGGCGTTGAGGAAGATTTCTGAAGGTAGTGAAGCAGCCCCAGAGATTTCCAAGATCTGTTCGTTCATACTCTGCGAGAATGCCGTCGTCTTTTGGTGATCCGGGGGAAGTGACGGAGTATCATGTATCATGCACGTCATTTCTCCTAGATACTGGCTATGTAATGGGGCGGACGCTGTTTCAGCTCCCTCTTGGCCTTCATTGTGGTTTGAGTCAGGCTGCGATGAATAAGATAGCCTTGATGTGGGCAGCATACTACAGTCCTGGGGAGTCGGTTTCGCAGTTCTTGGGGATGTTGGCGACTGCGTCGAGTAGTATTTCTCCTTGACTGTCATCCTGTGACCTGTACGACGCCTAGGAAACAATCAGCGCCCTTGGTTTAGAGTCCAGGAGACTATCCTACTCACTCGCATACCAAGCCATGTTTTGAGCAATTGCTACATGGCCCTCTACATCGACTTTGGAGATCGCATTTGACCTTTCGGGCGTGACAATGAATGCAGACGACCTTTGCTCGATCACGGATGCCTTGGATTGATTGCCGAGTGGTTGCCATGGTTCGAGGGTTTGAGGGTGGACAATCGTCATTCAGCATGAATCTTAGTTCGTCTTATAAGGTAAGTCAGTAACTCCGGCCGTAATTGCCTGAACTTGCTATCAAGTTTTGGCATTGTGTTTGAGCTCACAGGTCCGAAGTACCGAGGTGAAGACTGACTTGACAACCTATTCTAAAGTGGGGTACCTAGGTAAGACACCAACTTTTACATCCGTGACCCGACTTTCAGCCATGGCAATCTAATATGATACTGGGAAACGTAACAACATATTGCCAAAGGGTAGAACATGGCATTGATGGTCATATTCTACGTCATTTATTTTGCTAAGCCGCATAGGAAATCCGCGTCTCGCCAATGTGGACGAGGTCAGGCGAATGGTTGATGCTGGTCACTATATACCTAGGTACTCTCTGCATGGCTACTATACCTGTGGGGTGGGTGTGGGTGTGGGTGTGCATGGGTATACCTTTTAACATTTTAAATGTCAATAACTTTGTACCTCACAACACGTTTAAATACTTTAAGCTATGGTAAATGCAGTGCTATCACTACACGCTATTTATAAACGCAAATGCTTCTTGGAAGCTTGGGAAGTTGAGCTAAGCACTACGAAGCACGGGCCGCGGTGAGAGTTACTTTTGAGAATTAAAAGACCAGATACCACAGTATATTTTAACTAGATCACATCGAAATAGCATTTTATTATCTTGAGGTAATGTGCAATGCATATTTCATTGGTAGATATGTCCTCCATAAGAGCGGGCCCATCGTATCCACGAACAGTAGCTTGACTTGCTCATGATGTGATTGCATCAATCGTAGTCACCTTCGGATATTCGTAAGAGCCATTCAACATCTCGTCCGCTGGAGCGAATAAGCGCACTAAAATGCCCATAATCATCAGTACATATATCATCATATCACGGACAAGGATGTTACCCACGTGTGAAGGAGATACAACCTCCCCCTGCTGGTGCTGGGAGCCAACTATGGTTTTCATGTGATCAGCGACACTCTTCATGCCAAATCTCAGTGTAAATCAGAGCTTACTTATTGTTCCAGCTGCTTGGAGGCGATATGTCCGCCGGCTGGGCCAGGATATTAAAATTTCCGTCGTCTCTTTCCTTCAATGGCGTTCCATCGGCGTATCGCAGGTCGCTACGATCTCCCAATGCATATTGATCAAGCGTGTTCTCGACAAAAAGTTGATCGTGACCGTACAAACTCAAGCTCCAGAAGCCTGTTGGCTTGACACGAGGTTTCCCTGAAAACGAGAAGAGGAGCGCCTGCTTTGGCCCAATCTTCATTTCTGCAACACCAATTTCTGTGGTACCATCGACAGGGAAGTACGAGGGGTACATGGATTGGTCCACCGTCGGTTGCAAATACCCACGTACTGCCACCGAATACCTCGCTTGGTAGAAAGATGTTGATTAATGGGACCCAAATTGGTATACTTAATACAGGTAATTGATTGGTCAGAATAGGTCATAGAATGGGGTAATTGAATTGATTAAAAAGCCTAATACTATGGGGTGAAAGCCTCACATATATAGGCAAATGAATGTATAGGGTCAGGTGATCAATCAGGTGACTCAAGGAAATAATACCGATGGTATCCGAATAGCTTCCCAGGGCCTCCATCATCATGTGCCATACTAATTAGTATRGGATGCGATGATATCCGTGTATTCGGCTCATCGCGAGTACACATATCTCATTTCTCCTTTGTGGTAGAGAAGTGCCAAGTAGGGTGCCTAAGTAGCTTGACCAGCCGGCCAGGGGAACTCCTATAACTCCCATATTCTAACACTCCCCCTCAGGGATCGACCACTTAATTAGGACTTATTTAAGGCCTAATTGGGCTTATCCCTGGAGTCGAGTTTGTTGGAGATATCCACTATATTGAGTTGCTGTACGAATTCGGCATATTTTTGGGCAAGTAAGCTTTTGGTAAACCTATCTGCCACTATTTTGGCAGTAGGTACCTACTCCACCTTAATTGACTTAGAAAGTACTTCTTGGCGCAACTAGCACTGATGGATATCAATATACTTGAGTTTAGTCTCTAACTATGGAATATCTACAGTGAGAAAGCGTATTATCTGTTGATTATCACAGTATAACGTCTGTGATTAGTCGTCCTAGAGATCGAATTAGATAGCTTTGAAGAACTTATTCTACTAAATAAGTTCCTTAGCAGCTAATGAGATGGCCAGGAGCTCTGCTTCAGTACTCGACGTAGTAACAGTCTTTTACTTAGTAGCTTTATAGTGGATTACTCTACTAAAGAGTTTAAAGTAAAAGCTATTTGAGCTATATCTAGTAGTTGGATTATCCCTATAAGCTGCGTCGCTCTATGCCGAAAAGAGCTCTTTGGATTGAGTCGCGTTACTATTGAACTCAATAGCCAATCCCTTACTGCTTTCTAAGTACTGTAATAGGTAGTCAGTAGTAGTAAAGTGTTTTGGTCCAGGATTGAGCTGAAATTCGGCCAATCTGGAGATAGCTTTAGCCACGTCAGCACGTATAATAACGGAGGTGTAATTAATACTACCCACTTTTTGCTAGTAAGTAAAGATCTGTTGGGGGGTAGCTTGGCTAGTATAAAAGCTTAATTCTCTAGTTGGCAGTAGAGTAGATAAAACTTTAGTATTAATATTGACGTTGAATTTAGAGCTCATACTTTGAATATATAAATCCTGAACAAGCCAGAGTTTCTTAGTAGAACGCTCTCTAAAGATTCTGATCCCAAGAAAGTGATTAGCTTCTCTAAGTAAGCGCAAATAGTATTTAGCTATTAATTTAGCTTCAAATTAGTCTATTTTGACAGTATCTTTTGGAGTAAAAATAGTGATAATATTATCCACGTAAAAGAATAAAGTAAACTAGGAGCTTGAGTATAAGTAATTAACTCTAGGAATAGGGTAAAGCTCTAACTAGATTAGAGTAGATGTGAGTTCCTTATACTAGAGTAAAAGCGACTCTTTGAACTTGTATAAAGCTTTGTAGAACAACAACAGCTTGCTAGGAACTTTATACCTCTCAAAGTACTTACATAACAGTAGAAGCTCCAACTTGGAGTTAATAAATATATTAACAGTATTATATTAGCAAGTCTCTAAACTAAATCCAACTACTAGAGCTATTATAAATCTGAAGGTTTGAACGGCCAAAGTTGCTGCGTAAATCTCTTACTAATACTTTAGCTTTTGCAGGTCTCTCCTAGCACAGAGCCTAGCTTTGTGCTTAGTCAGGAATCCATCTATATTGAGCTTGTATTTGAATACTCAAATAAGTAGGAGTAGTTCCTGCACTTGATAATTCTACTTCGGAACGAATTCAAATACTTCTATAGTCTTTAGTGTATTAAATTCGGTGTCGGCTGCTTTCCTGAATTCAGTAGCATTTGGGTGACGAATTATTTGATGCCAGCTCTTGGGTTCTTTTTCAAGCTGGGTGTGATATAGACATATTTGAGTGGAAGCCAGCGAATAAGTAGCTCTAAAAGCTATATTATACTCTGATAAGTGATAGGTATTAAGGAGTGCTGTAGTGTATACATTCCTCCGTCTCCTGCTCCTTGGTCCTTGTATAATATTTTCTTCGTCCAGGTAGGACGAAATCTCATTTCTGCGGGTACTTGAGTTCTCTACACTGTTTGGCACTGTATTTTGGCCTGTGGACAATGAATCTATTGATTGGAATACAGTTCCCTCATTATAGGTAGCCTCAATCGTAGAATCAGGGCTTAGATTTGCTGGTAGTAAAGTTGGAATTGAAATTGGATCTGGTGTAGTCTCCGGGGTTGGGTAATACGCTGTCTGATCATTCGCTTATTTGTTTTCTGCTGTCAGCTGCTGAGTAATTGTATTCTCAGCTTCCTGATTGGCTAGTTGATCTTCGGGAGTACTAAGAGTAGCTGTTTCTGCTGGCAGAAATGGAACGTCAACAATGATAGTATCTGAATCTACATCCACCTCCCCCTCAGCGATTATATCGTCTAGGAACTGAAGACTTTCAATAACCTCCTCCTCTTAACGTAATACAAAGCCTAGATCAATATCACCTAGCTAGTAAAAGCTTTTGTAGTCAAACGTCGTGTCCCTAGTCTTTACTACTTTCTCTAGTGATAGGACCTAAATTCGGAATATATTAGTCGACGAATAGTCTATAAAGTACCCAACGTAAACCCTTGGATATATCTTTTAGGACTTTAGTATACTTTTAATTAAAGTATATACTTTACAGCTAAATAAGTATAAGTACTCTAGCTTAAACTTATATCCTTTAACTGACTCAAAAGGTGTTTTCCAGGAAAGAGTTAATATTAGACGTCTATTAGCTAGATAAGCTGCTATTTAGTATACTTCTAGCTATAAGTTGAATAGTATTTTTACAGATATAATTATTACTCTAGTGATTTGGGTGAAGATCTTACTAACGCGCTCAGAGCTTCTATTTTGCTCAGGAGAGTCAGGAGCTGTTCTCTTTTACTTGATACTTTTTGAATTAACGAATACAGCGAATTCGGTATTTAAAGCAGTTTCTCTATTAAGACGAATAAATCGAACGTTATATCCGAATTGGGCTTTGACTTATATTATAACTTATACTATAAAGACAAAAGAGTCGGATTTCGAGTAATAGGTAAATACAAAGTGATATTAGTAGTCTAGATAGCAAAAATAACTTACCTATTTATATTTATTATAACTTATATCTTCTTGGATTAAGTCCTAAGCTATATAGTCGAAAAGCTTCCTATTTGAGCGATCGTCGATTTCGGTTCTCCTGGAGATTACTCTGTGGACTTTGGAAATATTACAATCTTTACAATCTATTATTTTAAGTGTCGGACTTTCTAGATCAAGAACTATCAAGTTCTCTACTGAATTAGATATATAGTCGATAACTTGTAGTCTTAAGTAACTAAGTACTAAATAGAGTTCTTGTTTTGTCAGCTTAGCTATTAGTAATTAAGTTGAAATAGCAAATGATAAATATTCAATTTCAGTAGTTTAGTCGATAACTAAGTGTTTGTCGATCTTTTTGAAATAATATATAGTTTCCCCTGTATTTTGGTGTAGTTCTAATAGTTGTCGTGAACTCTAGTAGAGTCCTTTTTCATTGATAATATCTATAACTACAAAGTTAGTCATATATCCTAGTACTAAGGCTATATTGACTAACTTGATTTAGTCAGAGCTTTTTAAAGTATCTATATTCAGGATTATAGTTCCCTAAACTTCAATTAGATAAGTTGTTTTACTAGAAGTAAATTTATCACTGTTATAGGTATCTTTAGTCTTTTTGAATTAGCTCCTCTTTCTGTCGTTATATAAGTGTATATCGGAAATACTATCAAGTATCTAGCAGTTTACTAAGCGATATATACTAGTTTGACTACTAAATATATATACTCTGGCGAAGGAAGTAGTATAAACTGCTAATGTTCTTTCAGGAGTAGGGCTCGAAATAGAAGCTAGAGTAGTAATAGAGCTTTAGTTATTTGCTAAGTCGTACTTTTTTTATATCTACTGTTCCTTTGTTTTTGATTAGTCCGGATAGTCTAATAACTTGTTTAATTAGTTAATTCTTTCCGGATTAAACTTCTAATCTGTAGGTCTTTTTGATAGATTCAAGTACTAACATTGTTCCTGTTTATAAGTAAATCTATATAAGTACTTTAACTTTGGGGTTTTCTTAGATTTTACTATTTCATCTTTCGGGAAGTTCCCTAGCTACTCCTGATTCTGGAACGTAGTAAAAGATATGTGTGTTTTTAAATAACTAGAAGCGGCAATATTTCTCCGGTATATATCTCTGAAATCTACTACAAGATTATATAGAGTTGGTAATAGAAACTTGTTCCTGATATCTTTAGTCAAGTGATAATCCTGCGTTGCCGAAAAGTTGGGTTCAATTAGCTTTATAGCTTATACAAAGTCAAGGAGAAGTTTGTTACTTTAGACTTCCGATAGATTAAGTTTTATAGCTTTTCTATAAATAGTTTCCTACTTTTAGAAGAATTATTCAATACTTTCTCTTTTATTATACTTTCTCAATTTAGCGTATTCCGCCGACAAGTCTAATTTAGTTGTATAGTCGGTAGGAACTAGATACTTTTTAAATACTACTAGTATATCGTATATAGTAGCTTGATCCTGGAAGTATACTTTATTCCTAATCGAGATAGACTTGAAGATATACTCTTATACTGAGTTGATCAGTCTGGAAGTCTCCTAGTACTCTTTATATTCGATCTAATAGTCGAAGTACTATAGGCGTAATAGCTCTATCTTATTAGCTGAGAACTTGCTGGGTAAGTCAACTTCAGAGTTAATACTCTTGAAAGTAAACTTAGTTGGCTTTTGACGTTTTTCAGGAGTAGTTTCCGAATTAGGATTAATATACTCCCAAGCGTACCGGTCTTCTCCTGAGGCTATTGATCTAACTATCTCAAGCTAGGGTTCCCAGTCTCTGGGCTTATCAAGAACTAGGGGTAGTCTGGATATAGTTGGAGTTGAATACTCTGTCGACATATTAGTAGATATGAAAAGTATAAAGTAGTAAGAAGTGTAGATTACAAGGGATTTGAAAGTATTGAAGAATTAGTAGTAGAATTAATAGGATTCCAAATAAATATGAAGAATACTCAAACAATTTGTTTGCTACGTGATGTTTTAGCAGCCCGGGCTCATAACTGTTGATTAATGGGACCCAAATTGGTATACTTAATACAGGTAATTGATTGGTCAGAATAGGTCATGGAATGGGGTAATTGAATTGATTAAAAAGCCTAATACTATGGGGTGAAAGCCTCACATATATAGGCAAATGAATGTATAGGGTCAGGTGATCAATCAGGTGACTCAAGGAAATAATACCGATGGTATCCGAATAGCTTCCCAGGGCCTCCATCATCATGTGCCATACTAATTAGTATGGGATGCGATGATATCCGTGTATTCGGCTCATCGCGAGTACACATATCTCATTTCTCCTTTGTGGTGGAGAAGTGCCAAGTGGGGTGCCTAAGTGGCTTGACCAGCCGGCCAGGGGAACTCCCATAACTCCCATATTCTAACAAAAGATTTGTAGTCCCCGCAGATCATAGGGGAGTTTGTGCGCCATCTATTCCCCAAGTTCCGCACAAATCCAGCTGTCGACTTCAAAGCCAATGCAGATAGCTTGGCGTCTTTGACAGCAGCGGTTAACGAAGTATTTGGCGGCTGAGTGAATTTCCCATTCTTGATGCCGGCCTTCTCTAGCACAGACGCCACCCAACCTCTGTCGTGTAAAACTTCCGGTGGATTTAAAGATGCCAACGCCGCTGTGAGTCGTAGGACCTGTTCCTCCTCCGAAATCGGGGATGATCCGGAGCCTGTGACCCCATCAAAGATGCCCAGGTCAAAAGGTGGTGCAATAGGACCCAACCTCAGTGGTACACTTGATACTTTTATCGCATCTTGCAATTTGTTGACCTTATCCTTATCGGTAGTTTGGTCCTTTAAAACTATTCTAGAGAGAAAAATCCCGTAGGGTGTTGGGGAATTGATATATGCATTGTACTCGCCACTAACCCCTTCAGTTTGCAGTCCAAAATTGTCATTGGTAAATCTCAAAAGGTAATTTCCAGGCTTGTGGTCTGACTGGCTCCCAACGCTGGCATAGTTGTTGCCATACCTTTTATAGATCAGCAGGGCCGCTTAGACTAGAAGCCAGTTACTTACATATCATAGTATGAGAAAGACCAGAAGCGACTGTCGAATTCTGGCGCAGAAAGGCAAAGGTCGGACTGGGACAGATCATAGAAAATGAACGAATAGAGCGTGTCGTTGTTAGGGCGAACCACCTTGGTCCAGCCGGCCTTGATAAGGTCTCGTTCATGGATGAAGCTGTTGGTACTGCTGCTCTGTTGTCCTTTTACAAAGCGCCCATAAGCGTAGAGCGGAAAACCATACTATTCAATGTCAATAGAGCGACTCATAGCTCAATCAATTATAGGCTATTAAGCTTACCTGGTAGGCAAAAGCGAGTGCATCTTGAGCCTCAATATTGGTAGCCTCTGAGTTGTGAGAGCTGTTGGTGGTCATCTTGGAACCTGGAACTTCGAAGAATGTCTTTGGTCGTTTGCGTTTGATACAATAACATTGCGCCGATATAGGGCCTCTCAATAGATATTATATACTTGTTTTGTATCTCGACCATGTAACGCCTCGGTTACCATCTTTGCTATGAGTAGTAGCCAAATGTTTCGCATGTTGAATCTTTGGTAGATACCTTTAGGTTACGTTTGAATGCGCTGTACCGAATACCGAAACGCGGGGGTTTAGTGGCGCCGAAAGGCCCACTGTACTTCATACCGCCGAGTACCGAAATGTAGAGTTTAGTAGCGCTAAAAGGCCAAAGACTTCCGTTAACATTTGCCTTCAAGTTGGTAATAGATTTATTAGTACAACCTCTCGCATTTAAAAGCCTCGGCTTAGAATCCCCTCTCATTTGAGTAAGAGACATCTATCAACATCTTGTCGCGCGGATTTGGCTTACGGAGTAGGACCAAGTGGGCGTAAAAAGTTAGTTTCTGCATAAATGGGATGAAGATTCGAAATCTAGCCCGATCAACCTATTATAAGCTAGTCTGCTTCATTGCTCTCTCCAGCGATAAGCCACCAGTGCGGCGCTAGGCCGTGCAGTTAAATTTTGGTCTTAGGAGGGATATCTAAAATCTTAGCCGAGCTGTTAGGATTATGGGTCAACGAATAAGCAAAAGTAGTAGTTATAGGTGGATAATAGTCAAGTAAGGTTCGATCTCTAGGGAGCTTATCTCTCCAGAGCTCCTAATATATACATCTCTACTCTCCCTATTCCTTGACTTCTACTGCTAAAATTTTGAATTTCTAGGAGACTGTGGGCTTTGCAGGGAGCCTTCAAATTGTGACAATAGGCCTTAAGCATTGTGGTGGGAATCCACGGGACCACCAGTTATTTACCTTGTTTTTGCATTTCCATTTGTACTAGAGTTGGCACGTGGATAAGCGGAACCACCTGGGCATATAAGTTCCTAGCTCTCACTCGCCCTTTTGCACGTCATTATCGCGATCAGATTCTCCAGGGAGAAGCTGGCCAGCTGAGATAATTACAAATGCAACCTCAATTTGCCATATTTGCAATAATGACTGGATCTTGTGACGATAAGTCGTCCTGTATGCCACTGCCTGAGTGCGCCCTGAATATTCACCTCCCTTAAAGAACACTAGGTTTAGATTTATTTAGGTATATGACCACCTGATGATAATCCTACACCGCGTCCATCGCTCAATTGATCCCCATACCTTGGCTGCGATCTTAGGGCTGTTTTATCCATGATTCCTCCTGATACTCCTAAAGGTCCTCCTAGCTCCTCTGCAGCATCTAGATAGTCTACAGCAGTTTGCTTAGGATTACTAAATATCATCTCTTTAGTATGGCATGTTTAATCTAAATATACGTTTTTATACTCTCTAAAGTCCAGTAAACATTTGCTCGCTGCTCCGATCTTTACATCTCTAGATGCCTGCGTCTATATTCTAAGTCTTAATACTAGCTAGATTTATTATTTATAGTCTGTTTCTCCTTTAATTCCTCTTGTTATACGTTAACGAAGTGGAATAATAAAGAAGTAGTTACAAGTATCGATGTTATTTTCGTTTCTAGCTAAAGGGGTGATTATAAGAGGGGTATATTATATCCTTCCTATTATAACGCGCTGCGAAAGAAATTACGTTTAACGTACAAACAAGCGACCTGTCTCCTCGCAACACATATTCGCTATATGTAATACTCAAATTCTCTCTAATAACCGTCAGATTATTCGCCTATTGGTGCTCTAATTTGCGTATACTTTAGAAAGTAAATCATCTCTTCTATCGCCTAAGGTCATTCTTAAGCTAGCTTGATTAGGCTCGCAGTCAGCTCTACTACAAAAAGAACTGCTAGAAAGATTCAGTCACCTTTAGTCTACCGTTCAAAGTTTCTGTACTTGAATTTTACAGCTAAACGCAATGTTCAGGCGCGATAGCCGCTGAATTCAGCGGGTTTGGTCGCTGTTTTATACGACTATTGTCCCAGCCTAGGGATCCACAAAGGGGCGCAAGTGGGCTCGCTTTCATCCACCACCGAAGATCTCCCTCCTTGGAATCCACCAGGTGGAGAGTAAATGATCTCCACCATATTTTACGACAGGACCCTCGAAAACGTGCTGTCTCGTTTCATCTAAACCAGAGATCTCACTATGACTGGCGGTATAATAATTGCTGCTGCCCGCCCAGCCAGCAGCACAGACATCACTTGCTACTGTTTAGTCACTTTGCACAAAGATCTCATCGAATGCTCGTGATCTGGATTTCCTATTCTCAAAATACTTCCTCTTCTTTTGAAATCTTACATCCCCTACAATCACCCCTGCACTCTCTAAGTGCACTAGCTGTACTCCCGTTCTTCGTTATCATCTTCCAACGTCAACTCCCTTAGTTAACCACTGATTACCACCACGCAATTCGTCTTTACTCCTCAGCGATAGCAAGGACATAGGAGTTGTAAGGACTTTGAATACCACGTATACCGCGGGGCACTACCGCCAGTATTGCTAAGACCTTGTCCAGTGTGGGATAGTGAAGAAGAAGCATGCCCCCTCTACTATAAACAATATTAATAAACTTAAGGAAACATAGTTAGAGTAAAAGTAAGTATTTATAACTACTTTCAATTAATATTTAACTTGCTAATAAAAAGTAATACACATTATATATTTCTTGGAGACGATCGACTCTAGTTTCTACGCCGTGCTATAAAGGAAGATATTATAACTTTTATAAAGTGGATTTTAGATAATTATCCAAGACTACGAAAGTAGAGTAGCGTGTACTAATACTTTAGGTAATTTCGTATACTCCGGCGAAAATGTGTCGGCTAAAGTTTATATACTAAGATTATAGCAGACGTTAATAATAGATATGCCTCTTAATATCTTTTGTGTGCTATGAAAATACTAACAACCCTGTAATAGGTATATTAACAGGTTTCTGACAACGAAATATAGTCTTGACCTCTCTATGTGTGAGAAAATGGTTATAAATATCACATATGTGACATATAAAGAGAAAGCTATTAATCACTGTCCTCCGGCTTAGCTGAAAGAATAAACTAATGTTATATAAAAACATATGTACTCCTACTTACTATACTGATAGTATATACAATCGGTTCTAGCACGTGATCGTAATCTTTCCAGCTGTTTTCGGCTTAGTTACTAGGCTACACCTACCCCGCTACCCCACTTAATTGAATTTATCCTTTACCTACTCTAACTTTAACTACTTTAGCTATAGCTAGAGTATACAAAACAACTCGAAGGGAGCTATCTCCTATCCAAAGAGCAGAGATTTGGGGTAGATATGATAGTGGAGAGTCGATTACTTCCTTAGTAAGTCGATTTACTCACCTTTATTCGACAATAGCCTCTTTTATCGACTATTACAAGAAAACCAATAACCCAAGCTTTGAAAGTAAACCTCGACTTAGTACTTCCAAAAAAACCTCCGACTAGAACGATAGAGCTCTCCTTCGTCATATACTCAATTATCCAAAAGACACTCTTAAAGTCCTAGGAACGCCTAGCAAGTTAGGGATAACACTTTCTACAACTACAGTCTGAAAAATCCTCAAATCTTACAGCAAAGCAAAGCGCAAGCCTCGCAAGAAGCTTTACCTTCGTCCCGAAAACAAAAAAAAGAGAAACAAATGGTATAAGGAAGAAAAACAGAGAGGAAGGGACTTTAATAAAGTGTGCTAGTCGGACGAGGTAACCTTTGTTATTAGCAAAGATAGGACAGTTGTATATGTGACAAAGGGCCCTGGAGAGGAGTATTTGGACAAAAACCTACAGCTTACATTCAAATCTGGACGTACAGCTATTGGAGTTTAGTCTTGTTACTGTGGGAATGAGATGGGGCCACTTGTGATAATTGAGAAGGGAAAGAGAATGACCGCGTAAAAGTATATTGAGGTCTATAAAGACTATTTTCTACCTTTTTATCGAAAGATAAGGCGGAAATATAGTAAAGATGTAGTAATCTAAGAGGATAACGTTCCTTGGCATACTGCAAAGATAGTTAAAGCGTTCTAGGAAAAGTACAAGATTAAAATACTAGATTAGCTACCTCAATCGCCAGATCTCTCTCTAATTGAGAATCTATAGAAGTATATTAAAGATAAGATTACTAAGATAAGATATAAGATTAAGAAGATTAGGGATATAGAAGATACTTTAGCTAAGATATAGCCAAAGATTGACAGCAATTATCTTACAAAGTTGAACGATAGTATACTCTGTCGATTAAACGCTTATATTGCAAATAAAGGAGGGGCAACAAAGTACTAATAGAGCTTTCTTTTGGTATAGCTAGCTTATTAATAGCTTTTAAATTGACTAAGTTATAAGTGTTTAAAGCTGTATAGGCCCAAGCTAGGCTATTACGATCACGTGCTAGAACCGATTGTAGGTTCTAGGCTGCCGATATCAAATACTGCACAGGCATGGACTCCTCTCAAGGCGTACAGCTCGCGAACTTCGTAACCAAGCTCAGTAGACTATCCCTACGAATGATTATTAGTATCTGATATAATCTCCCTATTCCCTCATTCTACCAGAGCAATATTGCATTCCGTTATTATAAATTGTCTCGCACATGACGCCGGGCCACTTGTTATCTTAATGTGATGTGGCCACGCTAGTATAGAGAGCCCATTATATCTAAGAGGGAGGTTGCACAGCGGCTGCATAGTCTACTTACCTGCATAATGTGACACCACCTCATGTCGTCATCAGGGCGGGTGGCCTCACATACATCCGCCGGCTCCTAGCAGCTCTAGATGACTTTTCAAGTCTCCTTAAGTCTACGGAGTTCTACTCTAAGATCTGCACCCGATGATCCATAGCCTCTATCACCTACCACACTCTTCTCCTCTCTTTTTCTCTTTCTAACCTGCCGCTTCAAAAGGGCACCCAGGGCAGCGGGGTGTCCTCCCGGGGGAACTTCCTCTGGGCTTGTAAATCGCGCCCTTCTAACCACACAGTGAATCATTTCCAAAACTCTCCTATGTTGGCTTACAAGCCTCAAAACCACAGGCGCTCTTACAGCACCCAAAACGCACAAGCCACTTGGCTATCGCACCCTGTATTGGGGCACTCCTTAAGGGCTCACCCCCTCATAAACTTCACCTTCCCCACCCTAACTAGCCGCAGAAGGGCGCACTTGAGTGGCTACTTGCCAAGCATAATTGCAAGAAATGCTTTCTAGTCTGGTTTACACTGTACCACACTTTGTATATAAAAAATTCCCTAGCTTAGCACGTCTCCATACTCCCCGGGAGGTTCTAGGACCGTAGGCCACGCCTATGGCCAGCCAGATGCAAAAAGATAATATCATCATCATCGCCATAACCTCATATCGCCATCGGTCTACTGATCTCGGCCAACGGTTGTGTTTTGCATCACTGTACTAGGTCCAGCCGTCAAGATAAGCAAACATGGATGAGAACAGGATTACCCAAAAAAGATACACTGAACGAGGGGCGAATATAGAAAATCAGAGACCCGCTGGCCACTCACTGGCCTCTCGCTGAGTGTGGCTGCAAGCCGCTGTTATGGTGTCGCGTGCAGCGTTATTGCTCCTGCGAGATCTGCCCAGTCGTCTTACACTGAACCTCGGAACTGACGCCTCACTTTTAGCTATTGGCTAGAATCAAGAATTACGAACTGCAGATTTGTGTGCACTAAGAGAAACTAAATTACTGTACTATATAGATGTAGCTTAAAGTCTCATACGGTAAGCCTACTTCGCCGGCACACTTTACTCGGCCACCGGGAGCGAATACATTGGACCCCATATCAAGCACCCACACAAGCAATATAACAGCGATATTATCCAAGGTAGGGCACCACATGCACGACGCTAGTTTATTACTCACTAATGTGCCGAAAATGGGATATCATATTTAGGCATCTATGCTCTCTCGCGGAGCTACTTGCTGTAGTCGTAGGACTACACCACTTCATCTTCCTTCTTGACCAGTCGCCATCAGTTCAGAGTCAAACCAGATCTCAGGTCATGCAGCCTAACGTAGCAATATATGCAGGAGGACAAAATCAAGTTCTTTCTGTAAGTAACTTGCTGTACAGATTTCTGTCTGTTTGTCAGTAATTCCTATAAGTAGTCAGCTATGGCCCTTATCCCTCTTCTATTTCCTCTTCTATTTCCAACCTCCACAGATGTCATGAGCAAACCAATACACTCTATTCAAGATAATTAATTTTAAGTAGAGAATATACATTAAAAATGGCTCCGCTACCCTTTAACCTTGTCCTACCTCTTGTTATCCTGCCTGTCTTATATCTTGTTGCATTAGTTCTGTATCGTTTATATTTACATCCTTTGGCAAATTTTCCTGGCCGAAAGCTCCATGCAATCAGCGCCGTCCCTTGTGCCTACTCCATGGTCAAAGGCCGCCTCCCATTTAAGAACAGGCTCTTGCACGAAAAGCATGGATCTGTTATACGCATTACACCCAACGAGCTGAGTTTCAACACTGCCCAAGCATGGGTGGACATCTATGGCTTCAAGCCAGCAGGCCATACCCAGCTACTACGAGACCCTATCCATATCGGATCAATGGATCCGCTGAAAGGCGTCTATCCTATGACCTTGCTAAACGGTGCCGAGCATGGCCGGCAACGTCGGGCGTGGTCCTATGCCTTCTCCGATAGATCTTTGCGAGAGAGTGAGGAGCAGGTCCAAGCCCATGTGGTTAAGCTTATAAATCATCTACGACAGCGAGAAGGCGACGAGGTAAATTTGGCCCGCTGGCTCAGCATGACAACATTCGAAATTATTGGCGATCTTACCTTCGCAGAGCCGTTCGGCTGCTTAGGAGAAGATAATGATGAATCGTGGTACAAGTTGAACTATGCAACATTCAGAATGGCCGCCTTGGAGCAAGCTACCCGTCGCCTAGCTGAGGTCAACTCATGGAGGCAATGGTGCCTGATGGCATTAATCCCCCATTCGTGGAGACAGCTGCGTTTCGACCACTTGGCTTACAGTCGCGATAAGGTGCTGCGACGCCTGGAAAAGGAGGAGGAACCTGAACGAGCGGACTTCATCGAATGTACTCTCAAGCATCAGGATCGATTTGACCTCAATGATACGGAGATCATCGTGAATGGGGCTACGTTTATTGCAGCTGGAAGCGAGACCCTATCCAACCTTCTTTCTGGTCTAGTCGCACAGTTGCTTTACAACCCAGCAAAATGCGAAAAACTGCGTCACGAAATCCGTTCAAGCTTTACTAAGTCTGAGGAGATCAACCACGACCAGACCATCACACTCCCTTATTTGAACGCTTGCATAGAAGAGGCCCTTCGATTGAAGCCACCAGTTGGCGAGGGTCTTCTACGACGTGTACCCAAAGAGGGAGCCACGATCGATGGATACTCGATTCCGGGAGGCACATCAGTTTCCGTCGACCCGTGGGCCGCGTCGCACAATGAAGGCAATTTCCGGGACTGTGATGATTTTGTCCCCGAGCGATGGCTAGCAGACAAGGAGCATTACTTTGCAGGCGATAAACGAAAAGCCGCACAGCCTTTCTCCCTTGGGCCCCAGGGGTGCCTCGGAAAACAACTAGCCTACATGGAGATGAGGTTAATTATGTGTCATTTACTTTGGAACTTCAACATCAAGAGCACGGATGGAGCGTGGCAATGGGACTCTGCTGGGCAGATGAAGAATCTTAGGATCTATGTTGTATGGGAAAAGCCACCATTGAATGTGAGGCTGAAGTCAGTCACTACATAAGGTGGAGGTTGACTTTTTCTTGGCTATTGAATATGGGCCGTAGGGGTCACTATTGCAACCGCATCAGGATCAGTGCCAAGAAATCACGATCAGTACTGATCCTCCCGAATCAGCACTGATCACTCGGGAGCACACTGAGTATATAGAACACGCTCATTAGCACGTAATTACATTAAATACCATTCAGCACGTTACCAGACGTGGCCATGATGTTGGTGGACGAGCCTTAGACTGAGAATTATACTGTACGGAGTAGGCCCAACGCTCGCAAGCCTGTTACATACTCCGTAGACTCATTCTCAGACAATTATATTGTATTGTGTATTTCCAGGTCGCTTTATATAATATAGTGATTAGTTCTATAAAGGACTGTTTAAGGGGCAAAGACGAGAGATATACGTCTATAACTATAGATTAACTATGCATATGTAAAACCTGAATCTATACTAGATGCAACAATTGCATATAGGAGTCGAATAATACTCATTATATATACGCTGTTTCTTGTTAATATAATGAACAGAAAAGGAAGAATAATTATCAGTCGCCGTGAAAAAAATTGAGGCTTATAAAGATTCTAACAGAAAGTATACTAATCACAGCAATCTTTTGTCCTCGCGGCATTTGTATTCTCTATAGTAAAGTTATTGGCAAGAGGATCATAAGAAAATCGGTAAATATATTAAAGTAACCTGTTGCCAAGAGAAACGATATAGGATTTGTACACTTCCCGCCTTACATCAATATATCCCGTATAATAGCAATTGGTATATATGCATATAGATTAACCAAGATTGTCGCAATGTTACTTGTTACTACAAGAACCAGAAGTACCTATACACGTATTCTAAAGCCTCTACTAGGGCTAGGATGGAGATATAGGGTAAGGAGGGACATCTTCACCAACATTATAATAGCGTGGTAAAAGAATATTGCAAGCCAGCCGATCTATAAACAGTCAAGAATTAGTAATTAACAAAGTAATGGTCAATAAATAAGATAGTCACGAGATATAGAAATAAATAAAACCCCACCTTAAGAAAGTACGGACTGAAAGAAGTCAAGGGTTCATCCTACAGATGGACACCAAGTTCATATTTTGTATCGAATTTAGTCAATAGTCAATTTAAATTGCATTGGTAATAGGAGGGTATAACTTACTGATACATACGACAATGGCAGATAGCACAGAAAATACCTTTGATCCGTATCAGCATTATTGACGGAGTTCCTAAACAAGGCATGTATAGCTATGTTGAATAATGTGCATACCCATGCTGCTAGCAAGAAATATATTCACCATTAGTAATTACAAGATTAGAGATTGCTTAGAGCATACGGTCATCTATACTAACTCTCTTGACAATATAGATCTGCGTGAAGAACCGGGCAATCGTTACAAGAGGAGCATATCAACATTGACCACAATGACCCTATACCTAACACTCTCAGGATTGACAAAGCTTGTGACCCGGCCGGGAGGAGGGGGGACCACTCCAGTGGTGCTGTTGTCCATGATTGGTTGAATTCGTAGATTGCTTGAGGTAGGACGAGACGCAAGTATATTAAAGACTAGAGTCGTGCCTGCATTCGAGCACTATAATATATGGGGCCAACGAGGCTGGCAAAGCGGGGCATCAGTGCACGGCCATTACTTTGGAGAAGGATGGGGAAGGGCTGATCCAAGAACAAAGCGTTTATTTGTGGTCGCGTTCGAGGATATATCCGCATCAGGGTGGGAAGGGTGGTATTACAGTCTATATAACGCTATCAGCCTTAATTACTATAAAGTAGTTTAAAAGGTATATGAAAAGGAAGCGATTTTGTATGCAGATCACTAAGAAAAGTGACTTTCTGGCGAGTTTGGTTCCATCGACTAGGAGCGAATGCAACATGCCCATCATAATTACCCTGTGATGAACCCATCTCTTTTCTCTAGGGCAGCTCCTCGGCGCAAAGAGATTTGTATTTAGACTACGATAGCCCTTATTTAGTACAAAGCAATCAATTCTTAACTAGTAAATATATTGTATCCGATTAAAATACAAGATTTCCGAGGGTGGCCTTGTCAGTCTGGCACCTTCTGTCAAGCAAGGGGATAAATTAAGCTAACATAGTGTCCTGTATACTCTCTTCCATATTAGCCATCTTTTGCGTGCCTCTTTCTCTTTCTCTCGTGCCGCAGTAGCTTCTGTCCTGGAGAAACTCATGTTGCCTGTATCAATGTCTATAGCTCGAATGCTGAGAATGCGCGTTCTGAACCATATCTTGTGCCCAGCATAAAAGATTAAGACTATAGGCACAGTCATGACTTTCAAAAAGAAGTTCTTTGCAGCTTCTGCTGATGTAGAGTCAACGTCACTTGTTTGAACCGGAGAAATACCCATCCATACTTGTGAAACCAGGACTAGTCCGTTGCCGATCAACCCAACGTATGAACCAATAACGCCGACTTGAGATCTGAAGGGGAGTTGGTCGAGAGTTTGGCCAGCAGTAGCCCACGCTCTTCGAAATCGAATATGACACAGGCAAATGCTTCCCCAAGTAAAGATGCTGGACAGTGCGCAAACTGCAAGAAGCCAGTCAAATATCTCACTGTGTATCTTGACGCTAGCGAGGTAAGAAAGTAACCCAATGGCTGCGGCAAACATGATGGCTACTAAAGGTCGACCCTTACGGTCGATATACGAAAATATCTTGGGTGCATGGGACTGTTCAGCTAGGGCAGCGAGGGTTCGTGATGAACCGAATATGGCAGAGTTACCGACACTCAGTACTGCGACTAGAATGACAGCATTCATGACGCTGGGCAGGATTGTTTTACCAGCGTTCTCAACGGCAAGAACGAACGGGCTGACCGAGACGCCGACCGCGCTTGGTCCACCCAGCAGGCGTGGGTCATTATAGGGAACCAGTAAACTGACGAGGAGCAATGTAACGATGTAGAAGAGAGCTATTCTCCAGAAAACTTGTTTCATGGCACTTGGGATTGACTTCTTTGGGTTTGCAGTCTCTGCTGCCGCGAGGCCAACCAGTTCGGTTCCGGCAAAAGAGAATGCCGAGGTCGACAAGGCGTTGCAAAATCCTTTGAAGCCGTTGTTTGTCGGGCCTGGATTATGCCAATATTTGCCGCCAATATATCCCTCATGAGGTGCCCCACCAATGTTTATAACGATAGTGATTAGACTTAGGCGTTCATGTCATGTTCAGTAAAGATACTGAAGAGTGGGGACGGGCGGTTACTTACATAAAGCCGATAATGGCAGTGACCTTGATAGTAGAGAAGAGGAACTCAGCTTCGCCGTATCCCTTAACACCCATCAAGTTTATCATGACGACTGTCAAAAGGAATATGGTGACGAAGAGTGCCGAGTCAAGTGTCTGGTTCCAATACCGAATGGTTAAAGCGCCAGCAATAATCTCAATCGGCATAACGAATAGCCATTGCAACGCGTAACTAATCCAAGAGGTAACTAAGTCAGCATTATTCATTGTGTTTCCAACAAAGTTGTCTGAAGAATGATGTTCCAAAGTATCTGCACTTACTTCCACCCCATGGCGAAGCCCCACGATGGATCCAGAAAACGAGTTGAGAAGGCAGAAAAAGAACCAGCAACTGGGAAAACAACTACCAACTCTCCTAGACTTTGCATAGTACACAATTGGAAAGCACCAGTCAAGATATATGCGAGGATCGTAGAGACAGGGCCGCTCTGGTACAACGCCAGTCCAGACGCCACGAATAGACCAGTACCTGCGCTCTCCCGTCAATTTAATCCAATAACTGTGCAAAAGAGTAGAGAGAAAACACACCAATCGAGCCTCCGATGGCGATCATTTGCAAGTGGCGGCCTTTCAAGTCTCGCACGAGTGCAGAATTGGCTGTCCTCGCATTCGCAGCACGCAGGTCATAAAAGTGATCACCCTTGTGGGCTGTGTCAGGCATCCCGTCGTTGAGTTGGTAGCCACGATGTTCTGTCATGGGCATTCCAGGGACACGGCGGAAGCTATTAACCCATTGACGGCCGAAGGACTGTTTCCCCGAGGGTTTGGCAGCACGGGGAATCGTCGAAACGGAGTACGAAGCGGTGCTGGTGAACTGGGTTCTTGACTTGTCCACGGCCAGGTCGCTCATCTCCGTGACCTCAAAGTCTCGGGTATACGTGATGCCATTTTTCAAAGGCTCTGGCTCTGGAGGTTCTTTATCGGCCATTATGGTCGTCCTGGGTTTGTATCAGGCTATTGACTAGGTGTGGTTTGCGTAAGGTTGACCAGCTTCCTGTACGATAGACACATATATGAGGTTGGTTGCCTGTCCACTATGTATGTATGATCTTATGAAATGGCGGCGATATTAGAGCTGTTTTCTGGAATTGCCAGCATGCCTGCAATTTTTTCTGCGGTGGAAATGCTTCAAAACAATTTCCGTAGGCATCCAGCCACCAGTCTCTCTCCCCTGAGCCGTGCACATATGCATAAAGTCCTTTACCTGTATGGCCGGTCTGTTCTATTGCGTCTCGAGAACAGGTAATGGCTGAATATACAATGTGTTGTTAAGAGGGCACGTTTTTATGACTAAGGGCAGAGATAACTGGACCAATACCCTACACTTTGAAGGTCAGACTAGTTGTTTGTGGCTTGCTGCTTGCAGAAAGATTCACACGGATCAATGCATTATTGTTACCGGACGACAACTTGTTCCGAGCGGGACTAATAGACTGGGAAGCGGTCAGTCGGCGATTTGATGACCGTGCAGAGTAGCATCGGTGTTGGCGCACTGTCCCCTACGAAGTAAGTAGTACTGTATGCCGTGTCCTTGGAGCGCGGCAATGGTTTGAGCTTGTCTTGCCAAGCTAGGCCTTGTGGCGTCTCTTCAGGGCACTTCCATAGGCCTACTGGCAAGATTGTTACTCGGCTTTCCTCGGCTCTCCTCTCCTGGTGACTACGCTCAGGCTTCTCACGGGCTTCTCTCAGTTCTAGTTCTAGTTCTAGATCACATTTGGGGCAGGCTGGCAGTATCACCCATACACTTGATCTTTATTACTGCTTTCAGCGGATCCTCAGTCGATTCGTCGTTCTTTGCTCAGGAGGAGATAATCTCGCAAGGTGGAAGATAGAGGTAGAGGATATGAAGGTGGAGAGAGAGCTATGGCAAAAAGAGCGAGATAAGCTGGAAACCACTAAGGAGACCAAGGCGCACGAGCTCCGAGGAGCAATCCGTAAGCGGCAGCGATTGTTGAATCGTTTGGAAGAAGAGATCCGAGCAAAGGGACTAGATATCAGCTTGTGTTTCTTGCAAAGCTTGCAGGATTTATTCGTATCAACCGTGATAAAATAATTACGCAGTGTGTTCATCATCTGGAGGTCAATAGGGACTAATAGCGGTAGGTTGTTTGTGCTATGGTCTCCTTCTCGGATAGGGAAAGCAGGCATTCCATTCAATAGCGACATAATACTAAGCGGCCACGATACGCCACTCATGCATTTTTACTTTTTCTAGCCGTGGTGGCTCTTTGTCATCTGGCCTTTTAACAGGCACACTACCGGATCGCCATCATTGGACACGTTTCTACCATGCCTTCGATTACGCGGGCTGAAATGGAAAGACGCCATGTCCGGTGTGTCGAGGTCTGATTAGGGGGTGAAAACTGAGCCCATTCGCTACCTTGCTTCCACCCACGGACACGGGTGGCTGCAGTTCCAACAGCGATGCGGCATAGTGCAGACATAGAAAATGAAGGCCAACTCTAGGATACGCAGAATACTCAAGTTCACAAGTGGATTGTAACACACAACTCCTCCTATATTTAGGACACCAGTTTTGGAGCAAAGCCCAGATTTAGACAGTGTAACTTCTTTACGAGCTTTATCATGACTTTTTACTCTTCGCCGCCGGCAGCCACAGAATTTGACGATGCCAAGCCCACCTTGCTCGTAGCCTGGTGGATAACACTATTTTGTACCTGCCTCATACTGCTTCGTCTGGCTGGACGATATATACGACTCGAGAAGCTTTACCCGGAGGATAAAATCACTGCTGTGGTACTCTTGCCGCTGTATGTGCGCATCGCATGCGTTCATTTTGTTCTGTTATATGGCACAAACAATGCACAATTCGCCTTTGACTTGTCTCCGGAGGAGGTTCATAAAAAGGTTACTGGGAGTCGTCTCGTCCTCGCGGGGAGAGTCTTCTATGCTGCGACGTGAGAACAGACCTGAGATTACCTTCAGCATATTTTTTAAAATGCTCACACTCTCACAGGTTATGGACGCTTAAATTAGCTACTCTTGAGTTTCTCGGCCGAATTGCCGGCGCATCAATGAATAAGTCTTCCCAGAAGCTAATTGTCCTCCTACGCTATACTCTGGCGGTATCCTTTGTTGCCGTCGTCATCAGTGACTTGGTCGAATGTCGACCGATCTCTCACTACTGGCAGGTCATTCCAGATCCAGGGCCAAAGTGTCGTCAAGGGTTCGCACAGCTCCTCACGATGGGATTATCTAGCATCATACTAGACGTGATCCTTATTGCTCTCCCGGTACCGATCATTTTGTCTACTCGAATTGCTACTAAACGCAAGGTGCTACTCGTTTTGCTCTTTGCCTTTGGCTTTCTCACAGTCGGCATCACCCTTTACCGGATACCCCAAATCATCCAGCGTCACGGCGACCAGGTAGTGCGATCCATGTGGGCTTCTGTCGAGCTTCTTGCAGCCACTACGGTTGCAAATCTAGCGGCTGTAGGCTCATTCCTTAGAGACAGTGGAGCAAAGAAGAGCAAGTTTCGGCCTGGCTACGATAACGGCACTGGCGCCACTGCATCTCAGCGGCAAATGCAGGTAGCGGCGAGCCAATGGGTTGGCGATGAGAGAAATCGAGAGGTCGATAGCGGTGAATGGACAGATGACATAGAGCCCGAGGTAGTGGTATCTTCTAGCTCGAAGAACCAAAAGCGTCATGACCAATCGTGTGATGTAAGGGGGACGAGTTCTAGTGAAAGTCGTTACTCACTCGTTCGCCCTGGCCAACGTGCATCTTCACAATTGCCAGGAGTCTTGGAACACAACAACCCCAGGATGCCAAGTCCCGTTCTGCTGGATAGTATAAGAGATTTCCAACGTGGATAGAACTCTTTGTTTTCTGGTATAACTTTAGTAGTTCACTGTTTGATTGAAAAAATCATAAACTATATAGCCAGTTCTATAATATTCAAAACAAGTATCTGTACAGCTACGTTTTTATTGTTTTAAGTTATTATTAACAAGTTGTAGGCGATTAATATCAGGCGTACTAGCTCAATCCAGTAGGGTTCTAATAAGATTATAGCGAGGCGCTTGTTTTAACTATAATAACTATTACTCGCACTAAATCTATATAATACAAGAACGTACGCCGCCTAGAAAAGGGAGGGTTCGGTCCTATAAAGATTCTTTGAGGCATGGCTAGGCATTGTTCGGTCACTAGATATCCCTCTATAGTCTACACCCGTATACAGTATACACCAGAAGACTACATCGTAATAATCTAACATACGTTACTTTTGGTCCTATAGCCACTTAAAGTTACGCATTCACTAAACAGTCTATAAGAAACTTAGTACGCAGACTTATCTAACGTCTGGGTAGTTTAGCTGGTTGCAGGCTGTGTTGTGATCAAATGCTCCACTGTGGAGTATCCAACCCTGCATGGCCAAAGCACTCGTCATACCAACTTCAAAGGTGTTGGGAAGAGCAGCCTGTGCCTACAAGGAAAAACACGCCTGTTCAAGTAGAATGGATACGTGGCAGACAGGCTTTGCATTCGCCACGTGGAAAAAACGGTCTTCTTTTTGGAATTCGAATTCAACAACCCCTGTGAGATGGAACGACTACGGCATGAAAATTCAAACTTGACAATCCGTTCAAAATTGAAAGGCCATCTCTGCACGAAAATAAAGACATTCTCTCAAATTCTTTCGTCTTAGTTCCTCTTTCAACATGTCAGCTGTTAGCGAAACCAGAACCGACGTTATTAGCGACCTAGTCGGAAGCTTGCGTAGGGAAGACATAGACCGCATTAGTGCCTGGCGGCAGCCATCGCCTGCTGGCAATGACTTTCGAAGTATGTTCATTATCACGTGTCGAAATCCAGACAACTGATAACTATTATCTTGTGGGTGATACATGCACAACAGCGGCTCCCAAGCAGAGTCATCGCGCAAGTAGGGCTTAATGAAGGGTGGTCATGCAGTGGCGCTTCTGACTTTGAGCGAAGAATGGCTAAGCTAACTGGTCGAGAGAGTGCCCTCTTCATGGTTTCGTACCCAACTTTACTGAGCGACCTACACCGACTAAGCTACGTCCCCAGACATTTGCGTAGTAATGGCTGTGGCCATCAGACCAATGCCACAGAACTTGCGAGTAATCGTCAATTTATATCTTGAGAATCTCAGCTATTTCGATGTTAACGAACCTAATATTGAACAACACATCGCTGCGAATTAGTTTTTCTGCCACCGGCCATATGATTTGTCTCATAATCGCGCTAGATCTGACTGACTACGAAGGGTATGTAGGCCAGGACCCTGCCGCATTGATCGTCCGGTGCGCGCCGCAAGGTGCAGGCCACAGGGGGCGGGATTCCCGTACGCCAATTAATTGGCCGCTTTGCCAAGATGGGCTCTGCAAAAGCGACCAGCCATTGGCAGAATAAGCGAAGGTCGGATTTCGCATTGGCTGTATTTAACCCCTAGTATACTCCATTTAGAACACTTCAGATAATTTCAGCTTTGCGGGCGATGTTAATCGATATCTCACTTAAGGTCTCCGTCTTTAATTCCCTGGTGTCTTAAGACAGCTATACTAAGACCCCTAGAACCTTGGGTAATTAGCTATAGATTAAAGTCAGTCCTAAACCCATGTACCTAATACTTGTTGTCGCTTATGGCCTCTTTGCACATTACTTGTAACAACAGGTTCCTCGAACTCTTACGAAGTTTATGTATTTAGAACTTAAGCTACGACACTAACAAGCAAAGCTACTACTCTTACTTTCAAGCCCTTCTGCTCAAGAGTGGGACTGCTTTTCACGTGGAACTGAAAGGTATTAGCTAGCGGTAAGCTAGCTGTACTACAGTATAAACTATTTTCTACAGTGGCTATAGCTCAACAAAAGGCAAAGGTCCGAAGTTGAGCTGTTTTACAGGCTAATAGCGATCCGTTAACAGTTGTAGAGGCTCGGAAGCGGCAAGAAGGGAAAAGAAGCCAGAGAGCGTAGTATATAGTATAAGACTCGTACTACAAATAATAAAGTATGAAAAGAGCTCTATACTCAAGGGGTTTAAGCACGGAAGGTAGAGCTCGCACGGAAAAAGCCAGTCAAACTATTAATTAAGGCAAAACATGAGGTCCCCTTAGAGCTACTAACTCCAATTCTTGACCCCGAAACGGAAGCCAAATAAGTGGATATTCAGGAAGCGGCTAGCATATTAGGCTTGTAGCTACGTGATCGGTGACATGCTGGAACACATTGTCTATAGGTCAGCATTGTCTTCGCCCGGCAGCGGCACCTGGGCGGTGTCGTGCATCTTCTGTCGATAGGGCTCGATAAGGGCCATATTGACTTGGGCCTCTGGTGGGCCAAGAGCTGGGGCAGTGACAAATTCCTACTTCACTTAGCACAATGCCTCTGACAGCAATAATAGAAATAGCGGTGCGCATACAAGAGTTGGATTGCCTACGAGGTGGCGAGCTAGCCACAGGAATGGCTTCTCCAAGTTGTAGTTGGACTTCGCTGAGACATCGTAGTACTGGAGGTTCTTCTCTCGGTGGAATGTGATGCTCCTGGCCCTAACCATGCGCTCCTTCACATCGACCTTATTTCCGCAAAGGACGATCGGAATGTTTCCGCAAACACGGATCAAGTTAACTATTGAAATGTCGGCGTGCTGTAAATGAAGATTCAGACATAGGGGGCTTGCTTACGATGCCAGTTTGGCACGTTCTTGTATGTGACACGCGTTGTGACATCAAACATGATGATGCCGCATTGTGCATTGATATAATATCCGTCACGGATATCTCCGGCCTTCTCCTGACCAGCAGTATCCCAGATATCGAATTGCATTTGTCCCAAGTTCTGTTTTCCGTCAATATTTGTCGTACCAGTATTATCGGCCGGACCGATGATTGGTAGGACATACGGTGGTAAAATTGAGAGGGTGGACCTCTACTCCTAATGTTGCGATATATTTCTTCTCAAATTCACCGGTCAAATGACGTTTGACGAAAGTGGTCTATTTCGACGATGTCAGCCAGGCTTCGTGACACTCATCAATGTAACTCTTGGCGTGGGTCACGACGTGCATAGGTGAGGGGTAAGAAGAAAAACAAACAGTTGAACTCTGCCGCAGCAAATTCTACCTACTTTTCCGGTTCCACTATCACCGATAAGAACAAGTTTGACGATCAGTATAGTCTGGCCTGCATTTGCTATATCTGCGGTTGAAATCATAACTGTGGAGTGATGTGAACAGAGACTGGTGATCTCTACGCCGCCTGTGGATGTCAGCTCTGGGCAATTTAACACAATATTTATTGCAAAATATTCACAACAGTTTGAAGATAATATGTTGGTGATATATACCTCGAGATAGCGAGCTTGCTCATGGAGACAAGAAGGTATTCGATGTGAGTCAGGTTAAAGAGTTGCCTGAAAAGCTCTTGCAACCACATGTGAAGTCTGTGCTCAAGCGAATTACCCCACATTTTCAGGTTAATTGAACTCAACTAAAACAATTATAAACCAACCAATTAATACTCTAATACATTAAAATTACTATACATCGAATCCTTGGCTTAATCTATTTAATTTCACCATATTAATAGTTCGTGTACCACCATTGTGCAGCCTTGAGAGCATCGATTCTCTTTTGCATCCCTAAAGCAAGTGTATTTAATAGGTCTTTTCCCAACAACTCCCATGCCTCTTTTGCAGCCTAATCTGATTAAGGTCCCTTAAATATAGAGTAGATAAAATGCAACATGAGGAAGAACAACTAGCATTACCTCTAGGAGTGGAAGGAGGTTTTGAAGGACAGAAGCAAGAACGAGTTTTGGAATATATGCCTCCAAATGGCTTTCCAAGGAAGGTAAAGCACACAGAATCGGTACGTGAATGTTCTGGCAGCATCAGGACGGATAAGATCATCTAAGAGTGTAGTATCGCTGCTGTTCATCCCTTGGATTCGGTAAATGGATTGTAGTTACTTATCTGCTACGGTTAAAGGCGTTTTTGTGACAAGACCCTTCTAAACCCATTCATAACTATGCCCATGCCGCCGTCCCTCGGCACCAATAATACCCCAGAAGTTGTTACCCGCGCCAAATCTAGAAAATCAGAGTGGAGCCAACTGCGACGAAGGAAGAAATGTTCCGTTACAACCCCTTCGTGAATAGTGCATACCGAACCATTCTTGTCAAGAAAGGCGAAGATACTGGTCGTTTGAATTGTGGTGTTGTCATCCCATCCGTTACCTACGATGAGTCCCAAAGGCCGACTAATCATTTTTAGAACAAAGGTCGGATACGTCACATCGGATACGTCACAGCACTTATTTCATGTCCATGGCGGTCAGAGGGCAGTTGTATATCACTGACACGGATGAGGAAGAGATTTATGTCCCTCGGGTTGGGTTGTGTGACGACTTGTATGAGAAGGCACAATCGGTCGCTTGATTCGAATATATTAACCTTGTGGGACTTTACTGCCTTCTCCGATGATTTAACTTTCATCCCTGGAGGCTCTGGAAAGAATATATTCACTTGAGATACCTGATCCAATGCGGCCCACTCCGGAATATAACCAGCCTCCGGAGAAATTCCTAGCAAATACTTCGCCTCGATAGGAAGGTTGATCTAATGACAACTGGCAGCAATAGGAGTAATAAGTTCCGTCCAAGATTGTTAGCTGAAGGACCATAGATTAATTGACATTTCCGTGGCCGCTAGAATCGAATTTCCATCGGCTTTGAAAAGTAATTGATATACCGGCCCTGGTAGTATTTTATCTGCGGTTGGAGAATATGTTGAGTAGTCTGGGCTAAATTGGAAAACTCTGCAGTTATGTGAGACGTCAAGAACGGCGAGGAACTCTTCATTACTGCTCCAAGATATCCTGATGATCGTGTTGCTGTACGAGTCCTTGACCGTACAGAGTTGCATTCCTCGCTTATTGAAGATCCTAAGCTTGCCTCGGAAGTGGGCTGTGTAGAAGATGAAGTTCTGGGGCAAATTTTCAAACTGTTCTATAGGAACGGGGGCTGTAGGCGCTACGTGGCTTTGCTCGTTTTTAGGCGTTGACAGGTCGCGGAGAGCTGCAAGTCAGCGTTCTTCGTCGCTCACGGCCAGTGTGACAAGGATATCTGGCTCCCACAAGTCGGCTTATATCTTAGCTCGTCAGGCACCGCCGCTCAGCACATGCGGCTACGGCGCTGGCCATTGTGGATCTAGATGGTGAGGCCGCGGAGAGGGCCTATATTAGAACTAACACCCTGCGTAGGGTAGCCTAATCATGTCTCTGGGATCGGTTGCCTATACAGCTCCCCATACAACCAAGATAGCGCTGTTGGAAATTCAGCCGTCGCACAGCGAAGTTATTCACAGATCCGTACCTAGGTACCTAGCCTAGGATGGACATATTGATTTGTCGCCAGACAGCCGTTCTGTTGGTTGGTTTGACATCAAAATGGCACAGCTGCATTGCAACCATCTCTGCCACTATCTCCCATCCTGCGGATGCTGTTTGCCAATGCACTGCCATGGCGTATGAGCCTGGGCTCGACAGTCAATCAGCGTCTCATATCTAGACCATATGAGAGTGTTGGAACCCAGGATGTAGTATCTGTTCATTCCTGTTCATATGCTGGGAAAGGCTGTGCATGCAGCATACTTTGAGAAAAGCACACAGCATAGCCTCGGAAGAACCAGCACCGCGGCTGTTGTATGCCTGAATACTTCATTCAACCCCATTTGATATAACTACATTCTAGGGCCTGCCCAGTATCGGTGCCTATTCTGGTGTTGTCCCTGATTGCCGCTTCAGTCGCTGCGCTATTGTCAGACTCTTGGCAGTTGGTTCTCCCTTGGCCACTCAGGTTCAGCGAGGTCGCCTCGTATACGCAAGTAACCTTCCCAGTGGAAAAATACGCCCTTGCCTTGGAAAAAACCACAAAAACAAATACAGGCTATCCAAAAGCTTGCTGACGTCTAATAGTCGTTGCCAGCTAGCGTGCTTAGCAGCTTAGTTGAAGTAATACCTACGAGAAAATTTTCGATACATTCATTTATGCTTCCTTGTTACTTAACATTGCTGGCTGGGCATCTCTATCGCTTTTCAACGGCAATACTCTGGCTATAATCTCTCAATGTCTTCGAGCCCTGCTATAGACAATCCGCATGTTACTGATCCTCCAGCACCAACTATCGAATCCATTGCTCATTTTTCTACCATGGATTCCGGCAAACAGAGCACTATGGGTGAAGGTCTCAATCGGTCTTCTGGTGAAAGGGAAAGAAAGACGGGGGAATTCTCCAGCAACCATGAGGAGGTTAGTGAGATCGATACAAGGGTATATTTAACAGGCGTGAAGTTGCATCTGATCACAGCGGCGTACGAAAAATCTAGGGGCGATGTTTAAGTATAACTACTCACGGCAATAGCTTTTGCACAACTCTCTTTCTCACGAACCTCGAAATCCCGATCGTAACAACCTCATTGATCTCCATCACTGGCGACTTGAACTCCTTCAGACAGAGCAGCTGGATTATATCTGCGTACATAGCCTACTAGTCTGCAACTCAAAAATCTATAACTGTCTAATTAGCAGTAATTTGCACAGAGTCAAAATGCAAGATGAGAGGGTATGTACAAAGAACCCAGTTGATACGATTTCGCAATGTATTACTAATTAATCTTAAGTGTAGCTTTAGAACGAGATAGAAGATGAGCGAGCTCTAGGGAATCTTACATCACTGTTTGTGCCCATTCCATGCAGGCAGAGAAAACTCATGTTCACGAATCCAGGTAGGTTTAATTTAGAAGACAATGACCAGATTGAACCCAAGCGACCATAGTCATATCCATAGGTAGCGGACTGAAAGACAAGATGGGAGAGAAATCGCCTACAAAACCGTCTGAAATGCCGCTTTACGAAACTCCAAGGCGACCAACCATTCCAAGTTCCAACCGGCTATTATCTGATGTTTCATACAACCTTTTACGCCATGCAGCTACTCCACTAGCAAGGCCAGTGGAGTCGTGGCTACATAGGTACCTCCGCAAACGTTCCCCTGAGCCCTGGCTCCATTCTGGGTAAACAGTTCTACGCCGTCCAACTACATCGTTTAACGTTATACAACATGTGCACCAACGGAATCCTAGATCGGTGTGCAATTGAGCCAGGTTGAATCGAAGGTCCGATTAAATACCGGCACCCACACTTTATCGATCTCCGTTCTACTTTAATATCCATCCCAGGCTACACCCAAGACGATCACAAAGACCCCGAAAAACACACATCCTTCAGTCAAATATCTTGCAAAGCTCAGACAACATGGCCAACACACTCACGTCCGTCAATGGAATTGCACTCATCACCGGAGTAGGTCATTCCTTGAAGATGATAAATCAACTCGGTTACCATTGCAGACAAAGACTGATCAACACATAGGCCGCAGCTGGCATAGGTGAAGAAGTAGGATACGCGTTTGCCGAGGCTGGTGCATCGGGGGTGGTTTTCGCCGATATCAATTACGAGCAGGCCGCAGAAAATGCAGAGAAGAGCAAAGCCCATGCTACGAATCCGAAATATCGAGCTCTCGCTATCAAAGTCGACGTCAGTGATCCAGCTAATGTACAAGAAATGGTGGATTTCACCGTTAAGGAGTTCGATAGAATCGACTATAGCGTTAATAGTGCTGGTGTAGGTACATGGCCTTGTTTGAAGACCTGGTGTGGCTACTAAATGGATATTTTCTACCTCCCAGCTCGGAGCTACATCGCTTGCCCCAACCGCAGATCTTGACATCGACAACTTCGACTCAATCATCAAGGTAAATACTCGAGGGGTTATGCTATGCATGCGTGCCGTTACCAAGGCTATGATTGCGCAAGAACCCAAAGTTCATACTGGCCGACATGGAAAGGAACGCAGCCTGGGTCGTGGCTGTATTGTCAACATTGGCTCCATGGGATCGTATGCTGCTGCCCCCAGCATGATGGCATATATAGGATCAAAACATGCGTTGTTGGGCATGACTAAAGTTGCTTGGAAGTCCTATCCCGTGCCTTAGTTCGTTGTGTCAAATCCGTCTTGCTAACTCTAAGCGTTTTTAGCCATGGACAACGCAAAGCACGGGATTAGAGCCAATGCTGTTTGCCCAACGTGGGTTGCAACGCCAATGCTCGAGCGAAGCCTAAAGAGATGGCCAGGATTGGATCAAATGATAGCTAAAACGCCTCTGGGAAGAGCGGCGGCGCCAGAGGAGGTCGCAAATGTTGTGGTATTTTTAAGCAGTCCCTCGTCCACCTATATCAGTGGATCGGGTATGATTATTGATGCCGGCTTGCTGGTCACAGCTCATCTATAGAGGTACTTTCAGGGATCTAAGGCAGATATTCAAAGAAGAAAATTATTGGTTTATGGAATCTAAGGCATCTCTCATCGAGTTTAGGCTTTAGCAAATTGACAACATGAACATAATTTTACATAAAACTGTTATTATTAAGTCTCCAGTGTTTCTTAATTGAAGAAGAATAGGGAGAATATATCAACTCACTTACCTCCAAACTCCCGCTATTCCAAGTCCCCTAACCTAAACAACTTGATAAACTTATAATTTGCAATTACCAACCTGTTTCTAGTAGAGCCATGTCGCCGGACAAAGATTATAGCAAGAGGGCGTATTGGGTTCGAGCATTTATATGTTAGGGTTTCCTCCCCTTCGTAGCTGTTGGTATCTTCTAGTTAAATCTATCTCACTCAAAGGGCCCGGCCATCCAGCATTTATCTATTATGAATAGTGCAGTCTCGGCTTTCGGCCAGTCGAAAGGCCGAGGCGGAGCGTACAATGCCTTCGTTAGATAACGCCAAAAGGAACTGATAAAGCTAATTTAATTTCCGTCTAAGTCAACACAGGCTCATAATTATCCACATTTCTCTACTCAGTAGCCGCATATTGCTCCATACTATCAACGGTCCAACACCCCAACTATTCTTTGTAGCCTTGTCCGTTCGTCAGCATAACATGGTCCAGCAGTACAAGTACCAACTTAAGTAAATAGCTGTCACATACGACCATAGACTGAGGAGAAATGGGCATCCCGTCCGCTCTGCCATACACAAGCCTCAGTATCATTAGGTTAACTGTCTCAATCGTGCCATTAGGCTTAGCGCAGAACCCAAACCTCTTGCTGCCTGAAGGGTGAAGCGAGGGTGAGGCGAGGGTGAGCAGGGTGAACAGGGTGAGCAGGGTGAGCATCAGTGGGGCGAAGCAAATTTCTCGCGTCACTCTCGCGTCAGATCCGGAGTTTGGCCGCCTTGGTTCGGAGTATACCGTAGCAATCTCTTACTATACCTTCCTAGTTGATTCGTTATATGTCTAATTCGAGCCTCGAAAGTGGATTGCTGGTGGTGCAAGCTCAGTTGTGATCGTCGATTAGCTTTGCTGGAACATTTGACTAATTGACTGTTTCAAACACAAGGAGCCATTGATTCTCTTTTATTACTATCTCGCTCTGACACTTTTGGCTCTCTTTTGACGCTCCGAACTCAACATCCGCTCCGATCACACGGCGCAGAACCCTAACGTCCTCTCACGAGAGCTCGTAGCGAACGACTTCAGCTGAACGAGGCCACGTGGCCCTAACACAAGTTACAGACGCACTAGAAAGCGCTGGAGTTCGTGAACCTCGCGCTGTCTTTACCTCCCACAAGGGAGCATCTGGCCCAGGGACCACGCGTTTATAATTCACAATTTCTTCATAATTCCAACATACTACGCTGCTGGCACATCTCGAGGGACTTGACTTGGATTCCCTTCAAGAACCAAGGAATGGGTTGCATTGCCTTCCCTAGTGCAGGAGGTAGGTAGTCTGCCAGTCTCATGTGCTTGCCTAGCTGTGGAACAAGAGTCTACCTCGTACTCGACTGCCTAGAAGGAAGAGGGGAGGATTTGAATCCGCAGCCCTGAAATATGGAAACTCCAGCAGCGGACTGGCCGAGAAGATGTGCAGGATGGAATGATGGAGGCGGGGCTGTTTCCAACGAGCTGAACGTGATCAGTCCGAAATAACGGTACAATGATGCTGGTCCTTCCCCTTGGAGCAATGAAGCGCTAGTCATCGACGCGTAATTGATTCGGGCAAGCTGAGGAACCTGAGTGAAATGGCCTACGATAGACCCGGAATCGCCGACATATTCTGGTACCAGGAGATGCTGCTTCTGCCAGATAGCGAGCGGACATTTCCGTAGTATGCATCGAGCTTGCATATCCGCGTATGAGCACCCACTATCGCGAGCTGACTCGAAAGCAGCTTTGGCGGTATCTGCTTTCGCCGTTAAAGGACGGTTCTACAAGGTGCAGAGCATTCTTCCAGTAGCCGATGACGTTGATAGGACTGGGTATTCTGGGAGATAAATAGCCGTCCAAGCTAGCTCAAGTCGCTCTTAGACCTGCCACGTTTCTGTCCAGGTTGACAGGCGGGAGGGTGGACGACACAAGGCAGACTAGACAAACAGTTGTGCTTGAGTGCAAATTCTGCAGAGATACGTTCTGCAGGATCCCAGGCAAGCATTTGACCCAGCAGCTTCTCCACTGAGGCAGGAGATTTTTCTTGCAAATCTACTAAAGTGGCATCATATTCACCCCTCGCGTGAACGACATTCTGCCATCTCAGGCTACCCTTTGTGACAAACAAGCCAAGTCCGAATATACCACAGGCCCATATATCAACACTTTGGTCGTAACGTGTGGACTCCATTTCCGGAGCCAGGAAGGGAATCGTGCCCACAGAGCCAGGCTTGGGATCGCAGGTGGCGGCGCGAACGCTGTTGCCGTAATCTAATATAACAACGTGAATTTGCTCGGGCGAGGAGCTTACTATCCCCAGGTTACTCGGCTTAATGTCTCGATGGATAAAGCCCTCAGTATGAAGAGCGAGGATGCCTTGCAGGACCTGTTGGAAAGCTGCAAGTCGTACTGGCTCAGGCGGGAGAAATTCGGCGAACGTGGTGCGGGCGAAAGGGGTGTAAATTATCGCAACCCTTTCTGGTCGAGCTCTAAACTGATAACGTTCATCCCCGTCATCCGCTGGACCTGCAAACCATGGATCTTGCCGCTCGTACTGGACATCCCAAAACCGGAGGATTTGTGGCTGTGAGAAAGATGTGTAAGCAACCATAACTCAAGTAGTGAACGTTCGTAAACATACATGAACTGGGAGACTCTTTAACAACTCAATCTCCTTAGCAATGGCCGCATGAGACTCCCGAGTTCGCACGAAGGACTTCGCGGCTCCTGCAACACCTGTGATCGTATGCTTCGCGGCACTCACGGTGGCGAAAGCTCCCTTGCCGACGGTTCCCCTTACAAGCCAGTCGCCAAGTTTGGTGTCCCACGGTGATGGCGTTGCCGAAAGGTCAGGCGCTGGCGGCTGGAAACCCAACTGGTTTCTAAAGAACTTCCTGAGATTCCGCTGATACTCTTCTTCGTCGCTTGTGTCAAATTCGAAGAAGTAGCTTAACCTTCCAAAAGATATCCGATTTCTGGATTGTGTGATGACTCGTTGTCCGCAAGTAAACTCGTCATTTCCCAGCACAACTACTGGAGACCGGTCACTCACGACGCGGATTATCAGACTACCTGTCTTATCGAAGAAGAGACGCGCATGCCTTCCCGCGACCTCGTACTTTGCTCTTGGTAGTGCCAGTTGGAGGTCGACCCCACCGTTTGGTTTGGCACTCTTAGCATCCCATCGGCCGATCCCAATGAACCAACCAAGGAGGGGAATGCTCGGAGGGGTTCCAAATGACAGTTTGTAGTATCCTTCAAACCTCAACTGGTCGGGTGGCGGCATGCCAGGCTCCCCAGCTTCAGTCTCCGTCTCAGCTTCAGTCTCCGTCTCAGCTTCAGTCTCCGTCTCAGCTTCAGTCTCCCTAGCCTCAGTATCGATCCCGGTGCCGTCTGCCCCTTTCCGACCATCAATAACAACTTGTGCATCCGTCTGCCCTCGAAGGTGGGGTTTGATGACCATAAAATGAGCGGCATGGAGGAAGTCGCTCATACCGGGTGTCCTGTCTACAATCCTGGTTGCGACGTCGTTGTATGCACGTTTGGCTTCATAGTTAGCAGGTGTTAAACGTGCAATAACTTGGTTCGATGAGCTGAACATTTGCGATGAGATCATGGACCGGTGTTTTCAGGTCTTAGAATCGTTCCTCGAGCTGCGGTCGAGGAATATATAGATGAAGTAACCATCATCGTTTGCTAAAGAGAGAATTACCAGTAGAATACACGTATCTTAGGAGACAAGTTGGGTTTCATCATAGGAACGGGCGGCTATTTGGGTGGCTGCGGTGAACCTGTGGGGCTAATGAGCCGCCCAACGTTTTCAAGCGACCGAGGAAATGACCAGCCAAGTTTCGTAATGAACTTCCTCTCCTCCATCACCAGCAACCTCGCAATCCAGCTATGATCATGCCCTCACGACGCCTATCTGGTGATGTTACGGAGAGTTATATTCTACACCTAATACAGTCATCACCAAAGCGCGCTTCAACATCTCCCAACACCGAGGACGGAATTATCCCTTGGGGCTTTGGATTCGAATTCGAGTCCTGCTTGCAGGCAAAGTGGCAGGATGTTTTGGAGCAACAAGAAGCCCGCCTGAAAAAATATAGTCCATTTGGCATGGATGCCGATGATGCAAGACAGCCCACACCAGAGGACATGCGGGAAGCGTATCGTCAATTTATCGAAAGTGAGCTGGACGACGTTCATACGCCATCTCCTTCGCCGAGCCGCGAATCAATGCCTCGTGGTCCTGTGCAGAGTGTCGAGTGTCGCAGACCTGGGTATGATAATAACAGTCCGCACCGCGGCTCAGCGCCCAAGAACCGAAACGGCGGACACGGTATTCGGACGGAAAGGAAGGATGACAAGATTGCGCCCGTTGGAATCAAGAAGCGACGAAAGAGGGGTTCTGCGCGATCTCTTCAGAATCGGTCATCTACTCACCCCATGGAAACTAGATCTCGAAAACGGGCGACGATTAGTACATGATGCAAGAAGCCAGTCCTTCGCAGCGGCACCCAGTCGCACGATGACATTGGGCTATGGTTCAAACCGCCATCAATCTCGGAACACCTTTACTTACCGAACCACTGGAGTAGAGTCGCTCGGGAACTGCAGGTTGCTTCGTTGACGTTGGGGTCCCTGCATTGGAGAAGATCGAGGCGTCCTTCAACTGGTGATATAAGTGTTAATGTTGCAGATAACTATCATATACATATTCCAATCCTGGAACGTTATCACAAAATAGCGCTCAGCGCTTTTGAGTGGAATTGGAGCGAAGATCATGATATGAAAGGAATGTAAAGTGTGCGACCACTCTTCGACAGAGAAGTCTGCTTCGATGGTCGAGATGTTAATCGGTTGGCGGTGACAATTTGGGGGGAAAAGCTTTCGTCCTTGGCAACACGCAGGAAGAAGGACTTAAGGCACGACTTGCAATATACCAAACCCACAGTGAAATGAGGATGAACGGACTCTCCAGAGACACTGCATTCAGCGTTGAGTTGGGGCAAGTTCTCAAGGACAGCTTTCTGGGGGAGATGAGACTTCAGACTTCGAAACGCCAAGCAAACCAAAGGCTCGTACCCGCCAGCACTGGACAGATGCGTTGCGCCAAAGCGTCAAGCGGTCGGAGAGAGCGGTGTCCGCTACCGATAATACTGCACCTAAGCCTGCCTACTAGGGTTTGGTGTCAAGAATGTCACTGGATCTCGAGGTGGAAACAAACCGAGCAGTCACAAAGCTTCGGGATTGTGGAGTGGAGCATGGCGATGTACGACCACCAAGCACGGCAGTATTTATCTTCTCTACGAGATTGAGACCTTGCAAGTCCACCTGTTCAGGTAGCTGTTTAAATTGGAGATCATAGCAAATAGCAAGAATTTAGCGTCTCTGTTTCTAAGCAAGGACTTTCTAGCAAGAACTGTTAAGTGCTCGGCAACTAATCGTGGCAAATATCAGAATCTGAGTCTTCGCCAGGTGGGGTTTCCTCAAGCTCGAAGGGGTACAATTTAGGTCTTGGATAAGTTAGGCTGGCCCGCACCCACGTGCTTGTGGACGGAAGGAAGATCTGGAATGCAGGGAAGTTGGCTCATGTGCAGAATCTTTAGCACAACCGTGTGGCCTGCTGGTTGAGTTTGGTGCGTTGTAGTCTGTGGTTGGATTCCTTCCGGAACTGATTGGGGGGTAGCTGAGCTTCTTCAGCTTCTTGTGAAAGTAGTGCTCCAAGCATTTCGATTGACAGCTTTCTGGAGTGTAGTAAATCTATATGACTGTAATCCAAATAGGATCGCTCCTCGGTGATCCAGGGAGTCCACAAACGTGGTGATACCCTAAGAAGATGATGGTTGGATGGTCTTGCGATGCCGCCAGGCGACCGAAGCATTTCTACTGGGTCACTTTTGCACCAGCCGACTTGGTGGGGATTCTTCATGTGACCGGATCTCGGATAATCAGTTATTCCGTGCTTTAGCCTCACTGTAATCGCGCTGCGAGAGTATCTGCTATCTTAGCTATTCACCCTACATTTATCAGTATCCTATCCACACAACCAGCTGCCTAGTCCACTATGAGTTTGCTTTCATCCCAACCCCCAATCCGAATACTTGTCCGGACCGACCCTTCCCAACTTCGAAAGATCAACCCCTCCTTCGACCTCTCCCCCTCCTTCGACCAAGCCGATACTAAATTGATCGACACGGTTTGCGAACAACTCTCTATCGACAAAACAAAGATCAATCACTTAATTACGCGGATCAAGGATGGGCAAAAATCAGATCGAGTTGATATCGTTTTCGACTACGGTTTGTCGACAATCGACCCTCAAGTTAAGGCATATATCATAAGTGGGTCGAGTTTGGCCGTTAAGGAGCTCTTCAACCCCCACATAAGGGGAACAGTAAACCGGCAGGTGGAGGCATACAAATCGATAAATTTACAGCACAACCGAGAATTTCCAATTCGACCAGACACTCGAGCCGCGACACGAAAGAAACGACTTGCCATGCGTCCAGTAAGATAATCCTAGGTGCCGTGTTTGGGGTTGAGGTCCCAATCTTCACAGATATAAGCATTTATCCTATATCACTTGGAAGTAGGCTTTAGTTGGGAAGCAGGATGTTGGGATATGTATGGTCAAGTGTAGTATTAAAAACGTCATCAGAGCAAACTTTATGAAACTCCCTTTGGATTTTCTTCGAATAGGCCAAAACTATAGTGTTCCTATCTTCCTTGAGTTCTATCTATCTAGAGAAAACTTGGTCACTCGTCGCTTGCAGCCGACGATTCCGACGGTGTTGTTGCCAAACATCCACAATGACCATTTGTGGGGGGCTTTGGCAACCATTGAACCTGTGGGCACTGATAGGGATCTATAGGATTTCCAGTACACTTTTCCGGTACATCTTCCATTGGACATCCACACTGAGCCCACGAGTGAGTCCATATTGTACACATGACTGCTCTCGCTCCTTTACACCCTAATGAGCTATAATGCTACTGAATTTCTAGGGGCATGTAGACTTACAAATACGTAAGGTTGAGGTGTTTCCAAAGCACGAAGGGTATAAGCTTGCTGCCTTACACTGAATGTTCTGGAGCTGATGAATTAATATCCGTTCCCACAGTAGAATTAGGAGATATATACCGTAGGATAGCTACTGCAAATCCTTTAAAACTCTTGTTAGTAGACATGACCAGACCTGACACTTGGAAACATTTAAATAACCGGCCAAATGAGGCTCTTCGGGAAATGGTGAAGGTGGTGTGTTGGCATAGCTATATACAACGCCCGACTGCACGCCCGACTGCACGCCTGACTGCACGCCTGACTGCACGCCCGCCCACAGACCGTTTTTTGGGAGCCCAGATGTTAGGCGAACTAGATAAATAGGAACTCTAGCACAGAAGGGAAGCTTCAAATGAAGCGGGCAGCGTACCGCCGGGCACGTGCCCATGGAAAGCTCGAGAAACCTGCCAACCAGCACCCTCCGCGTAGCGAAGATCCCGTACTGGTAGCACCCCAGGGGGATTGGTAAGTGAACGTGTCGCAATATATCTTGCCTGTCTGTCTGCTAGGTGTAGGCTCGCAACTCTGCCACATTGCGTAAGGTCTGAACTTGTTCCTTACTGCCACTTCGTCCCCATTCAATGAAATCAATGATATTAACTTGTGCCGCGTACAGCCTATGCACTCGCATCAATCCACCAAATTCGTTGCCCGGTCTGTGCACTCAATCCCCGCTCTAGAAAATTCCCGATGATGATGCTCGCAGATGTAAGGTGGATTGAACATAATGGGAACAATAGCTGATTAAAATATAGGAATTAATTTTGGAAATAGATCAATACCTCGAATCCGAAAGCCTGAAGGTTTCTCGTCTTGTCTGTCGCCAATGGTGCCGGGTTGCTACACCACTCTTATTTCAACGAGCTGTTCTCTACTGCAGAGAAAGTTCGCAACGGTTTAAAGAAATCCTCGGGCGAGCTCACCTTTCTCGACTGATCAAGGTCATATCATTTGAATCGACATATGACGGCAAACTCGGCGAGCTTAACCTTATTCCGTTGATAGCGCAACCCGACATGCTACGTATACTTCCACTACCGACGCATTGTGATATACACAATCATCAGACGAAATACATAACCAAATTAGCTCGTTTGGACTCGACTGGTGATCGAGCTTTGACCCCGAACTTAAAAGAAATTCACATCAGTACTCCCGGCATACCATACCTCGAAACTACAGTATTCAGCAACCTTCGCCGAATTCATATTGATGCGGAGTCTGTTCAGCTGCCCGAAGATTTTACGTTTCCTGTCTTAGAGACGTTTCACGTCACTTGTAACACTCTTGGTATTGAAATGATGATAGCTTTCCTCAATCGCCACGGAAGGCTCCAGCAGTTGTACCTGACTCTACGGATTACATTAGGACCTTTGACAGAGGAATTTCTCGATTTGATAAAGAACGAATTGAGAACAAGTTCAAGCGAAAAACTTGTGGCCTCGATCATAAAAACCGCTAAAGAAGACGCCTGTGGCGAATCGCGGCTCTTCTTAAAGATTATCCACAGACAGATGACTAAATGGCTCGATGAAGAACTGGTGAAGGAATTGAATAAAAAATTCGTTACGGTCTTTGGATTGCTGATAGGGCGACAGCGTGAGATATATCGTGGTGCTTTGGAAGAAATACGGAGTGCTGTTCAAAACCCTAACGCGGTTGAGATGACTATGGCGGTAGATTATCAGGAAGGCGAGCTCCCTAGATTTGAGTCTTAACCTTGATTGTCAGCGAGCGAACACCAGGTTAGCGCCAACACCCTATTCACGCACCTCTTCCTAAATACTCATTTCCAGAACTTCAAAATCCGCAATGCCGGGTCCATTGAGCACGGTACACAACACTTCTGACCAAAACTACCAAACGATGCTTAAACATCGTCGACGTCCCTCCCGAGCAGCGCCCGTCGGTGGGTACCCCAAAGTACTGGAGCGCCTGGTCCTGCAAGTCCAACTGCATCTGTACGAGGCGGTTGTGCACTGCATTTTCTCGTTATAGATTGATTTCCTAGGGGAGAAGTGGCTAAAAAATAGCAATGTATTGATAATAATTTTATAGACTTGCGAGGAAGAGACCTGAGATGTCTAAACTGTGATGGGATGCATCTCTTGACTCAGGGACAGACGTTATAAATACAGTCTGTACATTGATATCAAAGGCTTAATGTGTATTTTCCTAAATATAACCCTTTACTTATAATCTCTCAATTAAAGTACAAGTATCACGAAAGCAGACACCTTCGTCCTCTTCGCCACCTCTATAATAATCCTCTACATTATCCTCTTCATCATCCCTCTCAATTAAAGCACAAGTATCACAAAAGCAGACGCCTTTATCACCATCATCTTCTCCTTCATCATCCTCTTGATCATCATCCTCTTGATCATCATCCTCTTCATCATCCTCTTCATCATCCTCTTCATCATCCTCTTCATCATCCTCTTCATCATCCTCTTCATCATCCTCTTCATCATCCTCATCACCCTGTCCACGGAACTCTCGAAACTCGTCATCCATATTATAGTCTTCACTATCCTGCGACACCCACGACAGGATCTCGTCATCGTCCATGCTTTCACTATCTTCGTCTGTGCTTTCACTATCTTCGCCCGTAGAACTCTCAAGCTCCCGTTTCTCATGGGCTACCCACAAGTTCTTCGTTGAGAAATTTGGATTATCTACGCTGGTGGTTACAAGCCGAAGATCTAGCCTAGTTAGGCAGAACCAACCCGATCCCGTGGAGATCTTACCTTCGAGCCCTCCTTGGAACGGCAATATCATGAGGTTAATTAGGCAATCTCTGTTGAATCTAGCACTGTTGTGTGACAGGCGTCTTTTCCTCTCCCAACCCCGCTTCTCGTCGCAGAGACTATTCCACTCGAAGAGGACATCTCCGTCTACAAGCGTAAATTCGAGCTGCCCTTGGTCAAGTCGATTTTGCAATAGCTCATTGATGGTATACCACGAATAATTCCGTCCTTCCATAACTCCCTGTAGCTTTGAGAGAACCTGTTCCTCTGATAATTCTTCTATCCACAAGACTGCCTGTTTTGGCCAGGCATGAGCGTCATTGTGCCATAGACCCTCCTGGAAAAAAGCTTCGGAAGCCATAACGTTAAAATTAGCGCTCGGGCAGAAGGTGAAGAGAACACTGTGATTCAGATCAGAGGCTCATAGATGGGTTTTTCGCCTTTGGTTTTATATAAGCTCTGTATAGAAGGAGGGTATCAAGTCGAGGTGGCCATCAGATCCAAGGGGCCATCAAATCCGCGGGATCATCAAATCCACGGGATCATCAAATCCGCGGGGCCATCAAATCCAGGAGGTTTTCACGATGATCCATGGACTATATTATTCCTAAAGCAATGGAAAATTTAGCAAGCTGTGTTACTAGCTGTAGGATAGGTTGATTCCACAAGAAAATTAATATTGGTAGATCATGTGGACTTTTGCTAGGAAAAGAGTAGATGACAATCTTAAACCCGTTGGTTTAGAGCCATTTTGAAGGAGGCAAATATAATCTATTATTTACATCCTGATATACTTAGACGCAAATCGAATTAACCATTCTTACCTACTTCAGTAAGTCTAATAGGCATCACGGTAACAAAATTTATTAATCTATAGCGCTGCCACGAACATACCCGCAATCTCGTACTATATGTGATTGCCCCTTGACAAGCTGTTCTCCGCGTGATATTTCAAAGGCGAACCGAATCCGTGGGATCAGCCTCCTTGGAGATACGGCAAGGGATAGGAAACGATGCTACCTCGATTAACTACTATATTTGTACCTGGGGATAATGGTCCCTTACTTTCATCAGGGTCTCCAAGGATCCTGACAACGTACAAGAGAGAAAGCTAAGGGCATCCTCGGACCACATTATGTCGTTAGGTGTAAGATGATAACGTGAAAGCATCATATCCTCTATAAGTTCAGCCAGTATCGGGAAGTCCAGGAGAACCTGTGACACCTTCGAGCCCTCATGTAAGTGGTCATGCTGGACCTGTTGAAGATCTAGGACTAAGTATAGTATATTAGGTTCGATCCCACTAGGGTGTGGAGATAAGCTTACCAAGTTTTACCTCTCCATCTAGAGATAATCCGATATTTGCTTCTGAAAGCGTTCTGCAAGAGAGTTTCAATGAGGAGATGTAAGTAATACCCTTGAGGACCTGGGACTGTAAGTTATAGTACCTTCAGCAGAGGAGGTATTTGGCAGACGTGTACCTCAGCAATTATTGTAGCCATCTCCCACTCCTCCAGCTCATATTTCTGAACTTCTAACTGGGATAAATATATATCAAGGCGCTCTGTAACTTGAAAGACCTTGTTGCCGTCACTATAGAGGTCGTAGATAGTCGCAACGTTAGGACTTTGAGTACTGGAAAGGAGACGGTACTGTTTTTGGACGTCGGAACTGTGACATAGTCGAATATTAACGAGTTCAAAGTACGAAGCTTTTCGTGTTGCGACTATATCGTGTCCAAGGCTATGAATGTAGTCATAGTCACCCCATGGGTCCCCAAGCAAAATTCGAAGTATTCTATGGACAGTTCCAGAGAAAGCCGGTTCAGCTCTTCTCAAGATGTCGCTAGTAGGCTTGGACGCCTCTCCTAAATGATCCGGACGAGAAATGGGGAACATAGTCCTCAATCTTTTTATGCGGTGTTGCATTGCGAATTGGTTTATTGTACTTTTAGATAGGGTTTAAATTTATTGGATACCGTGACAGCTCTCGTGAGTAAAGGAAATAGAAGAAGAAACTCACAAACGCTCTCTAGATCAACTGGAGAGATGACTCTTTGGGAGATCATCTAGCCTATTATGGATCATCGGTAGTAGATTTGTCCATCAGGAAGACGGCAAGATTGGAAAATTCGAACATTCAATTGAACCGCCTCGTCGCCTTTTAACTGGAGGATCATCAGGTAAAATATGGTCATCAATAACCTTTGAAATAAAATACCTCCAACTGAGATGGTACACATTTTGAGGGCGATCATCCAAGGGTTGGGGATCACCCCAACAAGCGGGAGACCATTCACAACCGACGCAACACCCAAAAAGTGATGGGGCCAACGCAAGATTGAAAACCAAGACGATCACTCACTGCCTCGAGATAAAATACGGATGGCGGAGCAAAATATTAGCTAAACTATCTTGCGCTGTCGCTAGAAACCCATCGCGATGACCGCAACAAAGAATAAGCAAGCGTTGGAGAACAAACAAAAGGTGGAAGTGGTTAGTAGGGAAACAAAGCCTTTGCCAAATAATGCCTACAAGCTAGGAATGCTCCCTGGCATAGCTTTGATAATTTGCAAGTGATAACAGCTAACCGCGGCGACGGCGTTTACAGAGCAAGCCTCTATATGCCTCGTGGTTCATTCTAGTCTTGTAGGTCATGTCCTCGGCGCCGCTTACCACTGATAGGCCGAACAGTGGACAACGATACGGTGGAACAGCCTGTTCGGACAAGCATATCGAAACAGTCCTGCCAGACAAAGTTGCCGCCCTGTAGGAGATACAATTTCTTCCCCTGATCTGCATACTCTCGGGCTTGGTTGTTGACGGACTCCTTATCGTAGGGTACTTCTTGAACAACCTCATTGCCCTGCAAAAATGTAACCACCAATCCTTTAAATGACGAAGTCTGATCCGTGACAATGTCCTGGGCCTCTGCGTTAGAACCCGGACCTCTTTGATCAGAAACAGAAGCCAAATCAGTCGATTCTCCAACGGAGAGAGGCGTTCGGGCTGCCTGCGGTGCTATAGAAGCAATCACAGTAGTTAGATCTGTAGACTGGCCTGGTTGATGAGCTCCTGTAAGATCAAGTGCCCCAAAGAATGCTCTATGCCGTGACCGCTTGACGTAAAAGGAGCTGATCTCATCCCCTCCCCTCTGATGCCAATGGAGTGGTGCGTGTATCTTGTCAAGAAAGAGGTGGTTAAGATCCCGAGTATCCATGCCGCCGTATCCGCATCGGCTATTCAAGGGAACCGCTGATCCAGCCACAGTTATAAATGGAGGAGCTGTCTTTGCAGGCGTTTCCAAGACCTTGTCCAAGTAGTCCTTCAAAGATGTGATAGCAGGCCTGGCTTGATTGGCATCGAAGGCAAACCCCTCGTTAGGTCGAAGGACATCGAGTGCCTCTAGAACAACCTTTTCTATCATGCCTTGGTTGGGGTCCTTTTTTAGTTCGTGCCCAATACTTGGGCATGAGAAGCCTAACCGATCAGCAAGAGTGGCCACTTGCAGCCAAGCGTAGGCATTAGGGGTTTTCCAAATTCGACATGAACAGAGCCATAACTGTTGATATGCAATATCAAAAGCATCCAAGGATTTCCTTGGAATAGTCACATAAGAAGATCTGCTCTGCTGTACCTCGATGGTATGTTCGCTCGATTCCACTCCGGTAAAATGGAAGTAAAACCTCTTGCGCAGAGTTTTCTTTGACTTAGGCAGGAGAGCACCCAAGATCCTAGCAGGCTCTATCAGATACCTGATGTCTCTGATTACTGTATAGAGGCTTGGTATGAGCTCCTCGGTGGTGAGGAGGCGCCGTGTTATATCAGCCCTCTTTCCTGGGTCTGTTACTCCCGGGAAAAGGACTTGAGATCGCATTTGCTTTTCAACAAATTCGTAGTCGGACTTAGAAAGAGCCGGAGCTCTCGACTGAATGGACTTGATACTGAAGGGGTCAGTGGCCATCATCGTCACCATATCGTTTCCAAAAATATGGGTCAAATTCGACTTAACGCCCTTGATAGAACAGGCTATCTCCTATGCCGTATTAAAATTAATACCTAGAGGAGCATTTCCTTGCTTACCTCGTCACACTTTAGATTTAAGAAAACATCTAGTGAACCAAGATAAAAAGTCCTCCAGACGCCTTGGATATGTAACACAGAGTCCAAGGCCTTGATGAGCAAGCCCCGTTCCAAAAGAAGCGCTAGAGACTCTCTTTGGGGGTCGGTAAGTTTTCCCCGCCATCGTTCAACACCATCAGTGTCTTGGTCGTAGTAACAAAGCCGCATATGGCGAAATATTTCGCCAGTTGTGTAATTTGCTGAATAAGAATATCCTTCGCGGAGGTGCTGTTTGGTGGCCCTCTCAAGATCTAACGGCCGTCAGCGTAGATGTGAAATTGACCGAGCAAAACTAACCACTGCTATAGAGCTCAACTACCCACCATCTTTTAGGTGCGTCGAGACCTTCTTCGGCGGCACGGATTCTATGTTGTCCGTGAAGGCACTCGAGCTTCATTCCAATTCCAAGATCAAGGAGCGGCGGCTTGTCGCTAGACGTAGCCTTGAACTGCGAAGCACTTATCCCCAGCTTCTCCAGCGCCGCTTGAAGTATCGATTCATCGATCATGGCTGGGATCCAATGATCTGGTGTTTCATTCATACATCCTCTGCGTTGAAAGTCCCCCTTCAAACGCTCAACATGTTCTCTGTCGATCTGGCGGCATGGATTCGGGAAATCTAAATGTGTAATCCACACTCGAGCCGCCCCTTTGAATTTTGCATGCTTGTCCTTTACAACCCTTCGCTCTTTGGCCGTAAGAATGACTGTGTCCGAAGTTGCCATTGTTAATAGGAGTTGGAGCCTGGGCATCTAAAAAATATTAGGAGCGGGGGAGGTGGGGTATTAATAGATACGGTTTATGGTACATGGCAAACAATGGGTGCCCCTGAAAATATTTGCACAAATAGAGATTTGGTACCTAGAGAAAGGTTGGTACCTGGGAATTAATAGGTACTCGTAAAATTATTGTACAAAAATTTGTTTGGTACCTGGGAAAATGCTGGTACTTGGAAATATCTGGTACAAAAATATATTTTGTACCTGCAAAGTAGCCGGTACGTATAAAGATTATGGTACCAAATTTTGCGTTTCTCACCTAAAAATTTCCAAGTATCTGCAGGAATTTGGTGCCTCACATTATGCTTCTTTTAGTGAAAACTTCCTCTCTCTCAATATTCATGCTCCTAATAAATGTAAGTTTACTAGGTAAATTCCCGTATCTGATCCTTTATCGCGCAAATATATTTTGACTGGTAAAGCGGCCGCTAATATGAATGATCTATTAGCGATACACGACCATCTCATGCATCAATTTTCTGATCATCTATAAGAATAGATCATCTATGTGATAGCCGACGTTTGCAAATTGCGGCTGTGCCTCACGAGGGTTCAAATACTCATCAACACGTTCCTCCGGCCGACTGGGGCGACCAAATATGGCGACAGAATCTCATCGGAAAACTCGATTCCCTGCTCCAGGCCGGGCAGGGAGCCGCCTGACCGATCAGGAAGATCCCAACGCCAAACGACAGACGCTATTTCCTGGGGGCATGAGGATACGGACGCTCTCCCTTTTAGAGTCGAATAAGTCGCCCGTCAAATCAAATATAGAAGGCAACGCGCTTCAAATTCTGTCACGATCTGTGAAAGTTAATCCGCCTAATGCGGTACCAACAAGACCACCACCGGAAATGAAGATCAAGAACAGGAGACCATATCATCCTTCTGGCCTTCACACACTGACTCCGTGGGATACGTATAAGGCTCTTCGTCCTCTGCAGCGCGGGGGTGAAGTCACGGCAGCTTGTGCGCGGACAGACCCGAGCAGGATGGTAACAATTAAGAAACTCTCTCTTAGTCAATTTCAAGAGTTTAGAAGTTGCCAACATGAGAATTTGCTCGTAATCATAGACGGGTACCGAGCCGAAGACCAAATATTTGTCGTTACCGACTATACGGTTTCTACTCTCAAGTATATCATTGCCATAGCCCTCCCGCTGGAAGAACTCCACGTATCTGCAACCTGTCAACAGGGAAGTCACGTGTTATGCTTAAGCGTTCATCGTACTAACACGTTACAGGTCTTCGAAGGAATGCAGTACCTGTCCGAATTTGGTATTACGCGCAATAAGCTCGACAGTTCAAGCGTCTTGTTTTTGTCAGACGGATGCGTAAAATTAGGTGTGTTGGATGAAATCGCGTTGCTACACCGGCTAAAGAATATTCAAGCATACTTTGATGAATGTGAATCCGCAGATCCCGCGTCGGCTCGTTCGCTCGGGGTCATTGCTATGGAAATGATGCAGAATAATATCCCTCCTGCGACAGAGAAGTTGGTCTTGAATAACCCTGACCAGTGGTCTGCAGAAGCGTCCGACTTTCTAGACATTGCTTCTTGGGCCACATTAAAAGAGATCCAGAAGGTTCGAGACCTCTATTTTGCTTAATAAACCGTTTTTGCTTAGATGTTACCTAGCATGTGTTTCTGGAATATGTATCGCCAAAAGTCATGATTCCATTTGTGGAATATGCCCGCTGGGAGACTGTCGAAAGTCATCACCTACCTTTAGTATTGTAAACGACTAGACGGCAAGCCTGCATCGGGAAACCGCGACCGCCGCACCAGGCAAAGGCGCGCTCACGGCCCCGCCGCCGCTTTCACGGAGTGTATGAATCGTGCCCCTCCATCCCTCGCCGTCCTCCTCCTGTTATAATTCCTGCAGCCGTCCAGTTCTTCCTAACAGCACATCCCCTAATATCTTTTGCATATGTTGGTCAGTAAGCTTGTTGATAAGCTGTATCAAAGCTTGCTCTTCCCCACCAAACCTTACAGTAACCCTCGCTGACTAGCGATCGTACAGATGATCCCAACGTTAGAGGCCTTCCGGATGATTAAAGGAGAGTCTACGTGTCAAAAGCAATTTTATAATTATAGGCAGCAATTCACTATTATAAGGCAAAGCAGCCAGTTCTATCTGTGATTTACCCCACCAATCCCTCATCCGCATCGTGAATGATGACGTGGCGGCGTCGCTTCCAATCTGCATAGTACCACCTTCTTTAGTGTAACGAACAGGCCCTTATCTTTGTCCGCGCTCTATCGCTATTCTAGTATTATTAACTCCTTAGTTTTTTGATCGCCTCCTCAACGACTCACGAGAACTCTTTCTATACTATGGCGAGAAAGAATAACTACTATTCTGTTGTCCGTGGTCGTATTGCTCATGCAATATGCTCATCATGGGTGTGCTCAGCACTTACAAGTAGCCAGCTTCTTGATATCATTTACTAACCGGATTTATTAGGGGTGCAACGCGAGCCCTAGTCAGTGGCTATCCAAATAATAAATGTTACGGGTTTCCAAAATTGGACGAGGCTATCTCGTTTATGAGGGACTATCCCAATTATAAATTCTTTCGCGGGAGTGCAGAAGGTGAAAGAGCGCCGGGGAAAGGCGAGCCAGTTTACTACGCCGTGGCGAACGGTGAACACGTCGGAGTTTACGAATTCTACCAGTAAGCTTTCTATCGCAAAGCGTGTCGGGGTGTTTTTAACTTCGTTTGTAGAGGGGGGGCTCAAGAAGAAATTGCGAGGTACTCGCATTCGTGTCATAAGGCGTTTAGGTCACGAGAAGAGGCGGAAGCCTTTATAAAGGAATACAGGACTACTGCTGACTTGGTGAAAAGAGAGTCTCTGGATGAAGATATTGGCACCGTTCTTGATAGTATGATGAGTCAACTTCGCCTTGAGTAGTATATTATTCATATGAGAAGAAGACATTGCCTGGTATTCCTCAGTTCCTTGAGCCTATTTCACCTATGATACCATGCATTATCCAAGCCTCAACTGGCACGATGCAGTTCATGGCAGTCGAGGTTCTCGAAGGCAAGGGCCATACTTATCGCCATGATCTTGAGTCATTCCTTTACGTGGATGTACATTCGATATGGGATATGGATAAAAATCGGTTCGAGAATATCATCGCCCAGTTCACGGCAGTATTCGAAGAGCTAAAGCTGCTGGCTCGAGACCTCCGAAACGTTCTTTTTCCGATTAAGGATGCCACCAGTAGCTGGAAACCCTTCTACTCTTTATCCCACCCGAATGTTGACGCAGTTAAGGGCCACTAGATATATCTGGCCTTTGACTAGGCTCGCTGGAGTTGTTCATTTCGGCTCGTCTAATGTAGTTTTGCACAAATAATTGACAAATGATAATGGCCTTGTCTAACCGGTTTGCCACGGGAAATCACGTTGAGGACTCCAATTCCTTCTCGCGATAGGAAGTCATTGAAAGGTTTTGGTGTTCGTAAATCTGGTTGTCCAGGTCGCAATGTTGGAGGTGTCATTGGAGAAAATAGGATCTGTCAAGGATACGTCAAACATTATCATGTCAACTATCTTCATAATGATGATTCATGTTGGATTGTAAGTTTAACATGTGCTCTTGTATATAAGGCTAACCCTGTATGTCACAGGGACCTAGGCATTGTCAAACTTTCACGCGCTGGCATGGACGATTACCGTGAACTTATTAAAGATACTAAATCGGGCAATACTATGGGTGCTTGTCTTTTTCAAATGAGCATTCCCCCACCAACGCGCGGAGTTGGCGTACCCCAGATCTAGAAGTCTTTTGATTCGGAATTCTTAAACCACCAATATCATGTACCACCTCCGGCAGAGGAGGCTCGCCGTGAACTCAACCCTAGAGCTCGAATACGAAACCCAAGAACGCCGACCGAACATGTGTCTACAAGGAGACAGATGGAGAAACCGAGCTTCATTTGTGGCAAGTGTGTCTCCAGGGCTTCTGTCTCGCATCTGCCAGTTGTCCGGCGAAGAAACCCATTCGCCACTCGGTTAGCTTTGTGCCAATATCGAACCAGTGTGCGTAGTCTTGCACAAAGGCACTCGGGAAGTCGCCATACATAGCGTGTATAGGCACTGCCTCACAGGTCTGCTGCTGGTTCCGAGTCCGGATGATAAGTTCCGAGCCGTGCATTCGAAAGTGAACCTGTGATCGTCAATTAAAATGTCTACCAAGCTACGAGAAGTACCTGTCGGCCGCATATCAAATTCCGCGTCTCGAAAACTATCTCTTCCATCGTAGACGGAACAACGTCCACGACTTTCTAGAGTCTGAAGTCAGTTGCAATGTGCTCGCCATCTGGGGACGATCACTGTACCTCGCCGAATAGTTGTTGGTAAGTCTCATGCAATTCGTAAGCTCGGGGAAGTCTCGTCAGTAGCAACCCGTCCACGAGTAAACTCCCTTCCAAGATTATAGAGTTGGAACAGGGATTTTCCGAGGTCACCCACGATGTCTTTTCAATAGAAAATAGGACTAATGACTGCTGTATTGAATCCCCAATCAAACCTTGCGTAGTTGCGTAGGAGTGTCCGACCTTGGGAGGATTCTTGGTTTGGTTCTGTGAGCGTCCATTGGCCTATACAATAGTGATTTTGTGGTTTTGGCTCGATAGTTGTGTCGGCTGTCGGATGTATGGCAAATTGATATAGTTTACCTGCGGACTCGGAACGTGCCGGAGCAAGATTGCGTGTTCCGGGTGTATATACTTGGTACCTCTCGCATGAGGCGTCTTGCATGTCGACGTACTGCTACCGGATGCTTGTGGTTGATGGCGTTTGAGGATCTTGAGGCCAGGCCAAGTCTGATCCAGAACTCAAGTTGTGAAGGGTGTGAGTCAAGCATATTTGTTATGTTGAAATCGCGAAGAATGAGTCACATGCAAATGCCCACCTCAGCATGGTGTTTGTTCAACCACGTAGTGTGTTGTTCGTATATGCAGCCACTACCCGAATGGTCAGGTAGATCGATGCTGCTGCCTGGGTCGGAACGGTAAACGGCAACTACTCTAGACATATAGCTGGAAAACTCCTGAAGTATATAAGTGGATCAACTCCCGCCTTTGCACTATGGAGATTAAGTCGGTCAGTTATCTAAATTCACAATTACATGTACTGTAATATCGCTGTGCCCGCAACATCGACGGTGAGGTGATAAACTTGCCTATGTAGGTTCAAACCTTCCTACTAATCAATTTCAACAATTTGATCCTAACCTGTTTCAGTATGTGCAAGAAATACGTTTCTATCAAGATCTACGCTTGCGGCACTCGTGGTGAAAAGGAGACCTTTAAATTCGAATCTTGTAACGAGCAGGACAAAGGCCACGAGGTTAAGGAGATTGAAATGGGCTCTAGTAAAGTCAAAAGCGAATGTGGGAATTACACTTGTGCTGTCTGCGGCCATTGTGAGTTCGCGTAACCAAGCTCGGGCAGGTACTAACAGACAATAGGAGAGACGAGCACCGAAGGAATTGCTTCTAAAATATCATTCCTTGTTTCGTGTGTTTTCTGTTGAAAATATGGAATCCTAACGAGATCCGATCGGGAGAGTGGCAATAAACAAGAACGTTTGACTAATGGTATTTGCCGTCTTGGAAGACGGCTTCGGACCGGGTAGAATATCGGACTCCCAATCACTGAACTCTTTGGAGCTTGTGGATATTCCGCGTCTTATTTTCCATCCCTTTCCCAAGAATCTCTCGTAGACGCCTTCGACATCGTAGTATACGCGTCCTGTACCCCCAGAATGCGCTGGTCGACTTCGTCGTGATTCTGCTCAAAACCACTCTCAGAAGCTGAGCTGGATCGTAGCAGCGTGCTATGCCTTCCTCGAGTACGGTGGGGCAGTAGTGTGGTCTATTCGTGAGACCAAGTCTGAAGCCTAGAATCCCTGCATAGCACTCGTTTCACTTGTAATTTAAGCGGGCTGTGCGACAAGGAGGCCTGAGGACCAAGGAGCCATGGGGTGTCCCGACTAAAAGCGGAATAGCGCCGCTTGCGGAACAATATTATTCCTAGTACCGTAGTAACACGTTTCGTGCCCTTTCTATCTTATAAATCCCGTTGGTTTTTCATAAGTTGACGATGCGCCATGGAGAATTTCGGGTCTACGAGCACCATCGAATCATTCCAGCCCGGAGTCGTTCTCAAGCAACCGATAAACTTCAAGACTAAGGGCCTTGCCGACAAGGTCGACCGCTGCTTTTCTGTTGAGCCGCTTATACTCCAAAAACTTGGACACCATCCAAGAATTGTTAAGTAAGTGCACCAGGTATAGATACTAGTACGAGCTTAGAAGTATTAAATTGTTAGATATCTCGGAAAACATGGCCGCGGCCTTCTGCTCGGCCAAGCAAGCCATAGCAATCTCCAGGCGTATATCGACAACCATCCTTCGACTGATCTACGCCAACGTAAAATATGGTGTCGACAGTTGACTGAAGCTATCGTCTATATTCATAGCCGCGGCGTAGTTCACTCAGATCTACGCCCGAAGAACATCCTTGTCCACGAAACTACCTCAGGATCACGAGACTTGGTGCTCTGTGACTTTGGTGGATCTACGTGCGATGAGCTGGGTCTAGATGGAGGTTGCCTTCCTGACGGTCCTTTCTACAGCCCCACCTTCGGGCTCCAGTCTACTCCGGCTCTTGATATATTCGGCCTCGGCTCTCTCTTTTACACTATCCTGACGGGGTGTTGGCCTTATAGATCCTGCCCTGGGGCCCCTGAAATAGCGGAGGAGAAGATCGCCTACGAGAAGGAAGTTTCCGAGGCTTTAAGTCAAGGAGAATACCCCGATGTGACGAGAGTAGTGGGTGGCAGGGTGATTTTGGGCTGTTGGATGGGGCAATACTTGACGGCCGAGGAAGTTCTGCTAGCTTTGGATAGGGAAATGTCGAAGGAGGCTGATCATATCTCGATGTTCTTACGAGTAGCAATTTCCGTTGTGGTTCTAACAGCTTCTACATATCTAATTGTACGGCGACGGCTACGATGAGCGGGGGAGATCTGAGGGCCTATTAGCTGCCCTCCAGACATCTCGTCCCGGCATATTTCAAGGGACAGGTACGCAAATAAAGCTTGTACAACAACTCGTTCTGGGAATTTTGACATGAACATGATATTGAAACCACCTGAAGCACATAAGAAGAGATGGAATGAATTTTGGCCACTCCGAAAAATTGCCGTTGGAAGGTACGTCTTGTCGACTTTCGACGCCCAGTCGCCGGGATGCCGGCCTGACCTTGCCCTGTTCCAGTATTTAGCTTTAAGTGGTTCATGTCAATCTACATGGTTGCTTTGGATAGAGTGCGTTTGTTTAAACCGAAGCAATAAGAAGCTCTGCAGCGTGCGATACGGCACACAGCGCATTCCAATTGGGTATAGCGCTGCTGCGCAGAGGTTTCATCTCTCGCAATCAACCCCTCTTTTCGCTGCTTTACCATTATCTTCAATCCGCTTCAATGTACAGTACGGCTGTTGACCTCAATAAGGCCCACATCAACCATCGTCGTCATCACTAGTGCGAGATACTCACACACCCATGCCGAACTGAAATGGCCACCCTCGACTCCCTAAAGCAGGCCCTTAGGGAGAAAGCCAAGGCAACGGCGTCGTCCCCGAAGCAACCGTTGTCCGCGACACAGTACAGCGCCGGCTTCAATATCTTGATGCGGGGCTCAGGATGGATAACGTACCAAGACTTTATTATCCCTCAACTATCTCAGCTGCTAGCCCTTCTCTTTAACTCGCGTATTCATATCTCGGCACTAGAAATCGGACCCGGCCCGAAGAGCATACTTGGATATCTTCCCGGCCGTCTGAAACGGAAGGTCAGGAAATACACTGCATTCGAGCCTAACGGCTTGTTTGCTACAAGGTTAGAAGAATGGCTTTACTCTACCTCCGAGACAGAGTCCCCGCTGCCCTGTCTAGAAAACCCCCCCAACATCCATCGAATTCCATTCGTTCTGCAGAACATAGGGAGCGGTACTAGTACCGGTACGGGGAATAACGACGAAAAGTACGACATCATCCTATTCTGCCACAGCATGTACGGCATGAAGCCCAAACACAGGTTCATCGAACGGGCGCTGGAAATGCTTGTTGAGCGGCCACAAGGCGGAATAGTGGCGGTTTTCCATCGCGACGCCTTGCACCTCGACGGCTTGGTGTGCCATCGAACGGCTTCTTTCCCTACTGGAGTCGTTAGCGTGGCAGATGACGATGAAGTACTGGACTGTTTTGCTCCTTTCGTCGCGGGGTTTATTATGCAGGCTGTGGACGTGGACAAGGCTATCCGAGTGAAGTGGCGTAAGGTGTGCCGCGCCTTGGGCCGTCGTGAGGAAACCCACCCAGACCATCTCTTGTTTAGCTCACCCAACGTTATGGCGGCTTTTACCCAACATGCAATCACGTTGCCGGAGCTGATGGCGCAGGTGCCATTGGCAAAGGGGGACAAGATTGTTAAAAACCGCGAGGCTCGCCTCCACCGTCCCGCCTCGATTATTAGGCCAACAAAGGTCCGACACGTCCAACAGTGCGTTCGATGGGCTCTGAAGCACGGGGTCGGCCTGACTGTCGTCGGCGGGGGTCACAGCGGCCACTGTCTCTGGCCCAACGTCATCTCGGTGGACATGGGCGCCTTTGACCAAGTACACATTCTCACGGCCGGGGAGGAGGATGAAAGAAAATCCGATTCCAATTCCAGTTCCTTGGTCGTCGCCGAGGGTGGCTGCAAGACAGGGGATATCGTCACCAAGACCATGGCGGCGGGCTTGACAGTGCCCTTGGGGGCCCGCCCAAGCGTAGGCGCGGGGCTGTGGCTACAAGGCGGCATAGGGCACCTGGCTCGGCTGCACGGATTCGCGTGCGACGCCATTGTCGGTGCCGTTGTGATCAGCGTCGACTCTGGCCAGGTCTTCTGCGTCGGCTGTGTACCAAGTCAACACTGGCCAGTCGGTGCTGTACGCCCGGAAAACGAAACCGATCTGTTATGGGCGATGAAAGGCGCTGGGACCAACTTTGGCATCGTAATTAGCATTACTTTCAAAGCTTACGCGGCTCCGACCTATTCCATTCGAAACTGGGTTGTCCCGCTAAGCGACAGCCTCGAAGCGCAGCTCAAGCTGAGCGATTTTGATGAACTCGTCGCGAGCAAGCTTTCCCGGAACTTTTCTGCAGACGCGTATCTATACTGGGACAACGACCAGCTGCATCTTGGCGTGGCTATGTTCGAATCTTCCACGTCTAGGCAAACCTTTGAGACGCCCACGCCCACGCCCACACCTATAGGTACGGTTTTGGGGCTGGAAGACAATTTCAAAGTTGTGGATAGCGTCGGTTTGTTCGACACCGAGATGTACATGTCCGGGATGTATGGCGAGAACGGCGGGGGCAAGACCTCCTCGTTCAAGCGATGTTTATTCTTAAAACGCATCGGAGCAGTGAACGTCGCCGATATCTTGGTGGCGGCCGTTGGGACTCGTCCCTCGCCCCTCTGCTATCTCCATCTGCTGCAAGGTGGTGGAGCGGTTGGCGACGTGGCAGCCGATGCTACTGCTTTCGGCTGTCGAGACTGGGACTTTGCCTGCGTAGTAACTGGTGTCTGGCCCCGCGACCAAGATGGAACCGAAGCCGCTCGAACTGCCGTGCAGTGGGTTTACAATGTCGCTGGGGACTTGTTGCCCTTGAGTAGCGGAGCTTACGGCGCCGACCTCGGGCCGGACCCCAGAGACGCGGCGCTGGCGGCCGAGGCTTTTGGACCAAACCGGCCGCGCCTGGCCCGTCTCAAACACAGCTTGGACCCGCACAATGTGCTGGCTTACGCCTGCCCGCTCCTGAAAGCGCCAATGGAACAGAAGCTTATCATTCTTATCACTGGCGAAAGCTGCGCCGGCAAAGACTATTGCGCCGACGTCTGGGTCTCCGTGTTCACTAGATGCACCCGCAAGAGCCTCACGGCAAGGGCCGTCAGTATTAGCGAGGCGACTAAGCGAGAATACGCGGCGGCTACAGATGCCGACCTGAACCGCCTGCTTTGGGACCGTGCCTACAAGGAGCAACACCGGCCAGCGTTGACGACATTTTTCCAGGGCCAAGCTCGGCAACGATCTCGGCTGCCAGAGGAGCATTTTCTGAATGTAGTGTATAGCGCCGCAGATGTGGACGTGCTGCTAATCACCGGGATGAGAGACGAGGCGCCGGTCGCAGCCTTGTCGCATTTAGTGCCAGATAGCAGACTGCTCGAGATTCGCGTCAAAGCTAGCGAAGAGACGCGGCAGGTTCGCCGAGGGTGCTACGGTAGTAATAATAATAGTGACAACAAGGATAGCAACAATAGCGGGTCGAATTTGACGGCCTTAGACTACCGCCCTAGCCTCATCTTCGACAATGACACGACCGGAAACGAGGCGGTAAAAAGGTTTGCCGAACATTACCTGCTTCACTTCGTCCACGAGGACCTGCAGCGACTGGCCCATATAGTGCGCCAGGTACCCAACTTCCCATGTCCGGGCATCGATTTCCGCCACGTGCTCGGCATCTCCCAGCAGCCGGGTGGACTGGCCCTGTGTACGTCTCTGCTGCAAACCCACTTCACTGGTGACTGGGCCAAAGTCGATGCGGTGGCGTGTTGCGAGGCGGGCGGCTTTGTCTATGCGTCGGCGCTGGCCTCGCGGGTCAATGTGCCCTTGGTACTGATCCGCGAAGCTGGCAAGCTCCCCCCACCCACCGTTTCTGTTATCAAGCTCTCGTCGCATATCTCGTCTTTGGCATCCAACAATTCGAAAGAAAAGCGGATCGAGATGGAGCGGGATGTGGTCTCCAGGGGCTCCTCAGTAGTGGTGGTGGACGATGTGCTTTCCACGGGGGAGACTCTTTGTGCGGTGCTACAGTTATTAGATGAAGCTGGCATTAGCGCCGAGGATGTCAGTATCATAGTCGTGGCCGAGTTCCCGGTTCAACGTGGCCGAGACCTGTTGCGCCAGCGTGGGTTTGGCAGAATCAATATTCAAAGCCTTTTGATGTTTGGCGGTGCTTAGGAAAGGAAGGAAAGGATCTCGGAATCTTGGATTTGTGATGCAGTGTGAAGAGTTAGCCCCACTTTTCTCATTAGTCTCTACACGCCGCTACCAAGCCGCAGGTGGGTACCATTCATGATAAAACACGTTTGTGCTCCAAAGTACAATTAATTATCTATCTTCTAATCCTTCAAGCTATTATATGTCCACTTCGAATTGCGATTGTTCTATATCGGAGTATGAGCCGAGTTTGAACAAAGTTCTCCTCAGCTTATTTTGCTAGGGATTTCGCGCTTGTGTTGACGAAAAAGCGGCGAGATAATATTCACATCCTAGCTGTCTCATGAATGAGTCTAAAGAGAAGACCGATCCGGCCGAGGCTATTACCATCTTTCGAATAATTCCAGACACGGTGTAGATCCGGAGCAGCCGATGGAATCACACAGGGAGCTGGCGCATGTATTGCGATGGCGCTTAAGGAACGCAGGCGTTGAGAAGAGCAGAAATTAGCTCCCTGACGTTGGCGCATCCGTTTCGATGATCTCCCGTTCGTTACTACTAGCGGAAGACATTAGGAATGATAGGGTATTATTTTCAGAGACCATCTGAAAAGCGAGGGGATTATCTTGATGGCGACCATTCAAATGAGATGATCCAGGCGGCAATTTGATCGGGCAAACAATGGAAACGCACGGTCCGTCGACCAACCTCAACTCATGGCGGTGGCGTTTCCTACCAGCACCAGCTTTACTCTAAGTCAACGAGAGTGCAAGCATTGCAGAGCCTCCCCCCCCAAATTAAAGACCTGGGTAGATGGGAAATAGCCAAACGCCGAGCCGAGCCGAATTACAACGTCGGCGGCAGCAATCAGCACGAGATCGACGACAGCACGAGCACGAGCAGGAACAACTTCGACGCCAGCAACCGGCACGAGATCGGGAGAGAAACCGAAGACAGCAGGCCCAAACATTTTGTTGGTCATCTCCACGTTTGAGGCAGGAGATTGTCACTTCTGTGGCAGCGACACTAGAAGCGATGCCGCCAGCCTTGCCGTGGAAATCCGATTCGGATTCTGGTCCGGGTTTTGATAGGTAAGTGAGATTAGTACCAATTAGGTCCGTATAAAAATTAATTGCCATATAGTTTGTTCTATAGCGAAAAGTACTCCGATGCGACGCTGTACCTCGGAGAATCAAATACCCCATTCCCGGCACACCAGATGGTCTTAGGCATGTGCAGCCCCTACTTCGACGATGCGCTCCAGAGCAAATTTAAGGAAGGTATCACAAAGGAATTTTACTTTAAGAAGGACAGTCCGCATGCTCTCTGGCGGGTGCTCCAGTACATGTACACAGGAGATTACGCTGATGAAGAATCTGAACCTCTTGGCTCCTGAAGGTATTCCCTCCTTTTTCATCGAGGCGTTAGGACTAACGTAATACAGGTGATGATCCGGAACTACTGAAACATCCACGAGTGTATGCTCTCGCAGATATGTTTCGGATGGAGAAACTAAAAGCGCACTCGCGTAGGAAGTTTGAGCTACAACTACAACAGCATTGGATAAGTGACACTTTTACTGATTGTATTCGTGAGGTATATTCAACTTCACAAGAAAGAGATCTAATTAGGAAGGCTGTGGTAGATATAGTGTCCTTACACAAGGAACTTGTACAGAAGCGAACGTTTCAAGAACTCATTCGAGAGGTTGGGGATTTTGCAGTTGATCTTGTATTAATAATAGCAAAGGCTGAGGTCAAGGACTGTTGGGCTTGATAGCCTTTCGGGACATTACTTTAGTCCGGCCTTATATAACCAAGATGCCAGCCTGTTGAGAGGGTGTCCTGCTTTCAACCAGAGACTATAACTACGCTTTCGGCTATAGATTTTGAGAATTGACGAATTTCGTAACATTTTTTGCCCTTTCTACAGATGATTTCAGTAATTCGACGATCGACCTTTGTTTCTTGTATTACCAAATGCTGTTCCTGAATTTGATCAAATTCTCCGGGAAAGCCTCGCGCCATGAAATAATATAGGAGGTTGTCGTTTTATCCTTCGTCGTGGAGGCACAGAAGAACGTCGCGTGGCTTGGAGGCAGAGGAACGGATAACGATGCCGCTGCTTGACTAGTAGATCACGCGAGAGGCCGGAACCTCTTGTCCAACCACCAGTTAGCGCCGTGGACATATAAAGCACTCTATACTCTTCCGCTCAAGCTTCTCAAAATAGTAACGTTAGCTCCAATGCTTCCTCACTCGGACCGTCTCGATCAAGATATGAAACAGGTTAATTTTGGATTTTGCAAAGCTTTGTCGTACACCGACAGTAGTACTTATAGAATCGACGCCCATCACGCCGCTAATGCCGCTAGCTGCCGCCCTTACCAAGATCACGGATTTCTGCGATACTTCGATGTTCCTGCAACTCAGAAGGTCTAAACAAGTAGGGAGCAAGGAGAACGAAAACGTAGACAAACAATATTTTATGTTAAACTTTGGTAACTGCTACTGGGTTGTGTCTCAAAGTTATCTACCTCCACGTCTAAAATGGCTCAGCCCGCAGAGAACGGGGAAGGGGCGAGGGAGTAAAAGACACCTCCTTGGAGACGGTTGGGGCAGACTAAATGAGCGGAAAAGTAGACGAGAGATGTGAGTTCACTTCCGAGCGTAGAGGTGGCCACGTTTTCCCGGCCCCTCACACAGACGAACCACCACTATTTTTAGATTCGGAGTACTACAATTGCGACTACATCGGTTTGAAACAATGCACTTCGAAGTGGTTGCGTTTAAAGTAGGATACCTTAACATATTACAAGATCGCGTATGTGCCTTATTCATACTTCAAGCCAAAGTAGTCCGAATTGCACTAATTCAATTCGGACTACTTTGGCTTGAAGTATACGAATTCAGCCTAGTAGAACTTTGAAAATTTGTATTGAAACCCAAACTACTCCCGCTAGTAATATAAAAGTCCATAGCATTCCTACAGTCAGACTTTGCCAAGTAGGTCTTCATATATTATCAGCCTAGTGCTCATCGCAGCAAGTAGCAGGGCGAGCCGGGCGTTTTGCTTGAGAAAGTGCTACAATCGTCGATCACGGAAACTCCTAGTGATGCTTGTGGAAAGCTGGTGAGAAGAGCAGGCATGACAACGTCTACGAGACAATTGCAGATGAACCGGCGAGGCGAGGGATCCAAGATCTTGCATCTATCCTGGTACACGTTGTGGAAGAAGGACTCTGGTGGATCGAATCGGTGTCCGGAGGGGAGGATAACGGAGATTCGGAGCTTCTGGTCGTTCACGCTTCTTCGATTTTGGAACAAAGCTCTATTAGCAGTTCGGGAGAGTATATGGAAGATAGGGTAGACATACCAGCTAAAAGCTCCTTAATGAGGCTTCGATTGTCAGACCGGAAAGGGCTTCAACTGTCGTTGAGTATCTAATCCGGTAGATGATATGGAAGCACCGCGACTCTACCAAGAGTCTTGCGAGCTTGAAGCTTTCTACACTCTGACTTGTGTTGGCCCCAATCAGCTTTCTGGCAAACTTAACTTCAGGCTCAGAGACGCCTTCGTCGTAAAGTGGGGCTTCTAGGCATCCGCTGCACCTGTTCGTGGTGGGCCTCTAATGCCGTCTTTGATCCGTCGTCCGCCATTTGATGCCCAAATCACTCACCCATATTCGACTTCTCAAGATGCGTTCCCTTGGTAAAGCTCCTGCCGTTCCTCCAGCCAGGTAGTGGTTTAAGGCTCGGAAAGAACTGATGCCAAACCGTCTACTCAACGCACTCTCGACCTCGACCTTGGATTACCCGCAAATATTCCGAACAAAAACTTTGAAAGGAGGTGATTGGTTGTTGTTGCGGGCGAGGCTGTGATTAGTACGCTAGATCGGGGGCTTCCAGCGAATGAGTTGCACCCTGGCCCGTTTGGTCCAGCACAAGAAAAGCAACTCACCTTCAACACCTCCGCAACCTTCCAGTGAAAATAAGGACCCCCCCTCCATAAATGGATTGTGTGTGGCCGATTTACTTGTTATTTCAGGCTCGACCGCGATGAGTGGTCGACTATTCCTGTTGTACGACCTGAGCGTGTGCGACTTGCCTCCGTCCTTGGATCAATATGGCGACGCCAGACTGCTGCCCAAAAGCTTGCGCGTGGGAGGAGCCTTACAATTCTTCCCTTCCCGCTTCTCGACATACTTTGAGCTCCGCTGGCGACCATGGCCTTGCTCGAGTCGGTCTTCAACCATTTGGTCCTACCGCCCAAGCTGCCCGGACATCGGGATATAGACTTCGAGGCCATTGAACAGAACATTCTAACTCGCCTCATACGTACCTGCGATACCTTGGGCAAGCTCACAGGCCAACAATTTAAGGAAACATGGGCTTCTGTTCGCTATTCCCTTCGAATTTGCCTCAATATCAATCCAGGCCGTCTTGAGAAGGTATCGGTGCTACAAGAATTCTACAATCTCCAACGAAATGGTCTCCTTATCTTATATGTGGTGGAACAGAACGCAGCGCTCCTTGTTCGACGTCATATCCAGTAAGTATCACGACTCGAGAAAGGATTGCCTAAATTCTAACTAAGGCATGCAACGTAGTGATGGTGTAGATACCGTCATCTTCGAAGTCTTCGAAGCATCACCTTCTTCTGAAGACGTCCTCGCCGCCGAGAATGCACTCCAGTGGGACTTCCCCGGCCGCGCCGTCGAGATACCTTTCGACGAGTTCCTCAAGAAGAGTTTCCAGGAGAGTCTTGCTGCCTTTCTTGAGCAGGCGAGTATGGAGTCTCTGAAGCGTTTCGAGGCGCGCGCTGTTAAGGCGAAAGTCTCCGTCATCGAGGCCCGGGATACCACCGACCCAGCTCTGGTTACGCAGATGCTGATGCCCTTGCTTGAGGCTGTCGGATCCTCCGTCGAAGTGCCCATATTAAGAAAGCGAGTGCGGGACGATGTCAATATACAAAACGCAGAGTTTCCGTGGAGAAGACTGCCGTTCTGGCTCGTTCTCCGCGTCGCCATTCAGCGTCAGCTCTGCCTTGTCCTGGGAAACGAGCCTGGACGGGCCTGCTACAAGTTCTTCATTTGCACTGTTCTTGCCCAGCTTCTTGATGATTGTGCTGGTCGGCTTGCCCCAGAGTTGACAGTGATGCTCAGAGCCAAGTTGTGCCGCCGCCTTGCGAAGTTGGAAATGGACAAGGCTCGGGTTTACTCCGCCTCTGCCATTTACAACCAGTTCTTCGACTCGCTCGGTCCAATGTTGAAGGGAATCATCGAGAAGGCTACAGACCAGGTTGAATCAGCCTGGGCACACTTCAAGACAACCATCGCTCGACCTATCCCGGGGCTTCCACCTCGCGCTGATGAGCAGGCTCTCCGCCTTTCCCTTCCAAACAGCGAAAAATACCTCTGCAATCTTCTCGCCCTACCTCCCTCACAGCGGAGAGATCCTGCGTCGCTGCATATGCCTCCCTCGGGTGATGGCACCATAGAACAAGTCACAAACTTCACCGACCGCTACTTCTCCTTGGCCAGATTGGAGAAAGGCATCGAGAAGGAACGGGCATTATCACCTGAGCCCGTGGCAGACTGCGAAGCTCGCTGTGTACAGTTGGCAAAGTCGATTGTCGACGTATTCACCATAGTTGGAGATGCTTATGACTCTAATCCAGAACAAATGAGCATCTTCATCTTAAATCTATTTGACCTCTGGGTCCAAATGGATAAATGCGCTATACGAGCCTGCCCCCTCCTCCGCGACTACACCCCAGTATTCAACCCTGAGCTGCTGGATGTTCTGCACCTCCCTACATTATCAAGCATGCAACGCCTCCAAGATATCCAGAGCCATCTCCGGAGCAGATGTGGCGATTGTCGGTTTGCTCACAAGACGATTTTCAGCGAACCTGATGGGAACTGCTTCGCTGCGCGATATGTAGCACAGTCTGCCTTGCTGCGCAGACTGCAGGAACGGATCGAGAAAGCATCGAGCAAGTCGCGCGGAAATAAGGAATCCGAATGGAACAACGCTTGCCGTGAATATGACGACCTTAGCCAGGAAATAAAGAGCGGCGTCTGTGTTTGCACGACCAATTATGATGGATCTCGTAACGTTAAAGGGTGCAAAAAGTGCTGGCGTTGGCGCTGCCGGAAAAAAATGAAAATCGGTATCCACGAAGACTTCCTTCCCAAAGATGGTGCTCAAAAAGCGGCAGTAGCGCTAGAGCTTGGAATTCCCAGCTTCCTAGCGGCATACCGAAATGCCACATTTAGGATACTCAGCAATCTGGGGCACCCGAGCAAGCCCGGTAGCTCCTCGCCACCGGCCATGCTCCTGAAAGACTACTCCCAGATTCAGCGATATATGAAATCAGCCATGGATGGTGTCTCGCTTGCGTCAGCAAAGAAATCCTTTCTCCAGACCCATTTCAAGGCGTTCAAAATGAAGGTTGATCTCTCTGATATTCTCTTGCCGCTGGGGCTAGACTTTGCATACCACGATGCCGAGTCTGGAGTATGGCTGAGAAATCTTGACAAACAATTGTCATTTCAACACCTTTGTGGAGTCCATGTTCCGCGCAGTCTACAAGCCTCAGTCATTGGATCGCCGGTATATCCCGCTCCCAACATCGATGGGCCGTCATCCTACGAGATCGTTGCTAGTCAAACCAGGTGCCCGTCAGACATCTCCGCTCACGAGTTCATGAGCTATCAAAGATTGCTCTCTGGGAAGACTCGTCGGTGGCTGACCATGCTGGTGGAGCTGGGGGCCTCCAACCTAAACTTCAGCGCCGAAGATACTATGCTCATCTTCAATCATCTCGCCGTGCAAGCAGGGCCGGCACACAGTGAAGCCGACCTTTTGCGAGACGCTCACGTCGTCTTCCGGGATCAGTCTTTCTGCCAGCGCTTGGCAGGACAGATCGATAACCGTCTTCGCAATATAACTACCAACTGGCGGGAGATGCATTGCATGGAGATGCTCATCACCCTCAGCCTTCGACTTTTCAACTTGACATCGGGCCGAGATCGTCAATCCGCGGAGAGGCTGCTCAAGGCCGCGCGTGAGTCAACTTTACAATGGATCTCCCACCTCCGTGACGAGGTTAGGAATGCAGTCGAGGCTGACGCAGCAGAGAGGGCGGCAAGGTACGGATGCTGGGCCGCTCTGCTTTGCCGGAGGACCTTCACCACCTTTGTTGACTCGGATTCCGGGGTGAATGCAGAGGATCTATGCTCTTTTGTCCAAGCCTCGATAGCTCTGCAAGAAAACCTCGTAGTCGATCTTGCGAAGCTCCCCTCAATACTGAAAAATATGCTGGTCAGAGATATGAAAATGGCGTATCGCATACGACGACTCATCCAGACTTCTATTGAATCCAATCCTGACAGCCTAGGGGCTGCAATCAATAAGACTTGGTCCGATTCTAGCAATTCCACTGGGAGGACTTACTCTCATTGGCAGTTCCTTTCCTCCCCGAACAAGAGATGGGTCGTTTCGGTCATCACTAGTACGGCTAACAAGTTCATCGTCTCTCAGGTAGTCCACCACAACTTCGTTGAGGGACACCTGCTAGTGGACGGGAAGCCATTAGGGAGACTGCCCCTGGACATCAGGGAATCAGAGGACGTCAAGGAGCTTTTCGGAAACCAGCACCTTCTGACCTTCCCCTCATCACTAAGCGGCATGAGTCACGTCATGGCAACTCGTATACGCGGTAATGAAGTCCATTTTGGACTTCGCGGAAAGAGTGTGGTCATTCGAGCTCTTGTCAGAGACAGTCTTCTGGAGTATGTTCCTCGGCGCGTATTTACGGACAGTGACAACTTTGATCTGCCCTCAGGTCTCATCGAAAATTGCGTACACTGGCTTAATCTCCGTACAAGGCGCCTGGAGATCCGACGGAAACCTGTCATATGGAAGACTAGGCAGAGTGACTGGATTCTAGATGTCTCCAATCGCCGGGCGCAGCGAAATCGGGTTGTCTTGGTTGATCCCCATTCAGATCTCTGCAAGCGCGTGGCTGAGATCTTCCGCCACTTCGAGGATCCCCGACGGTTGACCGTCTTCCAGCCCGCAATAGGCACACTTTCGGTTGAGATGCGGCACCTCGAGCTCTCTTTCTTTGTCAATAAAAGCAACCTTCTTGAGTGTCGAGAGCTGAACGCAGAGATCGATCCCAACCAAGACGCGGGGACGCTTTACGGATTCCTGAGCAAGATAGTGCTTCGTGACGTAGCCGATCCTGAGCGGCGAAGCATAATTACTCCACTGGGACAGCTGACTTACAAGCGTCACGGTATGCATGTTGCGGTTCGAGCGAGCAGCACCACCGAATATGGCAGGTTCGGAATCGATGATGTTTTGGGACGGTTGTCATGTCCGCCTGAGCCGCGCTTACTCTACTCCAAAGCTCAGTTCCATGCATTCACCTCATTTGTTTTGCCGGAACCTCTCACCGGGCGCACTGGCGCAGAGGAAGCTCTGCACACGCTCAGATCAGGCTATTGCCAGCCCTGGACGCCATTGAGCGACGGTCTTGCCTCCATTCTGAGAGTCATCGGCAGACTAAGCCCGGGTAGAGAGTATTATCCGAAGGACAAGAGACGCCTGCAGACCGTTACCTGGGACCAACACCTAACCATAAGCGTTCAACACGATAGCTATGAGGGTCTCGCCCAAGAGATACTGGCCAAATCAGATCGGCTCCGAGCCTTTACTGCGGACGAGGACGAAGCGATAGATTTTAACGACGAGATCCCTTCTCACCTCCGAAGGCGCGGTGAAATTCGGCGTCTTATTTACGAGCGCGGCACTTCTGATCCGGGCGGATTGATAACAGGGAAGGACATGATGTACAACCCCAGGGATCGACATATCATTTTGCCCCAAGCAACCAATGTTTACCAAATCGTGGGACTTGTTCGCAAGCGACCGTTTCGTGCCCATATGACAAGAAAGCTGGCAGCCATTCTTCAACACTGGAAATTGATCGGTGGATTTCACCATACCAACTCAGATTCACAAAGCATTTCGAGCTGCCTCAGCGATCTGATGGAGAACAATATCGGCGAACAATGGGGCAGTCTCGTGAATCTTTGCCGACATACTGATCCTCAGGATCCGTATAGGCTAATATTTCGACTTGGCCTCTTGTCATTTGGTACAAAGCCTGACATGGACGCGATCCGGTCGCTGGCTGCATTCGGTTGCTTAGATGAATTGAAAGTCTTACAGCCACCAATCAGTCCTTGCTTTACTGATTTCAAGCTCTACGCATCGCCAACGCTCGAATGGCTTCTGAACTTCATCGCAGCCGACTATCCCGTTACTGAACCGGATGCCAGAAGGAGTAAAAGAGAGCAAGATCGGTTTCAAGAGAAGCATCGGATCCTGTGCGAGGCTGAAGGGAAACGCCTAGCCACCTTTCTCTTAGAGCAGTGGCCCAGCTCGGAACCATCAGAAGGGGAATTCGAATCAACGGTGCTTAATGGCGAGCTAGCCATGGAAAGAATTCTCCCTGAGTGGCAACACCTGCATCGGAATATACGTCTTTCGGAGTATGTTATTCAAGCCCAGGAGATCCTGGATCGCTACAAAGGCGCGAACGGCATGTCGGTACCACGAGCTTGGAACGAAGAACCTGCAGCCCTCGGGCCTAAACGTGGTTCTCCTATTCCATCACTATCAGATCTTCTAGTGAAATGCGCGCCTCTTCCTTTATGCTACTTGTCTCATGGAGCACTTCTGAGCAAAGATCTACCCCGAGGTGTACATTCGCCGAGCGAGCGGAGCAAGATTTCCCGAAAGCCTACTTCATCCAAGGAGATTGTTGAGCTAGGTAAGATCTTAGATTTATTCGCCGGATCCGCGGACGTTCTGCGGCAGCAATATGGAAATGACCTGAAGAAGAGCCTTCTTGCTCTAGAGAACGTCAGCAACCAGCCGCAGCTTCAAGAGACGCCGCCAGGTGTCGATATTGTTAGAGAGGACATCGAAAAGGCTCGGGCGGCTCTGAATCATGAGTTTGAACGCGTTCAGAATACCTTCTCCGCCGAGGACGATCGCTTCCAATGGCTTCAATTGGGTAGCTTGTGGCCATGCACCACGCCGATAACAGCTCTCGAACAGCTACGGTCAAGCTCTGATCACCGTTTCGGAAGCAATACGAGAGAAGGTCTGGTTTCGTATGGCGTTCTAGCTACGACTTTGCAAAGGCTACTCCGTATCAGACATGCCCAATTAAAAGGAGATCACCATAAGCTGCTTCAGGAATGGGTAAATACTGGCCATGAAAACTGGAGCCCTTTGGAGTTCCCTGACTGGTTACTTCTTGAGATTGAAAGCGATCTTCTCATTCGCTGTGAGCAGATAGATGTTGCACATGCTATTATATCGCCGGCATCTGGATCAAACTCTGTATTACAAATGAACATGGGCAAGGGTAAGCAAATCAACTTTTAAACTCGGGGCAGTATAACCTTCTATGCCGACGTACCCTCCTTTGAAATAGATTTGAAAGATGGCATACTGACGGATTTTTAGGAAAAACCTCTTGCATCGTGCCTATGGCTGTGGCGATTCTGGCAGACAAGAAGCAGCTCTCGCGCCTTGTCGTGCCAAAGGCGCTGCTCCTGCAGACTGCTCAAATAGTTCAGTCTAGACTAGGGGGGTTAGTAGGTCGAGAGATCAGGCATGTTCCATTCTCTCGCCGGACCTTGACCACGCCGAACATGCTCCGACTTTACTCCGCACACCATCGCGAAATTCTTCAATGTTGCGGTGTTATTCTTACTACTCCCGAGCATATCTTGTCGTATAAGCTCAGCGGGTTACAACGCCTTGCGGACTCCCGGCTTAATGAAGCGCAGGAGATGGTCACATTTCAGTCATGGTTAACTAGCACTTGTCGCGATGTCCTTGATGAATCAGATTTCACCTTGGCGGTCAAGACGCAATTAATCTATCCGAGTGGCCCACAGATATCCGTCGATGGACACCCACACCGCTGGGAGGTTGCACAGATCCTGTTGTCTCTAGTTGAGGATCATCTCCCGGATCTTCAGCGCGATTTCCCACAAAGTATCGAGGTCGCCAAACGACCAGGTGGATTTCCCATGATACACCTCCTCCGAACAGACGTGGAAGACGCCCTGCACCACCGAATCATAAATGACATCTGCGACGGACGGATTTCCTTCCTCCGTCTGACCAACTCAGCCGTACCTGTTAGTGGGCGCGAGATCAAGCGCGTCTTATCAGATGACGATCTCGACCACAAGCTCATCGAGCAGGTATCGACTCTTTTTGCAGATAGATCTTCGGCTCGCAAGAACATCCTCCTTGTCCGTGGCTTGCTCTTGAACAGGATTCTCTTACTCTGCCTGAAGAAAAGATGGAATGTGCAGTATGGGCTGCACCCAAACAGGCATCCTATTGCAGTCCCTTTCGACGCGAAAGGGGTTCCATCTGAGCAGGCAGAGTTCGGTCATCCTGACGTCTCTATCCTGTTTACTTGCTTGGCTTTCTATTACTCGGGCCTCAGCCTATCTCAGTTCCGCGAAGGTTTACAGCATGTTTTGAAGTCTGATGATCCAGCAGCGGAGTATGATAGGTGGACTTACGGTTCTGATGGCCTGCCAGAAGCCTTGCATCACTGGAATGTCATTAACGGAGATGACCAACGACAGGTCGAGGAACTCTGGCGTCACCTTCGACTCAATAGAAGCGTCCTTGATCATTACATGAACAACTTTGTCTTCCCTGCCCACGCTAAGCAGTTTGGCGTCAAGCTGCAGGCTTCTGGGTGGGACCTCCCCTTGTTCTCGAAATCTCGACCGGGAGAGGAAACCTCGTGCGCGAAGACAACTGGTTTCAGCGGCACAAATGATAACAAGATGATGCTCCCACTGAACATCAAGCAAGATGACCTACCCAGCTTATGCCAAACCAATGCAGAAGTGCTCAGTTATGTTCTGCAAGGCCGGAACCGGCAGTATCACCTTGCAGCTTGGCAGGGAAAGCGCCTGACAGAGGAAGGGCTGCTGCGAAGGATCGCGGGAATGGAGATTAGAATTCTGATCGACGCCGGTGCCTACATCCTCGAGATGGACAATCGGACCCTCGTTAGGGCATGGCTAGATATAGACACGCAAGCCAAGGGGGCTGTCTATTTTGGTGCTGACAACAGAGCCTGGGTTCAGTATCGAGGAGGGAAGGAGGCGGTCCCACTGCTCGCCACCCCTTTTGCCGAGAAACTTGACCAATGCCTCGTGTATATTGACGAAGCACACACACGTGGAATAGACTTGAAGCTGCCCCAGAAAGCTCGCGGAGCATTAACACTAGCTCTCGGCCAGACGAAAGATCACACGATGCAAGGTAAGCTGACTGCCGACCATGACAGGCGTACCTAACAGACCCAGCTGCGATGAGGCTACGACAACTGGGAACCACTCAGTCTATCGTTTTCTTTGCCCCCCCGGAGGTCCACCAGAGCATCCTGGACGTGTGTAGGAGAAGGCGTGGGAAGGTACTTGAATCTTCCCGTATTGGTTCCTCTCACGTCGTGTGCTGGCTTCTGGAACAGACCTGCCGTGCGAATGAGCACTTGCAGAATCTGTATCTTGCACAAGGAACGGATTTCTGCCGCCGGACGGATGCGCAATGGAAATACGTGAAGTTCCTCACGGAAAATCGCCACCGAGAAGCCTATCTCAGAGTAATTCAGCACCCAGAGCGCCAGACTCTTGAGCAGCTGTACGGGGTAGTGACAGACACCCAGCCGAGTTCCGTCGCTGATGTGCCGTCCGCGGAACTGAAGGGTTTCATGGAGGAGCTCGGTGAGCAGAGACGAGCAGCAAACAGCAAGGGAGACCGTATTCATAGCTCTGTGTTAGAAGAAGTAGAGCAGGAGCGAGAAGTCGAGTTCCAAGTCGAGCAGGTACGCCAAGTGCAAAAACCGACGCACTACAAGGCTCTCGCATTCCCTGGTCTGCATCCAGCTGTCGTTCTCTTTGCTAAAACTGGCGACCTCACTGGTGGGCATGGGTACGAACACGTCTTTGATGCTCTGGCGCGGACGAGCATCGGTCAAAAATATAATGTTCGTCGCACGACGTCGCAGCTGTACGTATCGGCTGAGTTCATGCGCACCATTGAGCTTGGAAAGCGTATCTCGAATGACAACTTCCTCGTAAGTCTAGCCCCCATCGACATTCCTTGTCACTGGTTGTGCTAAGCAATGTCTTCCACAGCGCCCTGTTGAATGGATCCTGTGGAGCCCTTCGAACGGGACGGCCCTCATAGTTATCTCCGAAGAGGCTGAACTTTTGATTCCCATGATCCGTGCAGCGAGAAAGCCAATTGTGCACCTGATTACGTATGCTGCTCCTGTCACAAAAAACATGCTGCACTTCAACGGACTCTCATACTATGTCCTCCCTCGCCTACCCGATGGCTACACAGCACCCGACTGGCTCTCCATCGAACTTGGAATTTTCGCTGGCCGGCTATATATTAACTTCCCGGAGTGTGCTCCTCTGACCAATTACTTGCAGCTTGCGGACAAGACTGGTACAAACCCCCCGCAGAGTCGCTCCGAGCACGTCGGCATCTCTACCAAGAATCCTGTCGACTTCCTACTGGAGTGGCTTACGGTCTGCCGCAAGGGGCAAGACATCATGCACACGCCAATGGGTTATATCTGCCAGGGACGGCCCTTGCACGAAAGCCATCCTTTCTTTGCAGCGCGAAGTACAGATGCTAGAGAGGTTGAAAGGCCTTTTGGAGGTGGAACTAGTGGCGATGTAGACGAAGCTGAAGACCAGGATCCGGACCTTGAGTAGGATCCAGTGGGTACTCTATAATGGATCTGCTCATATCCGTTCCTCCATTCTTCACTTTCCCACTCTTTCTATTTATCGTTTTTATCGAGGATGGGTCGTGGATGCGTTCGCCAAGACTTGGGTTGTTCTGGGAAGTTTTACAAAATGACCGAAGTGTATTCGGAAAATTGAGCCTTTTGAGTCTCTTATTCGTAAGGCTTCTTTAGAGGAACAGTGTGCACTGCACTTGGTCTGAGCAGAGGTAGCGAAGCTTTCCATTTCTCTGAAGAGAACCAGCTGAAGCTCACGTATTCATTCTTGTGTGATCACCGAAATCTTGCGAGCTTTTGCCTCTTGTTTACTTTCAATGAATGGATGTACGTTGTTGGATAGGTTGTATAGGCTTCCTTACGGAATGCGCATCTTCTGGCTTTCCATTCCATCCGTGCCGGCCTCCCTCCCTCTGGCCGTTCTCTAGCGATTTAATCCCTCCGAGCTCAAGGCATCCTATGACAGGCCGCAGGCCCATGTGACTGTATCAATGGGTTGGATCCTTTCTGCAGCTGCGCCATCAGACCCTCAGAACGCAGCGCTGCTTCACCCAGATTCTCAAAATCAGCCGTTGCTTCGTGCTCCAGTTTTGGCTCCAAACGCGGACCATAGTTCTTACGAGATCTTGCGAGAACTTTTACGGATATATGGGTGAGCGGGATTCCTTGGACAAACATCGAAAACGTTCCAGAGAGGCGGATGCGACCGAGGAAGAGGTATTTCAGCTTAACACCCGACATGCAGACAAGGGCTGAGAATGAGACAGCTGGATATGTGGTGATATGCCGTTTTATCAAGTCAAAATTTGCCTGGAGAGCTGTGATTTCTCGTTCTCCTGCTGCTGAAAACTTGTGGTTGGGGACTCGACCCATAGAACATCAGAATGATTCGCAGATTAAGACTTCAAAGCCGAACCGCGACGTGGGGTTTAGGGAAACAATTCAGCATGCTAGGATGATGTTCGGATCGCTTTATGTGAACCGTCGCTACTGGTCTGGAATCCCCCGTACATTTACCGACTCATATACCATCGCAATCGCGTGCCCACTGGAAATCAAGAAACTCGGAGGAAATTATGAGGATGCAGTCTGCCAGCTAGCTATATGGTATGCTGCTGCGCTAGAAAAGATCCGAAGCACACGAGCAAACAGGCAGGTCTATGAGCGCTTTGTATTTTGTATTACTTCCAGGGTGGTAGGGTACGAATGGACACGTCGCTTGGAAAGTAGTAGGTGGGCCTATTTGTGATTCATATGCTCAGAAGCTAATGAGAGTCAAGACGGTCTTTGGTCCGTAGAAGCTACTCACCGCCTCGACGAGTAGCTGGATTGATATCTTTAGCTTACGGAGATAGTCAAAAGGTGGGCTGCTTGATATCTATTGGCCATGGTTTTACAAACATATGCTAGGGATAGAGTGACGAAATTTGTTGTCATCCAAACGGCAAAAGGTAGGAGGATTACACATCTCGCGCCGCAATGCAGTCTCCAGTGTCAACGTTCAACTAAGCAGTCTCAAGTTCGGTGCCTACTTCGACCATTCCTCTATCTAGCAGATTAGGAGCGGGGGTTGCAGAAAGTATATTTTGGGGGATTGTTATAATTTCTGCCTTATTCCTGCTTCATTCCTGTTTGATTTACGGACCTGTCTCAACTTTCACATTCGATTAAAGCGCTAGAAAGATTCTATGTTGCCAGCGTTATGGGTGTGTTAGCATCGCCGTGCTATCGCTGATAGTTAATGGGGTAGCCCTCATCTTAGATAGCCGTAGCCGTTCTAGATATTGTGAGGAGGGCAAAATCTCACAGGCAAAGGGGGTTGGTGGGAATTTAGCACTCGGATGACGTGGTAATTCACAATATGTGAGTTTATAATACGGAAAACTCTGGCAAACATTACATGGTTGTAAAATTTCCTTTGCAGGTTTCTTGATAGCCAACCCTATTTGCACCGGAAGTATATTTCTTTTTGTGGATAGTTTCCCGTCTGTAGAAGCTCACATCAGGTTTTAGCTTCGCCTGATCAAGCACTCCCGGGCTTTCCTTCATCGGGTCCATGAGCGCTGAGCTGCCAGTGTTGATACAAATGGGAGGGGTCCAACCTAAGCGGGGGAATTCAACACCATTCATGGTTTCTATCAGCCCCCCTTTTGCTCCGCATCAGCGCTTCAAGATGGCGGAGAACGGTCATCCGACTCTGTTCTAGCCTTGCACAGCCCAGTGGGTGCCACTGCCCAAACCGCGAGATTATAAAGGCTCGCCCACCCCCCGCTCAGCTTGTCGATCGATGTCTCTTTACTCACCTTTTTACTCACAACTCATACCACTATGTCCCTCAGCACATCTACCGTCATCTTCAAAGAGTTCAATAAGGACACCTCCATATGTTCTGCATGGCTTCCAGGAAAGGACCGCTGTTGCGGAAAAAGAATTGTCGCTGCAGATCAGGAGAGGAAAGAAATGCTGCTTCAATCGATTGCGCGTGGCCGAATGTACCATGGCGACAAGGCAGATGAGCTGGCAGGCCTCTACTTCTGTAACGGGTGGCACCGCGCGGGAGGAAAACACGCTATTTCGAGCTCACAAACACGCAAGCTTCGACTGAGTCCTTTTCCAGGCACCCCGGAGCCTAGGGCAAACGATCTTCCACCTACAAGACAGCTGGAGACACCAGTTTCGTCTCCCACGAGCGTGACTCGAGAATCTACATACCTATTGGGCGAAGACGGACTTCTGTCGTCTATCGCTCAATCCGCTGTACAATTCCCTTTGCACGGGCTATCCGAATCCCCAGAGGCAGAAGGATTCTCCATCTCCGTCGCACAACCGGCTGTGCGCCCTTCCCAGGATGATATCTCCGAATTAGCAGAGGCGGAGTGGCTATCCTTTTCCATCGCAAATCTAACAATGGGACCCCCCGGGCTCGATATGTCCACATTCTCTGTACCGCAGCATCGACAAACCACTACCGCTCCCGCACCAAATCTCGAAATACCTTTCCGAGTATTCCCAGACGGCCGAGAGACAAGTTCTGCAGTTCATTCTCAAGAAAACACTCAATCGGAACCCACCCAATCAGAACACCCACTCGTCCCGCCCGCTCTTGACGAGCATAGAAAGGACAAGCCAGTCAAGCTAGACGAGAGCTGCCAGGTTTGTTTACTAGCACTCGCGGATCCTATCAAGGTCGCCAGGTGCAAGTTTTGCCATATAGATCTACATTTAGTTTGCATGGCGGAATGGCTCACCGCACCAGGAAGCAGTATGATGTGTACCCATTGGTAATTCTCCCCTTCTCCTTAACGTCTTTTCTTCTTAATAATAATGCTCCAGTCGCCACAATCTCGAGGATGACGAAATAACCTCGCTGATCGAGTCGGTTGATGATCCTATTGAGGCAGAGAGATTTCGGCAACAATACCGACTGAAAACCGGTAGACATGAACCACCGCCATCTATTCAAGAGAGTAGAAGGGACAGATCGGTTGATGTTGACGAAGAATGTCCGGTTTGTAATCTGACCTTGGAAGACCCTGACAAGGTCCGTCGATGCAGGGTTTGCGACAACGATGTGCACTTGAACTGTTTACTTAAATGGCTCACCTCATCAAATACTGTCGAGCGTTGTCTTTTTTGGTAAGATTCCTCGCTCTTGAAGATCGATTTCTTGCTGATGACACTGTAGTCGGTGTGATGTTGACGACGATGACTTGAAAGCGTTGGTTGAATCGGTTAGCAATCCTTTGGAGAAGGAGGAGTTTAGGTGGCAGTATGAACAGAAGAGGCGTCCACACTTATATTCACGTAACCAACATACTTGGGGGCCTTTATAATTGTTCAACAGGGCGGCCCCTGTGGCTAGAAGACTTTGAAGGGGAAGCCGTTTCTGCTACCAACTTTAATAGTTTATACATTTTAGATGAAGGAAGCCTTAATATATTCTGCAAGGATGGTTCGCTTCATGCTTACTGAAAAAAGATAGTGCGATTACTGAGAAAGTGCTTAAAGGCTCTATTATAAATACTAATTACAAATAACGCCGCTTCTTACGTGTTCTTCTCGGCAAGGTAACGGCACAGCGTTTTCTGGTGTCTGTAGCGGGGACTGAGACTTCCCGGCGACGTCGAAGCTCACAGCTACAGGAGAGGTCCCTAGAGTGCTCAATTCTGCTCTTGTGGTCGGGCTGTCCGAATTTCGCATTCAGCTTCTGTCTGTCGATAAACCATTGTATAGGTTGTGGGAACCCGCTAATGCTTCGGCAGAAGAGGCTGTTGAAGACGAGCTGCAGGTTTACCTGATCGGAGGGATGGCGTACGTAGAACGTGACAGCTTTCTGGAAACGCCCGCAAAGCTGACAGATATCGCTTGCGCTAAGAAATCCAAGGGAGACGTCGTGGTTGAAGAATCGCGCGTAAGGGTAGCCGCGGCCGATATTCTGGACAAGATCACGGCTGTCCGGGCTCCGAGAGAGGATGGAGCCATGACAGCAAAAGCGCCCCCCTTGGTCCTCCGGAGGCCCGTCGAGCTCAAAGAAGAAAGTTACTGCCTTGAAAGCCCGGGCAATACCCTTAATATCACCAAGATGATACCTTATTTGATCCTGGAGATTTTGCATCTTGCCCACGTCGTCAATCTTGGGTTCACTTCCTACCAAAGGCAAATTTAGACGGAACTGCCGTCTCTTTACGTCCTCCTCTAAGCCAGACCAGTGGTCTTCCCAGCTGATCTGGCCATTCAGAGACAGTGACTGCATGGCTGCCCGATAAAACCGGGCCATTGCCCCATCCTGAAGAAGATTCCGCACGTTTGAAGCTACTGGCGACATGAGCTTTTGCTCGAATCCTGTCCCAATTGAGAGGACGAGGTCACAATCACTATTGTTACAGGTACGCCGGACTTCAAGTAGGCCGGGTCGCACAGGGTTGTTGTACTTTAGGCCGCCATCCTGCAATGTACCAAATGAGGGGAGGTGTTTAGGTTTGAAGTAACTGGGTTCGTCAGCTTTAATTATGTCATATCTTTCGCTGTTAGATTTACCTAGGTGCTGCAGTCGTGCATCTTGCCCTACCAGTTGTCAGCAAGTACCACTTCATCGCACGGTACACGTACGCTTCCCAAAGTAATATCTCCTCGGTTGCCTGTGCCGCCCGAAGGTGTTTATATCCTAACACGTTAGCTAAGGATAGACCTGAATGGTATTCAACACACTTGTATTTTTGCCATGCTGGCCCTCACCGTTGTAGTTCGAGATCAGGCATAGTGTCGCGTCAGATATCGTAGTTGCAGTAACGGCATATCTCATCCCGGACGTTCTCAATCCCACGGGACCAAATATCAGGCCATTCCCAAGAGCCTCCTTCAGAGCGTCTTCCAAGACGGCTGCATCATACTTACCATCATCAAGGTAAAACGCACGGATACGCCGGATCATTGCGCAGATTGAATACCAGGCAACGGCCTTGCGTGGGAAGATAATCCTCGCAAATTTTTGAAAGAATATAAGGCATTCCGTCGGGCTCCAATTCTTCCCAAAGAGGCCGATGGTTGCAATACCCCCTATTATATATTAAAATAAGAACCGAGAGGAGCATTTATAGCTTACCTGAGCTTGTTCCAATAGAATAGTCGAAGTTCTCCTGGACTGGATAGTCTAATCCAAGCGCTTGCCGCAACTCCTCCATGAACCCTAGTGGTACGACGCCTCTGGAACCCCCTCCGTCAACGGCTAGGAATCTTACCCGGCATGTTGGCGGCAGTATTCTTGCCTGGAAGCGGATCCCAGCCTGACACTGGGGGCAGCTGCTGATGTCGTAGCAGTACTCGCGGCCCTCTGTCGGCTTGCTGAAATTACGGATAGAGACGCAGAAGTCGCATATGCCATGGCCGCACTCCATTAGGTGTTCCGGTTTTCTTTGAAGGCAGATGAAGCAATCGACGTTAGATTTCAAAAGCCGCCAGTATTGTCTGTCTTGCTGCAGGCATTGTTGACGGAGAGCGGCAGCGGACTGGCCGGTGGACTTCATAGAGGAAAACATCGATATTATGTGCGACTCGATGTCGCCGCATATCAATTGGATAGATAGCTGTTTGGAGCTCGCAAATTCATGAGTTCCAACGACACAGGCTTGGCGGTATAAAGTACGAAAGACCTCCGAAGGATTAAACACTCAGCTATAGTTAGCGCGTCTAGGGGTTCACGACTAGCACAACACTTACAGTGCATATCAGTAGCAAAACCGTCCATAATTATAGCGGAACCAATAAACACCCAAAGGATATTATCAGGCAACCTGTGTTCGAGACTCAGGGCCATAAACGACTTGAGGTGAGTCGAAAGGTTGGGGGGGACCAGACTTTCCTCTCTCGAGCTCTTGATAAAGTCAAATGTGTGTAGTGGTGATGTTGCAATATTGCGTAAGGCTATTTCAAAGAATGCCGTGATGTGGATCATAGAAAATAAGGTATGAGTATTAACTCGCCCGAGACGCGCCAGACCGGTTTCGTGGCGTAGGGCCTCCCCCAGGCCGCTGAACAGTGCTGGAGAAGGACGGTGCTTTGACCCTAGACGATTCACTAAGTTCAAGGACGAGAACGATTCTGCGAACTTAGGATCAGCCAAAACTCTGAGACGAAAGCGTAGAGCTTCTGAGTCAAAGGCATGTCCAGGAACGCAAGTGACAACAAGCAACCGGGGGCGAGTGCTACTTGGCAGGCTAGACGCAGATCCCAATGCTGCCCAGGACGCAAGCCTCTCGACTACACCATCTAAGCCGCCACAGTCCTGCGCGAATATACACAGCACGTCGACGAACAATGACAGTAGTCTGGCGTGGAGATGATCGGTTAGGCCCTGCTGTGTAGGTGGGCCGTTCTCGTCGTTTGGCCAGGCTATTGGATGATTGATTGTCTCATGGCAGACAACCTTCCCCCTCACGTTGGTTTGCGCATAATCAGGAGTGGTATCAGCAATGAGGATGGGATGGTCATCGTTTGTCGTCCTTGGATCGGCGCATATGTTCGCGATACCATATTTTCGACAACTGGATATGTTGGTCCCCGGGAAGAGAGCTCGCAGCGCTTGCGATTTGGCCTGTTTGCCAACGAAGAAAACCATGGATGGGTATTGCTTCGCAGGGTGGGGAAGAGAGTTCGTGATGTTGCCGAGACGGTTTCCGTACTGCAAGGTGAACCCATTTTCGTCTCTGTGAACACGTAGCCACTGCCGATGAGTGCACATGACGATATGACGAGGCTTCTCAGAGAGCTGTAGAAGCAGGGAAATAACCCCATCTTAAGACGAGAATCATATCCATGGCACTAGCCTTGATTATTCCAGCAGAAGAAAGGAGGGCTGAAGGGATATCCAGATCATACCAAGGGTGAGGACTCGAAAGGTTGGGCCAATGGATAGAGATGATCCTAACAGCCAGATCATCCCTTGAAAAGAGATCATCCTCGTGTAGTCGTCATTTTTAGCGTGGGCTGTTATCCACCAATGGTGGAGGCGCTAATAAATAAAGTTGTAGACTGCCACTTATTGCCGAGTCGGGCTTGGCAGGGCACGGCCTATTCAAGCCACCATACCGTTAGAATACCTGAACTACCCGCCCTGTTCACCGAATAGGCCTGGGTGACCGGTATACGGGGTAATCAGTGGTAGCTTATAATCTTAACAGGGTTCCATACGTAATCACATTTGTCATAGCGGTATATGGTCATGTAGGAAAAAGCCAGTTTATTCAATAAGGATTGTCACTCTCACCCCCGCACCCGATCCCGTGGTTCCATCCACCATAGCGTTCTCATCCTTCAATTCCTTCATACTGTGGCCTGCCGTGGTCTGCGATAGCCTTTGTAAGCGGGGAGTGTGAGAGAGTCAGGTCTCTGGGTTGTTGGTCTGGTATGGACCGTATCGCCCTGCAGAGGGGCGGGATTTCCATCATATTGAGGTGGGTCCTCTCGCCCAAAAAGCATGGAAGCCACTCGAGGATATCGACGCCGGCACTTCTCAACAATACGTGCTCGTCTCCGCTGATAGCGGGCTTCATCAACCCTTTTAACCCAGATAACGAGACACATGACTAGCTAGGAGTATTAGCTGGCGATCTAATGCAGCTGGTAGCATTGGGCGTACCTGTGTGATTCTCTCAGCTTTCACTCGCTGGTAATGGATATCTTGTTTAAAGGAGCTCGTTATGCTGAGATCAATTTCGGGAGGGAATCGCGCTGGTGGTTATTAAAGACTGGAGAGGGCTGATTTAGCCCGCCTTCGGACCATCTCAAGCAGCAGATATATGTTGGGTGATGATCCGCCAAGGATCATCTACGGTGGAGTGCGGTGGGCGACTTTGATGGTGATAGACCACCTCCTCCTAGCAACAGTTCATAAAAGGCAGTACTTGTGAACTAATGGAATTTGGACCCTGAGGAACCGGAGCAATATAGGAGACCTGATCTGTCTAGCAATATGACTTCATCCTCGGTAAGCGGCCTCACATAAGAATAGCGATGGTTTACTGACCTACATCTAGCCGGAGCTCATTCCCACGGTGGAAATTGTTGAGGAAGACCCCCAAACGCCAACATTGAAGACGGTTAATGCTGCAGATGCCTACGACTGGCAGCAGCGCGCGAACACTTCCGAGCAAGAACTCTCCGTTGTGCGCGTTAAGTTTGAACGAGAGAAGCGACGGACTCGACGCCTTCAATCTCAGCTTAACGAGTATATTGAAGCATTAGCATACTCAACACAAAGTTGTGAACAGATCATGAAACAATGCCAGCTTGCGTCCAATACAAGTCTGGCCATATCTGAGGATCTGAGGAGGGCGAAAATAATGGTGGAGACTTTAGAGGCTGTAATTGTGCTGCTTTACACGTCATCGAAGGACCGGGACGGTACAGCAGGGCTCAAAGGAGGTGATTGATAGTCGATACGAAGATGCGCATTGCGAGTTGAATAAACTGTCTACGCATCTGGTGAAGCACGTCTACTAGCTTTTACATGATGCATTCTGGCTTTACGTCCTTGATGGAGAAATGGAAAGCCAAACATGTGCTAGTCTTGGATTACTCTTTTTGTGTCCGTTACCGTCGCAATAATCACGATTAGTTATTAGTATTTTCTACCGCCAGCTTCCTTCTTGCAACATCAACCCTAACCAAGAACTACTCATATTTCCATGACTGTCACATCCGCGCTCTTATCCTATTAGTACCTCGAATTTCAAATAGTATAGCCCTTACCATGATATTGCCACATGTTTTAATCCTCACGATATGCGATAAATGGACGAGAAAGAAAATACAGGGCTCTGCTACATAATGAAATCGAGGCTCTTCAATCAAGATCACACGTCCACTCCTATGCGTACCGTTTCCAAGCATTAGATGGATCTGCCCTTTATGCTACGGAGATGTTGCACCTCTCCGCTCGATTGCTTCAATCGATAGTAGACTTTGACGGTGAAGACGTCCCAGGCGTTATAACCACGTAAGGAAAACTTGCAGAATATCTGGACGAGGCGGATACTGGAATGGGCCACACAAATGGAAACAATGATAATTACTGGGAATTTCGCACAATTTTAATTGACTATAAACTTAAGTACTGCGAAAGTCTAATCACTATTATACATATCTCCAACTTCGGATACTTTCAGCATCTTTAAACCAGCAGAAATATCAATAGACGCCGGCACTTCGACATTTATTTTCTTACTGTTCGCGATGAGGCTAGGACTGATCTGTACGATTTCTGGGAAAGCGGCCACAAATCGCACAGGAAATGCCCGCATATATGACCGCCATTCTTCTTTGCACTCGTCACACAGTCGAACGCCCCCGAACTGCTTAATGGCTTTGGAGCTATTGGAAGCTGCGTGAGAGCAACGAGGACAATGCTTCTTGGCACTGCTTTGTAGAAGGCCACAGAATCCAGGAAACATAAGCTTATCGGACTGCGCAATAACTTCCGCGTAGCGTTCATCTTTGACCGGCTGTGTAGCAATTTCTTCGACCCTGTTCCAGAGTTTGACGTTGTCGCGGGCCAATTTCACCACTCCCTCGGTCTCTGGCTTTCCGATGACCAACCCGTCCTCTACGAACCGATACCTTCGCGTTGTCATGTGGATTGGGCCTCCGAAGAATCTGGTGAAATTAAGGACGCAGCGTTTCGCCGGATCGCGCGCCCATGCAACATCCAGCGCCCAGAGAACCTCTCGGTATAGCCGATAGCTCTCTACCCGCGTCTCGCCCCCAACGTATCCGAAAGTGCTATTCGTCTCGCCCTCGGCTCGGTGCTTGTAAAAGGCCACGGCGTCATAAAGGGTATTGCTCAGCTCTGCGATAAGCTGCCACTGATCCTCGCTGAATAGGATGTCGTTGAAATCGTTGCATGCCAGCGCGCTGGCAATCGTATACCGAGCTAGTGCGTCACAATCGCGGAGGCGAAACCAGCCCTGTGGAGACTTTACCAGGGCGTTCAGATAGCGACTGAAGAGTTCAGAGTCCAGTCTCTTGCTGGATTTCTCCGCCGATATGAGCAAAAATGCCCTAAACTCGCGGGACATATCCTCGTGCATTGGAGTTCCACTAAATAGAGTGCTGAGAAGCTCCTCCAAATCATAACCGACAACATCTTTACTACTGTCCTCTGGGATCAAGTCGCCGCGAAATTCAGCGATGATAGCAATTATGATAGTTCGATTGAAAGCCAAGTATCTATCCCAATTGGTCCACTCGGGTATAACACATCTAGAATACTCCCAGGCGCAAGCAAGACTCTCATCGATGATTCTGTCCGGGAGGTCAAAGGTTTCCAGGCCGTGTCTTAGCTCTTCTGGAAAGAACCACTTATCATTGTACATATTGGTACCTGCGTCGTCCCGAGTATTATTGCTGTTTGCCGTTTCGTTGGCCATGGTGTTGTAACGAAAGCTGTGTAAAAGATCGGTCGTAGTTTCAGGTGAGTCCAAACAATTGACACTATGTATATAAATACTTTTGTTTTCACATTGCAAACGTAACCTTCTATCCTAGCACAAACCAACGCGATCATCTCGCCCTGATAATTAACAACGATGACTTGTAGTATCTACGAGTTCTTAGGCTAGCGAATAAGCTGGTGGGTACCAGCTATGGAGGTCGGACCCACTAGCTAACCGATCGACGACCGGTCAGATCATCGATTTAGGTCGATCATCTGTTGTGTGGGTCTTCGTCCTGCTTTATCCCATCTCCCATCTCTCATCTTCTTTTCCACACAAAGATGGATCCCTGGAAAGTGTTGGTCTCCTGGCCTGGTCTTATCATTGAACTCATGGTACTCCTTGTTAGCATTGCTCTGCATCGTTATTATTTGTCCGACTTGTCGGATGTTCCGGGCCCGTTCTGGGCATCTATTACTCGGCTCTGGCACGTGTGGTATATCCTCGAAGGAAGACAGAACTTGCGTCTCAAGGCTCTCCATGAGAAACATGGACACTTTGTTCGCATTGCCCCTAATGAGGTCAGTGTTAGTCATCCAGATGCATCCACGTTGCTTCTCCGTCCAAATCTACACAAGGTCAGTTAGAGCTCTCTTTGTTAATATTCCACTAACAACATATACAGGGTGGCTGGTATCGTGTAACAGCGGTCCCCGACTTCCGATTCCAGAATCCCATGTCAGCGACAGATCCCAAGAAGAAGATAGCTCTTTCGAAGCACTTCGCTCCGGGTTATGCTCTGTCACAAGTTCTTAAATCGGAGCCGGACATCGATGAGAACATTGGGGGCTTGCTCTGTTGGATGGACATGTACGCGGAAAACCAGGAGCCGATGAATCTAGACAGATTCATAACATACACGACATTTGACAACATAGGTTCTGCCTTCTTCTCGGAGTCGTTTGGCTTTATAAAAGCAGTATGTTATCTTTAGCTGTGCTCACCCACCTTTTCCCGTTAAACTTTAGCTAATGCTAGTCAACAAGTTCGCCTAAGAGAGTAATACTAACTTCTCTAGGGACGCGATATTGGCGGGACACTAAGGAACAACGTAGCGTTAAGCAAGTTTGCAGCGGCCGCGGGTTTCTTCATAGTCCCTTTGCGTATCCTTGTTAATCCCCTTAACAGTCGGATTTTGCTTCTACCTATGGGCCAGCTCTTTAAAACTACGTCGGCCGCTATTAAGAAGCGAATGAACAATGCTGATGCTCGTTATGATATGCTCTCGCATTGGCTAGATGCCAACAAGAAGAATCCTGACAAGTTGAGCCTCCGGGGGATCGAGGCGCAAGCTAATGTCAATGTTGGAGCAGGCGCAGAACCAGTTTCCTGTACGTATCCCCCCGTCCCCCCTTTATCCTTGACTGACTAAGACCGTACAATAGCCGCGATTCAGAGCTTTGTTTATCACATGATCCAACATCCCGAAGCATGGCTAAAGGTCCGTACCGAGATTGACGCCGCCCAAGCTCGAGGTTTATGTCTGGACCGCGTTGTTTCGTTCCATGACGCCGAGCAGCTGCCTTATTTCAAAGCTTGTATCAAAGAAGCGTTGCGCATTTTTAGTCCTACGACCATGGGCCTGCCTCGCATAGCGCCAAAAGACGGGATCACTATCGCTGGCCGCCATTTTCGAGAGGGGACGATTTTAAGCGTTTCTTCGCAGTAAGTGCATGAGATAGAGAGTCTATTTCTAGGTAAGCTAACACTCTCTAGTGTGGTACATTCATCGAAGGAGATCTGGGGAGCCGACGCCCACGAGTGGAACCCAGAACGTTGGATGTCAGGAGATACGAAGGAGCTGGTAAAGAACTGGTTGGTAGTAAGTCGCCGCGGAACCTACAGGAACTTGATTGTGAGCTAACATAAGCAGTTCTCCGCTGGATACAACGAATGTCCGGGACGTCACTTTGCGAGAATGCAAATATTGAAGACAGCAGCCTCCTTGGTGCGTGATTACGACATTTGTCAGGTTGACTCTAAGAACGTGTGGAAGTACCAGGCCAATTTCACAGCTCTGGCACACTCGTGGCCCGTCTATGTTCAGAAGAGGGGAGGTGCGAGCGAGAAGATTTAGGGATATGTTACGAGCAATGAATCTCGTGCAGGGAGCGGGAATGAGAATGGGAGAGGTAACTCCCAGAGAGATAGAAATAATAACGGGAACCTCGAATATCAGGAAACGCCCGACTCACAGACTGACCTAGACTTTGGCCTATATCTCGAGCCAAGATGGCTGCTAGGTAGAAATCTATGAAAAATGTTCATCTCTTCTACACCAAACAAAAGCGCGAGATCAAAGGCGCTGTCGAGCTTGGTGGGCACTTGCCGATGTAGCGCCAGGTTCCCAGGATCATGGAGACCCCTGGGATCATAGGGGTTCCTGGAATCGTCAGGTCTATTTTAGGTTCAGGTGGTAATAAATCATTATTATGCTAATTATGAAAAGCAATCTTCCCAAAGGCCGTCGGCCACTTTCCCGTCTGTGAGATTTTCTACATCGTACGCGATACTTTGGTCGGGAGGGTCGAGGATTTGGGTATCTCGCAACGCCGTACTATCGTCACCGGCCGGTTCTAATTCTGCAAGGGAGCATGGCGATGCTGCAGTGCTAGGCGGAGACTGTTGAGAGAGCGCCTCCTCAATCAGGAACAACGTGTAGTCTACCTCAGTCGAGAAGTTGCTCAGATACCTCAGTCGAGAAGTTGCTCAGATGGTGGGTTCGTTCGCTAAGTGAACGTAGAGTGTGTACATATTGAAGAGAGGACATCTTGAAATGTGCAATAGCGACCCATTTCCATTGTTGTCCGATAAATTGACCACGTCGGCGGCTTTGATCTAAGGTAAGGGATAGGCTTGCGACAGATGTCAAAGCTTGAATATCTCAACGAGACTTTTTAATACGCTCGGTTACCCTTCTGTTCTTTCGTATACCAACTCGCAAGGTCTTGCTTTATTGAAGTCCCCTCCTGGATAGTAGAAAATGTAGTTCGACGTAGTTCAGCAGACTTCGCGCTTTTTTTCTCCTCTATATCTCCAAGTTGGTTCCGGATCTGTATGTTTCTCGACATAGAATCAGCCGATATTTTGGCAATTGCTATACTACTTTCGATGTCGAGAGCCTCAAGTAATCCAATACACTCTGTTTGTTGTGTGAAGAGTCTGGTGAGACCCTCACATCTGTCTAAAATGGTTTTAAACTTGCTAAGATCATGTTCCGAAAACTTGTAATGTGTGTGTGATTTGCGTCGGCTCTTGGATTCGTCTTCAGCTTTGGTGGAGCCGGGGGCTAGGAGGTTGGTCTTTTCTTCTGCTATAAGTTTGAGCCGTTTAGATAGCATCCGTTCGCCATTGTATTTGAACGGCTCCGGCGAAGATGAAGCCTTTCTTTTAGAGAGATGAACATGGGGTTGCCGAGAAGGCAGGATCTCTACGAAATCGCCGTCATCGTCAGAGTCGATGCAAATTACTTAAAAAATGAATTAGCCAATATACTCCGTATATATTAAGCGCAACTTACTAGGAACGTCTTTCCGCACTGTAGTCGGTTCACGTAGAATCCGAAGGCTCTTTAGAGGATTCGCACCTTTAGGCTGGGAGGTATCCTTAACGGTATTAGAACTTGGTGGATTGGGTAGCAAGTCCTTTTGGGGCTCTTGATCTGAATTAGCTATAGGAACGAGAATACCCGGATACCGAAAGGGAGTTTACCTAATTGCTCTCCTGGACTTGGCAGAGCTTCTACAGCTAGCTTAACAATTGGAAGACTCTCTACTATGTGGTCTTTAGATGGGCCTTCGGCCGTTGATTGGTCTTGGGAGGAACTTTCTGTCGGCGCTTTCGGAATTTCTCCCTGTAATAAGCCCGTTGTAGGGCTTTTTGCAGTACACTCGCCATTAGAGAGACTTTCTAAAGTTGATGGATGTTTCTCCGTGTGCTGGTTTGTTGTAAGACCTTCCGTAGGCCGGCAAACCTGGACTTCCGTAGTTGGTTGGCTTTTGGAGGGACTCCCTAATTGCAGCGGAGGTGTTAAGGACTCCCTCGCAGGTGTGGTCTCAAAAGGAGCTTCTCCAGCAGGTGGACCTTCCGTAGTTGGTTGCTCTTCGGAGGGAGTTCCCACGGCCAGCAGATCTTCGGGAACTTCTCCCGCTAATAGGTCATTTATAGGGCCTTCCGCTAGTTGCCGATCCTTAGCTGGACCCTCCGGAGTGGTTTGGTCTTCAGAGGGGCTTTCCAAAGGTGGCGGAGCTTTGGAGGGAACTCCATTGCATGACGAAACTTGCCGGTTTTTAGAGAGACTCTCCGAGGTTGGAGATTCAACTGGTGCAGTGGTATTGATTGCCATTTCTAATCGTAAAGTTTTTGTTTGTGCTCTGGTCCTGTGGATAGCCATGTTGTGGTATGCTGAACAATTATGGATAGTGATAAGGTTGTGATGAAGGTTGTGATGAAGGTTGTGATGAAGGTTGTGATGAAGGTTGTGATGAAGGTTGTGATGAAGGCAATTATGAACGTGGATATATGGGAATGAAGGTGCTGATAAAGATGTTGCTTGGTGATGAAGATGCGGATGCCTGTTACTTATCTTCCCAGAATCAAACTTTCGAACATGCAGTGGGGCATCTGGTCACAGGTCAGCCCATCTTTCGGCATAAAATATCGGCCGCAGACGGGAGGGGGATCGAGGCAGATTCCAAATGTCTCCACTGCTCGGCATGAAGAATACCAGCTAGCGGAAGCAGACGGGAGGGGGGTCAAGGCAGATTCCCAATATCCCCGCTGCTCGGCGTGAAGAATACCAGCTAGCTGCATGAAGAACACCTGCTGTAGGAATTGATGCTTCGACCCAATCGAGGTAAAACGGACGCTAGTGGGTGATGAGCCTTGCGTGCGGGATAGTTATCTTACTATGGAGGGGAGTTGACAGGGGACAGGCTGTCTATGGTGAATAGCAGATGATGTTAAGAAGGAGAGAGATAACGGAAAGGAGAGAAGGGAATAGAGAGAAATTCAAGAGGAAAATAAATATAACTTACGATTAATAGGCTGCGGCGAATCGTGAATCGTGAGAGTAATGTGTATGTGTAAGTTCTCAGCTGTGCAGTACTTCAGCTTCCTTATCAACAATCTCAATAACGGCATCCTCAACATCAATAATAGCATCCTAGAGCTCTAACTAGGATGTGTTTCGGATTTTGCTAGCATTTATAAGCCCTACTCCAAACCGTGGACACCTAACCCCCCTCTTCTTAATTTTCGACGAAGTCTTTTGAAAACGGACAACACCTCGCCCGAGGCCCACACTTCATTCTTAGACGCTATATCAAAGCCTCGCAGGAAGCAGATTTTCTGAACCCGCTAATAGTAACTGAGGTGCACACGGTACGGTAGGACTATCTGACCATAATGCTCGATAGACATAATCTAGGAATTCGAAATCCGTCGACCACTCTTCCCAACTATACCTCCCATTGACGGTGGCATGGAAATCGCGGGCGATCGTTTCGGGATCGCCTAACAATGGTGGTCTCCAATTCCAATCCCAAGGAGCATGTCGCGGTGGGAATTGCGCCAAACCTGCTCAGCCTTTTCCTTGTTTGACAACATCAGTTGGTCACTCTACTCTCCGTGAGGGCTCCGAGGTCTACAGTGGAGTGTGAAGAGTTATTAAGATCATAACGCGCCATTAGCCGTGCAACCTGGGCTTTTTCGTCCGTAAAGGGGACGAGCGAGCAGATGATTTCCACCTTGCGGGTGTTCGTGGTTGTCATGAGCATGTGCTGAGCTTTTGCCTCAAGCATGTCCAGCCGAGAAGGTCCTAGACCCATGTTGACGAAGGGATAGGCCGGGGGGCTGTAAGGCGGTAGCTTCTGTTGGGAAGGGTCGAGGAAAAATTGGTAATGATGACCAGGAGGTCAGCCACTTTTTGAAGAAATGGAGCAGAACACTAATGGCTTCTTATACACAGTATTTACCAAAAGACTTCAATCATGTTTTTCGTATCGAAGAGGGGTGCTCACCGTGCTTGAGTAGATGGGCTTGTATATCCATGGAAATATTACTTACAGCTGCCTGAAGGAATGAGTGAGGGCATTTGTTGACTAGCTATGGATAGGACATACCTTTGAAAAGCGTTCGTCTCCACTTCAATAATAGCTGACCGGGCTGTGTTGGCTGAGATTAAGATGGTCCACTCGAGCGACGGCGCTTTACTTTCCACGCCTTTAGAGGTTCACCTGCGTTTGCAATATCTCTCAGCTGGTAGCGGTAGTGTTCGACTAAGCCAGAACTAGAAGGTGAGTACGGGGAGTTGAAGAACGTCTTATGGTGGAATTCTTCGGCTCCTAGACCAAGGAGCGCACCATAACCGTGATTTTCAAGCATTGTGGCCAGGGCTTGAATATTGTACGCGCTCGCCCAGACGGGTAATTCTGGAGCGAATGCTGAAATCTTTAGTGCGAGTCTAGCCCCTATCCATCTGTTATAGGCTAGTATTCTTCCGTGCATTTAGCTCTCTCCTCTCAAGTAGCAGCTCCCAGTTGTACAGTTGAGTATTGCCTTGAGGGACATCCAAAAATATTAGCCGAGCTGGAAAAGGGGGCCCACGTGATAAAGTTTGATGGAGCGAAAAGCCTATAGGTCGGAGGGCGTATCCACTTCGAAGGTTTGTCAAGGCAGAATAATTCTAGATAGCGCTTGCCAACATCTCAATAGACCGTGGGCTATTTACGGCTTCACGAACCGCCTTCGTATCTTTACGTGGCCAATTCTAGTGAGCCGACTCTCTTTCTACGTTCATAGTAAGTCTCCCCTTGAATAATCTCGTGTGGTGAGTTTAATTACATTATCGCTTTAATACTAGGACCAGCCCTAGAAGCTCTTTGCAGTCTCGCTGTAGAAGATGCCTTACTCCTAGTATGCACTGCTCGACCTAGCTATCTATATATAGATGTTGACTTAAACTATGCCTCCTTCGAAGACATGTCACAATCGAAACAGCCCAAGGAGTACCTGCATTGCCACTAGTTCTTCTGACGGCCACCCCGAGGGTAGTGCGATGTAACCCAACAAGGGCCTTTTGATCGTCAGTAGCGCCATACAAAACTAACAAGCAATTTGGGGAAACACCGCGGCAGTTCTTCCACGATACGATGGTATATGGAGGATATTTGGTCCCCTAAAACAAGAGAGCCTTGGCCGCCGCTTGCTTGCAGGCATTAATGCTTCGATCTGACGTATGTAAGCGGCGGCGATGTTGCTGGCGTGTGAAAGCTGAACATCTCCTGCGTGCACCCGAAGGCTAACGTAGGATCTGCTCAACCAACACAGCTAAATCAAACTTAAGGATTGCTGCAGATGCGCTAAAACTTCAGGTCTCACATGGAGGGAGAGGTCAATGGCATAGGAAGGGGCTTGTTCCGGCAAAGTGCGCTTGACGCTCTACATATGGGCTGCCGGGCAGTATAAAAAGCAGCGAACTCCCAGCGACACACTTTATCCCTCATCTTCTACTTCATTAAACAATCAGCATGTCTTCACCAGTCCAGCAGCAAGCAAGCAACCTCGCTCGTGGCGCTGGGCCTGTCGAAGTAAGTCTGTGATACACCATTGACATGTGTGTGAGTTAATTTGAAAAGCATTTTGCGGCAGTCACAAGCACAACAGCAGAGCAAATGCTAGAGATCCCACCTGCCGCAGCGTACGTCCTACATGTGATCTGTGAGCGGAGTATAAACCAAAACAGACTGACCTCCTCTAGGGCTGCACGTCGTGATCTTGCCGGAGAGCTAGTTTCACATGAAGAGATTGATCTCACGGCCGAGCCTGTATGTGAATTACAACGATCTTTTGCTGGAATTGACAATATACAGGATTCCATATCATATATTAGCGAGGATGCTCGGATTACACAGGTTCGAGGTGAACATGCGACATCTATCTAGATAACACATACTGACTCTTTCAGCGTTAAGTACAGTGTTCTGGAGAATTCTCCAGAAAGCATCCAATGGCTCTTCAATTATCCATGTTGAAACCCTTGAACTCATTCCCCGTATATTGGAAGGCGCCCTTCGTGAGTATCCTTCTGTGGTATATGTCTTGTGAGAAACTTTAGCTCATGTCATTCACACAGAGTATATCGCGCTACTACAGTCAAATGACGCGAGGATGCAAGGCAAGCTGCAACTTTCTCACGTATCCCACCTACGTATCCCAGTATATTGATCAAAGCCTGTAATAGGACAAGTGGCTTCATTCCATATAGAAATTGCGGCGCTTTATAGTGTGCGAGGTACGTTTTCTTCAGGAGCGTATATAAGACGCCGGCTAAGTGAACTCTCAGAACGGCTTCACAGGCTCGAGTCCGAATACGCGGGTGCTAGCGGTCATATTGGAGAACTTAGGGAGGCGAACCAGCGATTGGACCGTACGCACACCTCTATGCTTTGGCTATTCGCTTGCTTACTTGATGTAGGTAAATGGAAGAAGCTAGAGAGGGAACTAATCGATGCTCACTGCGCCAATCAGCTCTTGAGGATTGACAAAAGACGTTTAGAAGGTGAATTAAAATTCGCGATTGGGGACCCTACCGGAGACGCAACAGAATCAGATACGGGAAGGGGGCGAGGGAAGAGAAGGAGAGGAGAGAATGACATTTCTGAGGAGACGCTTAGAAACATGGATGGATCAGACGTAGAAGCTGGAGACGCGGGGAAGAGCCAACGAGAGATGTGATATTGTTGTCCTGATGTCTACACGACGGCGGCAGTGGTGCTCTTCTATTTGTTCTGTGTTTTTCGACTCTATTCTTATAAGTATCTATTTAATTATTGAAAAATATGAAGCGTGATCTATATTTTAGCATGGATGACGCGATAAGAACGCTCCAAGGAAGCTTCTAGCAAGTGAGAAAGGTGATTTCAATGGAAGCTCTGAAATCAAAGAGCTTAATATACTTATAGAAAAAGCTACTAGAAATATAGTAGGTAACCTAACCGGACACCTAGCCCTATTCAAAGAGCGGTAGAAGTTATACGGCGAGAAAAGAAAACTACTCCGATTAGTAGTTACTATAATCCGGAAGCGTTATAGTAATTGCAATCCGAGGAAGCTGATGAGAAGACTCTAGAAAAACCACGACAGATAAGCACGTTTTACCTGACTCATCGCCTTATAGGACTCACTTTTGGTTCTCATCTCGGGGAGCACGACCCTCCCATCAGAGCTGCTTACCCACTCCTGGTTATATTGTATAGGAGATCCTAGCAGATCCACTCCCTGATCATAAATACGGCTGTCTGCTCTGTCTGCTCAAAATGCTTTGCCATCTTTCTCATACTTTCACCGAGATCATGTATCTGCTACGCATTTTATCCATCACAGCATCATCGATCACTCTAGCCACAGCCATGGCTGCCTGTTTACTCACCTTGTGCGACCATTGGCATCAACACAAGGAGATAAGAAAACTTCGTCCCTCTCCACTCTGGAAGTCAATGCCAGTATTAGACGATGGTTTCACATGTTTTGTTACTGCTGGATTTAGTACCTCACTGCTCATCTGTTCTCTGACATGGGATGAGAAATGGATTGAGATACTCCTCCTTATATTTGGAAGATTCTTATTAATAAGACAAGTAGGCGTCATGTATTCCTACATTCATAGACCTTATGCTGATTAGAGCAAGGCCGGATTTCTTTGGAAGCTTATCCCCAGCATACATGGCCAATCCGGATTATTCAGATATCTCCGCTGGGTTATTGCCTGTGTATCCGGGGGCTTTCTCGGACTGTCTGTCTTTATTGTTGTGCAGCTCGATCGGGCCCAACATCGCGACTCCATGTTGAAGTACGGCTTGATATCCTTTGCGAGTGAATTTCTCGGACTTTCTAGTTTATATGCCTTTTTAATCTGGTATACACGGCGCGGATCAGGGTATTATCAATTGGTTTTAGCACTTGTGACAGCCGCCTTAGGATGTCTCAGTGCCTTTATCCTCTTTTTTGTCGAACCGGGGCATCGAATAAGTTGGGTGTCGGCTTTGTGGGTAAGCACTCCCAATAACACTATCATCTAATTATTTACTAATGGAACAGATACACTTTAGCACAGCCGCCTCGTGGCTTGTCCGTTCTATAATTATCGGGCTACGTAATGTTTTGGTCCGACGAAAGGGGTCGCTGCAGAGCGGGATACACCTTGGGGACCATCATCAAGCTAGGAATCGAGGGTTTAATGAACTAGAAGAGGATTAATAGAAAACTACTAACGTCCATCCCTGCGTGCCGAAAAAACCGGTGTGCCGAAAAATATTTATAGTTTAGAGGTCTTAAATCCCCACCATATAAATATATAAAGTTATAATCTGTTTGCTATTGTTCTTCAGCTATTTCTCTATAAGGGCTTGACTTGCAGTTAGAAAAATATTAAAGTTTAGCTATACTGTCGATCGTTCTGTTGAGAGCGTCAAAAGCTACAACAGCTATTACCCCCTGCTCTATTATGATAATCGACCCGTCCCCGGAATTCGGGACGGTGGTATAGTACTTATATTAAGTTTAAATATAGCTCTAAAGTTTAAAGACATAGAGCTTAAGAGAACCTGCGTGCCGGATTTATCCGGACAAAGGTAGGAGATCTACAAAATGCCGCATCTTCATAAGCGAGCAAGGATTATCTTCGTTACCCAATACCGTATTCAGAGCCACGCTAGCCGTAATTTGTAATTTAGAATGTCACGTGTAATATAGCGTCATGTGGCGTCGTGTGGAGTCGTGTGGCGTTCTGCTAGAAGTTTCCACCGTATGGTGTGTTGGTTCACATCCAAGTCGAGTTTGTTATTTTGCCGTTAGCTTTCGTATGAAGATACGCCATCAACGACATTAATCAAATCGCGGTTCAGCTCCGTATGAGTGACCCATGGTCTAGCCAGTTAACACATGATATCCCGCGCTAGCCGGACAACGATTGGCTGGTTTCGCGCGCTCGCAGCAATGGACGGCGATGCTATTGCCGACCAGGCTGCCTTCCAGGTCAGTCGATGTGAGATCCAACCTCCTCTCCAAGCAAGTTCACCTGCATACCGACTCAGCGACTCAATGCTCACCCAGAGTCTCTTCACTTCCCTTCAGGTCTTCCAAATCTGATCGAATAATGCGATTCATAGAGCGCAACAATGATGGCGAGTTCAGCCTGACCGAGGATTTAGGCGACAATCCGCCTCGATATGCAATACTTTCGCACAGATGGGAAGCAGAGGAGACTACCTTCAAAGAGATGAGGGATGGTACGGGCAAGAACAAGGCTGGTTACAAGAAGATCCGGTTCTGCGGAGAACAGGCTGGTCGAGATCACATACGATATTTCTGGGTTGATACTTGTTGCATCGACAAAACGAATAATACTGAGCTTGCAGAGGCTATCAACTCAATGTTTCGCTGGTACCGCGATGCTGTTAAATGCTACGTCTATCTATCAGATGTTCCAGAATCTACCTCCAATATTGATAGTAACTCTCACTTGCTGCCCTGGGAACCAGCTTTTCGAGAAAGTAAATGGTTTACCCGGGGATGGACCCTTCAAGAGCTCCTCGCTCCTACTTCAGTTGAATTCTTCTCTCGACATAACAAACGACTAGGAGATAAGAGAACTCTAGAGCAAAACATTTACGAGATCACGGGGATCCCAATTTCAGCACTTAGAGGAGCCTCTCTGTCTCAATTCGAAGTCGATGAGCGATTGTCGTGGGCAGAAAACCGTCAGACTACGCGCGGAGAAGATAAGGCGTACTCACTACTAGGCATGTTTGGCATTTATTTGCCGCTCATCTATGGCGAAGGGAAAGACCATGCATTCAAACGGCTTAAGAAGGAGATTCAGAATTCTCTAAAAGGTACACACACGATTCAAACTTTATTATTGGCTATAGGCTAATTACGTTTTAGAAGAGAGCGAGCAGCATTCTTCCGACCCTCAGAACCGGAGCTGTATACAGGATCTACGGATAACAGATCCCCGAGAGGACAAGAAGCGGATAGAGGAAACGAAAGGCGGCCTGCTGCGAGACTCCTACCGGTGGATCTTTGAACATCCTGATTTTCACAAATGGCGTGACGACAAACAAGCTGGTGTGCTGTGGATCAATGGCGGACCCGGCAAAGGCAAGACGATGCTGCTCTGTGGTATCATTGACGAGATAGGCGCCTTGACAAAGCTTAAAAATAAGGACGAAACTACTCTGCTGTCGTATTTCTTCTGCCAGGCGACTGACACTCGCATCAACAATGCGATAGCCGTGCTGCGCGGCCTCATTTATCTGCTCATTAGCCAGCAGCCGTCATTAATCAAACATGTACAAGAGAAGTACAGTCATGCTGGTAAAGCCCTCTTTGAGGACGGTAACGCCTGGGTTTCATTGTCTGAAATATTCACAAGCATTCTGCAAGATCTGGACCTGAATAACGCCTACTTGATCATCGATGCGCTTGACGAATGCGTAGCAGACTTGCCAAAACTATTGAATTTCATCGGCCAGAAGTCGTGCATGTCTCCTCGCATCAAGTGGGTCATTTCTAGCCGCAACTGGCCAGATATTGAAGAACGACTGGAGAGAGCCGTGCGAAAGACGATAATATGCCTCGAGCTGAACTCCACGTCTGTTTCGACGGCCGTAGAGACGGCCGTCGATACTTACATCCAGTTCAGGGTAGATTCTTTAGCAGTGAAAAATAAATATGACAGTGATACGCGGAATGCTGTTCAGCGCTACTTGTCGTCAAACGCACATGGCACGTTCTTGTGGGTGGCCTTAGTCTGCCAAGAACTTGCCTCCTCAGGACGGGCAACTGAAGAAATATTAACTGCGTTTCCCCCTGGGCTCAATGCCATCTATAGCCGGATGATCGACCAGATATACAATCTCAATGATTCTAGACTCTGCAAAAGCATCCTGGCCGTCATCTCGATCGTATACCGGCCTATTACATTGGACGAACTGGCGTCCTTGGTTGATATTCCTCCTCAAAGTGCTAGAAATTACAATATTTTGACAGAAACTGTAGGGCTTTGTGGCTCTTTTCTGGCATTTCGAGAACGCACGATCTTTTTTGTCCATCAGACTGCAAAGGACTTTTTAATCGGAAAAGCAGCTGATGATATTTTCCCCTCTGGTATAAGAGATATACACTACACCATCTTCTCACGGTCGCTACAAGTTATGTCCAGAACATTACGACGTGATATCTATAGCCTAGGGGCTACCGGAATCTCTATCGACCAAGTCAAGCAGCCCGATCCAGATCCACTAGCAGTAGTACGATACTCTTGTCTCTACTGGATTGACCATCTGCTAGACTGTAACGTTAGAGGGAATGCTACTGATGACCTCAAGGATGGTGGCTCAGTCTATAGCTTTTTATATTACAACTTTTTGTACTGGTTGGAGGCGCTGAGCTTGGACAGGAGAATATCATATAGCATAATTATGATTAGGAAGCTCGAGTATTGGCTTCAAGTAAGTTTCTTTGTGTTATTCCTTGATGTTTTCAGAAATCTTAGCTAATCTAACAAGGTCGATGAAAGTCCCAATTTATATGCGTTTATATATGAAGCGAAGCGGTTTGCCCTATACAACCGATTTATCATTGAACAGGCGCCTCTTCAGTCATATTGTTCAGCACTTATCTTCAGCCCGGAGAAGAATATTATTAGAGTAGCATTTGAGAAGTGTATCCCCGCTTGGTTTGAAAGAAAGCCTAGAATTCAAGCCCATTGGACGGCGGTGATCCAAACGCTTGAGGGCCACTCAGACTTAGTCTTTTCTGTTGCCTTCTCGCCGGACGGCAAGCAAGTCGTCTCGTGCTCTAGCGACCAGACTGTGCGACTATGGGACGCTAATACAGGAGCGGCGCTCCAGACGCTTCAGGGCCACTTGAGTTGGGTCTTTTCCGTTGCCTTTTCACCTGATAGCAAGCAGGTCATCTCGGGCTCTGGCGATCAGACGGTGCAGCTTTGGGACGCTACTACAGGAGCGGCGCTCCAGACGCTCGCGGGCCACTCGGCCAGAGTCAATTCAGTCGCTTTTTCACCAGACGGCAAACAAGTCGTCTCGTGCTCTGACGATCAGACGGTACGTTTCTGGGACGCTACTACAGGGGCGGCGCTTCAGACGCTCTGGGGCCATATGAGCTGGGTCAGTTCTGTCGCCTTTTCACCTGATAGCAAGCAGGTCATCTCGGGCTCTGGCGATCAGACGGTGCGGCTCTGGGACGTTACTACGGGAGCGGCGCTTCAGACATTCGAGGGCCACTCAGACAAAGTCACTTCAGTCGATTTCTCACCTGACGGCAAGCAAGTAGTCTCGGGTTCTGGCGATGACACAGTGCGACTCTGGGACGCTATAACAGGAACGGCGCTTCAGACATTCGAGGATCACTCAGACAAGGTCACTTCAGTCGCTTTCTCACCAGACGGCAAGCAAGTTGCCTCGGGCTCTGACGATTACACGGTGCGGCTCTGGGATGCTAGCATAGGAGAACTACTTCAGACGCTTGCGGGCCACTCGGCCAAAGTCAATTCAATTACTTTTTCACCAGACGGCAAGCAAGTCGTCTCGGGGTCCGACGATCGGACGGTGCGACTCTGGGACGCTACAATTAGAGCACCACTTCAGATGTTCGAGGGTCACTCGGACGATGTCACTTCGATTGCTTTCTCACCAGACGGCAAGCAGGTTGTCTCGGGCTCTGACGATTACACGGTGCGGCTCTGGGACGCTAGCACAGGAGAACTACTTCAGACGCTCGAGGGTCACTTAGACAAGGTCACTTCAGTTGTCTTCTCACCGGACGGCAAGCAAGTCGTCTCAGGCTCTGACGATCACACGGTGCGGCTCTGGGATACGACAACAGGAGCGGCGCTCCAGATGCTCTGGGGCCACTCGGATTTGGTCACTTCTATCGCCTTCTTATCCGACAGCAAGCCGCCACCAACCTTACACGTTTTAAATCATTGGCTTGTAGAAGGCATCACCAAAGTGCTCTGGCTGCCTCCTGAGTACCGACCCACTTGTGAAGCTATTTGGGACAGACTCGTCGTTTTGGGACATTCATCAGGGAGACTTTCATTTTTTCAGATCAAGAAGGGGCTAAAGTTTATTTTGTGAAAGTAGTATGAAAATCAATTTGTTTTGGCATGTTTTCTGACCGATATCCTTTGGTCATATCAATTTAGTACGATTATAATATAGGGATAATTCAAGCATGGTTTGAACGGACCTGTGCCCGGAGTTTGTGTGAGGCGAGATGGGCGAAGCCAATTTTGCAAATCCTTGTATCAAACGACTGTCATAAACAAAATTAATCATGGCCGATGACGGAACCCGATGGGGTCACACTTTTACAGTTTACCGACCACTTGAACCTACCTCATACTTCTGAAGCTTTGCGTCACGTGTTGGTCTGAGTGGGACGCTGCCATCGCACACGGCATCAAAACAATTACTAAGCTAATGTGGCGCACTTGGCGCCACAGACTCCCGGCCATTGTTGGCCTTAGGTTTCTAAATGAGATTACGGCATAAATATTATAGCGCGCGGGGTCGTTTCGCTCTAGCCTAAATAGCGTTAGTTCGCCCTGATGTAAGGCACGGAAGTTCTGATGCGCGTGGCGATCTTACATGAATTTGCACGCCACAGCCTCCATAGGGCTGAAGACGATTTCCCGTGCCGTAGTAAGGTCCCAGAGCGCGAATACAACCCCTTTATATATATTAGAGAGAATAAGAGATTGGTGGTAGAGCTGTAATAAAGGAACTCCATTTCGCTGTAAAAAGATACTCTTTACAAATCAGGCGCGAGAGCGACGACATAAATATGATTTTCTAATAAAAGGGCTTTAAGGTGTCCAGGAGTGGCTAAGGAAGATAACTTATAAAAAAATATAAGAAATATTAAGGTGTGCACAGATTTTAAGATACTTCAAGTCAAAGTACCGATCATTTTTTTCGGCACACCGGTTTTTTCGGCACGCAGGGATAGACGTTATGTACAAACTATACCCTGATACTCGTTTTCCAACGTTACTCGTGAGTGTCTGCACAATACGGCATACAATTCGGGCCCCCGCGCCAATATCCTTCTGGCACACGAAGGCAGCTTTGTCATACGTAGGACACTGATTGCATGTCTCCATGGCCAAGTTGATCAAGTGAGACGCTACTGGGTCTGCGACTTTCGAGCCTCTATTCTAAGGTGTCAATCTACCAGAGTGCCAAAGTGTTTACCAGAAGATCCTCTATTTAATTCACGTCTTTTCCCACAAGTTTGATAGTATTTTCGACTCTCACTAGTTCAAACAATTGCATAGCATCTGGTTTTAACATCGAGAAGCTCCAGCATCTAGATATTTGGAATATCGGTTTTAATCACCCGTTGCAATCAGTATAGTTTGCTATTATATTTTGATAGGAGATTATAGGCATAAATTAGTGCTAAGGAAAGGGAAAGAAACAGCAATGTAAGCGCGGAATAGGAAACAACCAATAGGAAACAACCGTTCAATATCCAACTCAACAAGGACAAAATAGCATAACATTACTCAAAGAAAACCCTCCCTAAGTCCCTTCGTTAGAGCCAGATAGGAAAGAAAGAGTGTTTTATTCATACCTTGGGGGAGAAAAATCCCTTTAGAGTTCTTCAGAGAAGTCCTGGTATAGCTTTTTGAGTACAAATGCTTGCATCGGATTGAGGTTGTTAGGATCCAGTTTTGGATTCTGCATTTCAGCCCATTCCTGCCTAAATTTCTCAAACTCGGAGGGTACTTCGATTTTGACTTCCTTTCTCCTATATGCAGTCTGGGGAGCCGGTGTTGGAGAGGTCTCTTTCCCTTCTCGCTGGCCGCTTAACCATGCCTGGTGTTTCTCATTATGATCAGATGCGGTGTTATAGACGTACTCCTCAAATTCTGTTGGGTTGGCCCAGAGGTGCTTGATCGACGATACGACTTCCCACTCTCTATAAATCATGCCATCAATGCACCATTTGACCCAGATCTCCACAGATTTTGGGTAGTTTTTAAGACCTGTCACCGGCCTTGGTCTCAGATCTTCAAGTGGGCAGTTGTAAGACACGCCTAACATTCCCTTGAAGTCATCCATTTGGCGTACGTGAATCCTTCCATTCTTCTCGTCTCCGTGCCTATGGTCAGGGCCAATTTGCGGCGTCGTCTTTAGAGAGAAAGAGAGGCCCGATCTGAACTTTGTACTTCGTTCGTACCTTGGGGAATTTTTAGGCCCATGCCGGATGATGACCTGCGTTGATTGTCCTCTTTTCCGCCACCCAACAACTACTCCGGCATCACCACGGCCGGACACTTCTCTGTTCTTTTCAGGCGTGATCAGACCCGCATCATCATCGTCTTCGTCAGCCGGGTTGGCAGGGCTTCCATTCCCAATTACATTTATTGGGGCCGTATCAACCGGGTTGGCAGGGCGTCCATTCCCAATTACATTTATTGGAGGGGCAGGGCCAATGACGTCGTAGGGATTGGGTTCATTCAAAGGGTTGGTCGACTCCTCCACCCCGTCCATGGCGACCACCGCCCTCTGCTCCTCCATTAACTCATTTAGGTCCGCCTCGTACTTTGCTAATACACTCGTCATCTCGTCAAATTCTTTGTTGCACCTGTCATATTCGTCCTTAAATTCGGGGTGTGCGCCGTTCCCATAGGACTTGGTAATCTCCTCCAGTCTTGGCTTACATCCTTCACGTTGACTACGCGAGCCCTCTAGAACGAGTTTATGCTTTCGAATATCCTCTGCGATTTTTTTCTTCTTTTGTGCAGGCGTTTCAGGCGTCTTGCTGGAATTGACTTTGCCGACTTTGTCCTTCGTTGCCTTGCTGGAACTGGTTTTGGGGTTGTTACCCTTCGGCTTCTTGCCTACTTCGCCTGATCCCATCTTGAAGGGACTGTATGATGATGCTTACAATCGACTTGTATTTAGGGAAAATGCAACTCTTTATATATTGAGTTCTCGACAAGTGTTTCTTACCTCAAGATTCTGCTGCATTACTATGAGAGAATTCCCTTCAAAAATCGGATGGCAGTATCACCTCCGGTAGCAACCTGTGGATGGTCTCTTCACTTCAGATGATCCTAGTAGACGACATGCATGGGTGGTTGTCCTAGGGCGGATATATGATGGGTTCCATCTACGCAAGATAGGCCCCATCAGTTTCTTGATCCGAACTCGGTCTGCGTTTTATTTATTACTCTAACAAGATGTCTATAGACCTTCCTTTTGTTAAACTCGCGCTTAGGCAAGAACTACGCGGCTTTTCTAGGGCTCGGCGAAACTACAGGAACGACAGAATGAAGAGGCCACTTGCTCTAGCCCTGGGATTTATTCTCGTTCTGTGTTCGTGGAGAATAGTTGAAACATCACGTCAATATAATCGTGGGTAGTTGGAAGCCGTAGCGTTTGTATTTGCTGATATCCGAACAGCCTCCCACCGGAGAGGGTCTCGTAGACATTCTCGCAACCGGTCACGCCCATCGCGAAGAAGGAATGGGCCTACACGCTGACGGTCGAAATCTCAAAATACTGCCTTTACGTCCCGTTGTCGGTACTTCAAACTTTGTATTCGCAACTCGAACCTCCCTCCCAGCACTTGCCACCAGCGGCCATGCTTCTACCTCAGATCAGTGCGTGAGGAATGCTTAGTGTTGCTAGGAATGAAATAAATGATAGTCGGTAACTTAACTATGAAATACTGTTTCGTGTACGTTTTCTTCTGTATAATGAAAGACAAATTGAAAATACCTTAACGGTTGCACTCTCTTCCATAGATCACCCTATCCTTAATTTGTCTAAAGTGGGAATTTAATAGCAGCTGTTACACGCCTTCCATATTATTTGGCATGTTGAATAGTGCAGCTTTCATTTAATCAACAAATTACCCGGACCGTCGCGAAGCTTCTTATATAACAGCACAGGGATTTAGGACACAATTTGACCGGCTCACAACTCCAGCTGCGGCGGCGTCGGGGCTTTGATTCCAAGTATAGAAAGGGCCGAGTCTTTGCAAATTGCTTGAGAGAATCCGGTATTTCTCTCCTGAGAAGACGTGGGCTCGAAGTCCGTAGCAGTTTTGGCTATGGTTTTATTGTAGTCCTAAAAAGATTAGATTTATAAGTATTTTTAAATGACTATACTACGTACGATTGCCTGGCACGTGCAGAATGGAAGGTTCGTGTTGGTGAATGAGTAGGATTTATCTTTCCTTTTTATTAAAATAAATATCTCGGCGTCTGATTTGAGGCCAATTTTGTAGCCTCGTTTGAAGAAGTTCTTTTTCGCCTTGCGAAACTGTTCGGCCTTGTTTCTCTTGTCCATGATAGCTGCCGTCTGTAGAGCCTTTTTGCTGAATATTAACCTATGTCAGTTATTATATGCTAGCACTTGTAACATGGTGCTACGTTGAATGATCTCGTTAGTAGCGGATGATTCTTCATTCGATCACCTAGCATAAGGGATCATCCTAACGCCCTCAACTGCGAGGGGCTAGGAAGTGATTCGATTCTCGAGCTGTATGTTATAGCTACGTTCCAGTTTATCGAAAGGCTGCTTCACTCTCTCCAATTCTGTGTAGTCATGTTGCTCACGTCACCTTCACAATGGGTGCTTGCCAAGCTTGGCGGAATGGATACACTATCATGGTACTCATTTTCTCTTGGCTGTTTATTTGCGACATGGCTACTGGGTTATGGTATCTATCGTGCTATCAATTCCAAGTGGCCGTTGACCACATCCTTTTTCCTAAGACACCTCGTCTATCCTCACATATTCCCTCGGATCCCCTTCGTAGGGACGGCCACACGACTCGAGGCCTTTATAGTACTTCTATACCTGATTACGAACACCCTCATTGTCGTTATCGGGGTGAAGGCAGAGATCGGTTCCCGAGCTGCCGCTATGTCCGTCATCAACCTCATCCCGCTCCTGTGTGGCTCGCGGCTCAGTCTCGTAACAAGACTGCTTGGGATCTCCCTCCGCACTAGCATTGGCTCCCATCAGTGGTTCGGCAGGACCGCGATTGCTCAGATGTTGGTACACACGATCGCCGTGTTAAGAGAACGTAATGCGTTCGCATGGACGACGAATAACTTTACCGGTGTTGTGGCACGTTTCTACTTTGGACCGGGTGAGATGCTCGCTGATTTGTGACAATAGGCAGGCTCTACCTTTGGATTCATCTTCCTCCTCTCCATCCGCCTCGTGAGGCGCGCGTTGTACGAATGGTTCCTAAATTCACACCTGCTCTTGTCTGCGGTGGTTTGCATAGCCATCTGGCGCCACGTCTCCTTGAAGAAGCCAACGGCGTTGTTCTTGCGGGTTGGCATATACCTGTGGACTATAGTGACCGTAGCCCACTGGGTCCTGTTTGCATTTAGAAATTTTGTCTTTGGCAGGCCATTTGCAACAGCTGAAGCGAAGCGGCCCTGGAATGTAGGCCTGGATGTTGAAGACCTTGAGTTAAGTGTATTGCAGGTGGATATCACCGTCCCAAGACCGTGGCAGGTCAAGGCTGGCCAATTTGTTTTCCTCTCGATCCCTAAACTTGGGATCTTCACCGGCCTTCGCGGTCACCCTTTTATGATTACGTGGTGGAAACGGGACCGGAAAGGCTTGACGATATCTCTCCTAGTAAGGTCGAGGGCGGGTTTTACTGCGGAGCTCGATAGGCATAGCGATAAATCTCTCCGCGCCTTCATCGACGGGCCATACGGTATACGACATAACTTTGGAGAGTACGGGGCGGTGGTTATGTTTGCGACAGGGATTGGCATCGCTGGTCACATACCGTATATTAAAGATCTGATTCGCGGATATAATAGCTGCGAGGTGAAGACCCGTTCTATCCGACTTGTTTGGGATATCAGGGAACAACGTGAGTAGTGGGAAGATACTTGAGACCCCAATCTCACATGATAGCTAGGTCACGAACTATGGGTTGGGTGTTGGATGGACGAGCTCTTGAAAATGGACACTGGATATGTACAAAAACCCGTACCTGATTACGAGAGATCGTTGCAACGTTAACCTATCGTAGATTCTCAAAATTACAATCCACGTGCAGGACCATGGACCGAAAAGGAAGAGCGAAGTACATGGAAGGCATTTGAGAATCAAGGAGTACTTCGGTCCGTCAGATGTGGCGGGAACGCTGACGGAGGAATTTAAACTCCGGAGCGGGCAGATCATGGTATCCCGTAAGTAGACCCTTCAATGTTGGATCATGCCTAGCCCGGACCGGCCCTTATTAATCTTAATAGTCTGCGCGGACACAGTCGTCGTAGATAAGGTCCGGGAGCGTGTACAGCAGGAGATGGATACGCGGGTACGGCTTGTGGAATTGGACTTCCAGCCATCTCCGAACAGATTACCGCCAGGGGGCTTGGACCTCAAGTGTCGAGGATAAATTTCCGATTTTCAGTTAAGCATAACCTTGAAAGAGCAAATTCGGTGCAGAAGGCCGAAAGCGGGGATTAATATGACATTTGACCGTACGGAGTATAACGTTAAACTGAAAGAAATAGACTATTGGCTTCGGTTTGATTCACCACTTCCCCCGAGTTGAAGATGCATAGGCACTAAGCCTCTTCGGGATCGGTTTCGCAGGGTACGTAAACTGTGAGGACATGGGTGTTTATTGGTAGTAAATACGGAGGCCCTGCAGATAAAAGGATTCGTAGATGGCCCACGTTGAATGACTCGTTAGGCAGCCGTTTTATGTCACCTATGCGGGATGATCCTTCACATGAAATAGTAGGACAAAAGATTGCGCATATCATACATCCTTTCGCAAGGAATTACCGAGTGCTCAATCTCAATATGCTTCCAATTCTACTGATTATAAACTACCGTGACCCCGCTTAGACCAACCCTCCCTCCGACTCGTCCTTATCTTCTATCCCCCAGAAAGCCATCCAAGATTTTTCTGCCCTAACCTCACGGCGCACCGAGCCCTCCAGCGCACGGTGAAGTTGGACTATGAGCTCATTCAATCGTTCGAAGTCGTGGTCCAGGTGATTCGCTAGGAAGAGCTGCTGATAAGCGTCATAGCATGTTTCGCGGAGCTTCTGTAGGTTCTCGAATCCATCCCGGTAGAACCGGATCTCTTGACGCTGGTTCCCTAATTCCCTAGTAAGCTCTTCGACCCTGGCGGTTAGGTTCGGGGGAGGATTTTTCTTGGCGAGCTGAACCCGCTGTGGGGAGAGTTCAAGCACTGATGTTGATCCGTTCTGGCGACGGATCTGATGATCAAGCCGACTAACTCCCAGCGGCTGTCCACGCGGTGGGACAGAAGGGACAGGCATTTTAGTTCTATACCGCGGGTTCCTGGGGTATCTCTGAGTATTTGACTCGTTGTGATTACACAAGTCAAGATAAACATAGAGCAAGTGATTGACACCTAATTATACTCCTCCTAGCCCAGGGGGCTTTAATTTGGAGGGGGAGGAAGTGATAGTGATGACCTATAACAGGATACTGGTAGGCCCTTAAGAAGTTGATGGCAGATGAAGCCGGGTATGACTCAATGACCGTGATTCAAAATACCCGTCAGACGTGCCGGACAGGTTGTATGGATCAGGATTTTGATTTGGGACTAAGATATAGTATTCAAGCGCAATTCTCGAGGACAAAATTCGCTTTATATCATCAAAGAGAAATTAGACAAATCATCCTTCAAGACGTATCAATTCAACCCTCCTGCAGCCGCCAAGTTTCTTTCCTCGCAAGTGACCTAGGCGTGATTTTCCTACCACCAATCCGTCCCCTGGCCGAAGAACTGCTTAACTTGGGTTCGGTATTCTGTCCCTCCAAGGCATCGACATTTGAAAGCGGGATTGCCACCTCGTCCTCCCTCGGTCGCTCGGCCGAGCTTTGCTGGCTAGCCAGACTGATTTTACTTTCGGAAGTCTCCTCCGATGCCATCATCGGCTCGGCCTTTTGGGCTGCTCCAGAGCTTAAGGCTGCCTGCAGCTTGCTACTGAGACTGTCTGCAATCTCGCCACATCGTGTTGCCTCTCCAAATACTCGGTCGAGAAGCACGATTGTATCGTTGTGCTTCGCGCGCTCGAAGGTAAGTTCCTCTTGACATGCTCGATGGACCAGACGCTCTTCGTTTAGCATTTGCCAAGTGTTGGCAAGGGACGCCTCACTCTGGGAAAGAGCGTATTGGCCCTGCTGTGCAAGGTTCGTAGCTTCATGTAGCTTGATCTCCAGCTTTTCAGCGTACTCATTCAATGATTCTGCTCTGAAGTAGAAGCCACGTAAGAAATCCCACGAGGGGCTCCCGTGATATTCGCGCCGGGCGGTTCCCGTGATCGTCTGTGAGGATGTTAGCAGCTTCTCCTTCTAGGAGCGTGCGCTTACTGAAGGTTCCGGTTGAGACATCGAGAAATATGCGGTATATGGCAGTTGTAGGCTCGATATTTCTCGGACGTCGGAAGTGTACTTATAGCACGAGGCGACCCCCACACCTACGCGACTTGAAATCAGAGAGATCATCTCGATTCTCCCCTGAATCTTATGGCGGTAAAAGAGGCGGCTGAATTTTCACCATCGAGTGGGGCTATGAACTGTACCCTTGGTAGGGAGTAATGAAAATTGTAATATAATACGCGAAGTAAATCGATTCAAGGTGGTAGATTCGTATTGGCACATATATCTACTTAATCTAATATGCCAGAGCAAAAATCCAAGCCTGAACTGTTTTACCCCTGGAGGTATTCCATATAAGCATGCAATGCCGCCCTGTCCGGCTCCGCACATCTCAGTCCAGAAATATCCGCTTTTCCTAATATCGATGCCCATCTAGTAGTCGGAGAAACACTGCTGGCATATCCGACCGTCTGAACGACTGCGGCATGTCTTCGTGCCTCTGCGATCAGAGGATGAAGGGGCATAAAGATTGGTAGCTCCGGGGCGATCCAGTTGTATCGCATCTATAATGTCAGCTGGATTGCACATCTGTAACTGAATGCTATGTTAGGAAACCTACACTAAGAGATTGCTGAGAACAAATCGAAGATCCCCCTTTAGAGGGTGTCGACATCGTAGCATCGTGGTGACCTTTCTAACTTAGAAGAGCAGACATATAAGGGTGGGTTCGCTTACCTCTCTCAGCGACGAGCCCTAGGTCCTTCATTTTGGACTTTACAGCATTTTTTGAGCGGTTTTCACCATTCCTTTCACTAAAGGTCCGCCAAACATTGCGAAGCTCTGCCCCGGGGTTCTCAGAATGTACCTGACGCAATAGCGATAACTCTGCGTCACTCCACGGGGACCGATTTGCAGACATGTTCGGACTTGAGCGGTAAGCATTGGTTTTGGAGTCCCTTTGAACAATGATATACCATAAATTCGCAACTATACTCAACGGAGGGTTTGGTGGCGCTTTTTAGTCGGATCCGCTTTAATTCACAAAGCTGTTCTTAGATCGATGTTGGTAGCCGCGGGGGTCTCGATCAAAATATGTGCAAGGGTCTTAAGGTGCGGGGCGAATCTGGATGAAAATGGTTAGCGCCCGTAGGCCATATGAATGGCGTGGGATGATCGCTGGATCATCGTATATAAACGCGCCTCTGGTGCTTGCCAGTCGTATATGTACTAGCTGGATGCCCGTCTATGTCTACTTACAGCTTTTGACATGGCGAATTCAACAGACGGCAATTCTTGGGACGAGTTCCTCCTCGGCATGCCTCCTAGCACAGCTCTATCAGCATCCCTCTCGCCAGATTCTCAATCCCTCGAACACGGTTCCATCTCGGAAACAGGAAATTCGGCCGAGGCTCAAGATTGGTTCTCAAGCGCTGGGAACAATATAACCAGCCTAGCAACGATAGCGGAGGAAAACGCTCCACACTACCCGAGGCCCAAAAGGTCCCCATCCAAAGTGCTGGGCGACTCATTCTCGCCTCGACGGCAGAGTCAACTTTATGTATCACGTTCAGAGTTCATCAGAGAGATCCGAGCCATGTCGGAAAAGGTGGCCAAAGCCCAAGAGAAGTGGGTTACTACTACTATATTTGAGCGCACTTGCTAATGTGTAATAAGCGTTCGAGATGTGCAGACGTAAGATGTTCCCTGTTCCCCCCTAGATCGAGAGATTGTTTAACATAATTTAGGAAGCTGGACTCGGTTTTGAACAACCACCAAAAGCTTTCTCGTTGGACGGTCGACGTGTCTACCGCACTCGATCATGTTGCCCAACAAGTTTTGGCTAAGGATGGAGGGGCTGTGGCGGGCCAATGGCATATGCCGGACCTTCCTGCCCAACATGTCGCGGACGAGATCGGAATGTCTATGGTAGATGAGGGCGAATGGCACATGCCAGAGGAAGAACGGCAGGTGATATGATTGGCGGAGTTGAATAGAAATAATTTCAATAGTTGAATCTGAATCTCCTCCCTTTTGAAAACACCCCATGAAGTAATCCTGGAAGTATATCGGTTTCGTGGGCTCCAACCTAGTGGTTCGCACGTGTACAGAACGTGGACATGTTCCTCCAATCGCTTTCCGCTGTCGTGGCCGGCAGGGAGATTGTGTTCGGGAGTTGATCGCCCTAAAGAGAATGCGATCAGCTTTCTTCCGCGTCACTGTGGATGCTAAAAGAGCTCGGTATTACAAACCAACAACAAATTGATGTTGGTTTCACCGAGGAAGGCTCTCTGATGTAACATGATCATCTCAATCCCGAGGACTTGGGCCCTAAAAGGACTTGCATGCACTCTTGGCAGGAAAATTTTCCAACACGAGATTACCTGTAAATATCGAGCAGAGGGAATACGACGGTACCCTAATGCTCAAATGTGTTCCTCTGCTTTTGTTTGGATATTTTAAACCTTTTGGTTGTCTCGGATGCAACGACGTTCAAATTAACTCAAACGGCGTTTAAAGGCCGGGTAACGCGTTTACAGCCGCGGTGCAGCTCTGTGTTATGTCCACAGCTAGGGCCCGCAAAACAGCCCTACCGGACTTGTCGTATGCCGAGATTCTCCGCCTTACGCAATCGATTCACTAGCGTAATGAAACGTACATGTACACGCATGGCGCCATATTAGTAAGAATGACCGAAGGCGGCATTGTACGAGGGCCATCACGCTATCCCCTGTAGATATCAGGCCACTATCTTCTGTCGCAGCAGACGGAGCAAAGGCTCATGTAGGTTAAAAGAAGATGGAATTGTTGTCACTCTTAACTTTTGAAATTCACATCATTGATTCAAGTTAGCGGCTACTGTCAGATTCTTGGAACTAGGCCCTCTCCCACCCCCCTGCCGGGTGCCTTTTCGCTTTTCGCTATCGAAACAGATGATCCAGGATGATGGCCGTCAAAAAATAGATGGCCAGCAGGAGGTACGGGGAGATAACCTCAGCAAGTTCACTTGTAAGGACTCGATGCATTTATATCAATAACAGCTGCTTTGCCTTATCAAGTATACACTCAACCATCCTTTCAAACCACCCCTATAATGCATTGGGCGGTTATCATTGCACTCCTCTCGGCAGTGTGTAAGCTGGCCTCTTGTGGAGCTCAAGGCCGCTTGGTGAGTGCCGCATATTATATCAATTGGTATTGTATCTCTGACCTCGGTCCGCAAACTTCTCCTCATTTATGACAATAGGGCCATTTACGATAGAAAGTTTGATCCGCAGGATCTCCCAGCGGACAAGTTAACGCATGTGCTCTATGCATTTGCCAATATATCACTCACAGGCGAGGTGTAGGTTTCAAACCACAAATTTTGTCCTGCGCTGACTATCTCTAGTTCCTTGTCTGATAATTGGGCCGATACAGAGAAACACTTTGCTGGAGATACCTTGGACGAGCCCGGGGCTAACCTTTATGGCTGCTTCAAGCAACTCTACCTCCTCAAAAAGGCCAACCGCCATCTCAAGATTCTTCTTTCTATTGGTGGCGCGAGTTACTCCGCAAACTTCTCTGGCCTAGCATCTACTGACTTAGGTCGGTCAACATTTGCTTCGACTGCCGTCGCTCTCGTCGCAGACCTCGGCCTCGACGGCCTTGATATTGATTGGGAATTTCCTCAAAATAATGCCGAGGCAGCGGATATGGTTCTTCTCTTGCAAAGCACCAGAGCCGCTCTCGACGCCTATGGGAAATCACTCAGCACGCCATATCATTTCCAGCTCACGGTAGCCTGTCCTGCGGGCCCTTCCGACTATAAAACTCTACATCTCGCTGAGATGGATCAATACGCAGATTTCTGGTTTCTTATGGCGTATAATTACGCTGGGAACTGGAGCAAGACAACCGGGAACCAAGCAAACCTCTTCCCATCTACGATTGACCCAGCCAGTACCCCGTTCAATACTACGGAAGCTGTCGGCTACTATATTGCCAAAGGGATTGCGGCAAGCAAGATCGTCCTTGGTATGCCTATCTACGGCCGGTCCTTTGCGGCTACCGACGGTCTTGGCAAGCCATTTAATAAAGTTGGTTCGGGCACTTGGGAGGCTGGGGTCTATGACTTCAAGGAATTGCCACTCTACGGAGCGACGGAGAGTTACGATAGTGCAACGGGATCGAGCTATAGCTATAATGCTGCAAGCAAAGAATTGGTCAGCTACGACAACGTCGCTGTGGTGAAGCAGAAGGCGGCCTTTATCCAGCGGATGGAACTGGGTGGGGCGATGTGGTGGGAAAGTAGTGCGGATAAGATGGGCAACAAGAGCTTGATTCGGACCGTGGCCGAGGCTCTCGGTGGTGGTAATGGCTCGGGCTTGGGCTTGGGCTGTTCCCAAAATCAACTGGCTTACCCAAATAGCCCCTACCTGAATCTCCGAGCTGAAATGCCTGGGTTGGGTTCTGTTTCTGTAGCTGTAGCTGCACTAACGTCTGCCGTCATGTCCGAGGAACGCTTATCCATTTCGTCACCAACACCTAATTCGGATACTGCTTCCTTGCCCTCCCATAAAGGGGGTAGCGAGACCCCTTCAACTTCATCTTCAACCTCATCTTCAAAAGGTGCAAATAGTCCCTCGGGCCCAGTAGCCCAGAGTCAATTTACAACTTTGACCATGCACACCACGAGCGTTTCTACAATCATCAACTGCGCCTCGACAGCTGAAAGATGCCTAGTTGATTCCACCCTAACCACAACCTTGACCGACCATGCTTCAACCACTATCTGCCCGGCCACGGAGACGACCACCAAATCTTATCAGCTGAACTCTGTCTGGACCAACTCTACAGCATCTTCATTCTCTTTGGATATTAGCCCAACCAACAACGGCACGAAAGTGGTTTCTGCTCAATCTCCTCAAAGCAGCACCAATCCTCTTGTTGTCCCTGGGAAGAATGGTATATCTGGGTGTGCATACGTCTTGGCCGATCGCTTAGGTGCCGGTGCTATGTGCTCGTTAGACTATTGTTACTGTGGTGGGATTGCCGCTCCTCTGCTCACTTCAACGTTGTCAGGCGCATTGACTACCAATTGCAATTATCAAACACAACCGGCAACAAACTCTTGTCCTCAGTCTAATTATTATGCCCCAATATCTATGCTTTCTGTAACGGCTAGAATAGTAACTCCCGACCCAACTACAGTATCCAATATGGTTATCGTGTCCTGCTTGTCATCGGACGGCGTCTTGGCGACCTGCATTCCCTTCACGACATCTAGCCAACTTCCAACTAGCACCGGTCGGGCATAATAGCATTCAAACTTTGCTGCTTGGATAGATTATCGGGCTAGGCAGTGCTCATATGACCGGTCATCCGAGCTCCGATGACCACACGTGACTCTACATAGAACATTTATAAAACGTTTTTCAAATGCTTACCAAGTGCTTGTGGCGCCCTAATTCATGGTCCTGGCGACTAATGCAGGGCTAGGCCCAATTGAGCCTAGCCAGCAACTCGTTTTCCAATCAATCTGAAATCCACCTCCACCATCCCTACCAACTCCACCTCTCCCATCCCGTCCACCTCCACCACCACCAGCCACCCCTACCTCCTCAAAGTGAGTATAATATATATTATTTATCGATCTTTACTCAATTATATCATATATCTAACGCGCAGATTCAAAAACAACAAAAATGGCAGCTTTGGTGGCTTTGCGCATTGTCGCGAATTCACCAAATCTGACCTTTGCCCTACCCCTTCACTTTCACCTTTACCTCATTTTGGATACGTCCCCATCACTACTTAGTGCATTTACTGACTGATTTTAGATTATTTTCAACGTATTTTCCAACCGTTTTCTAAACGTTTTACACCATGGCACCATTGTCTGTTGACGATCGCGCCAATGCCTATACCAACTCAGCTGATCGTCCAACCGGTGTTAGTGCATGGGTTATTGAGGATGTAAGTGTTTTTTAAACGTTTTCTGAGTATTGTCTAACTGTGTTAAAAGGGCATGCCAGTGATTCCGGCTGGTGAGATGTTCTGCAGATATGCAGATGACGAGGGTGTTATGTGCTCTGTTACAGTAAATTCCTTCAATTCCCTACCGTTTTCTAAATGTTTTCTAATTGTTTTACACAGCATAAGTATGAAAGCACCAATGCCTTGCGGGCACATGTTCGTCGCGATATTGAAAATGGTGGTCATGGCATTAAGGTCAAGGATGGAGTTAAGGGCCGAATGAAGAACGTATGCAAATCGAGTTCTATATGTTTTGAAAACGTTTTCTAACTACTTAGTCTGATCGCCACACCTCGAAGTTGGCTTTTGCTGGTGCTTACGATGCTGTTATGGCCAATGCTGCTCGTGTATGTTACTGGATTTCTCATTGTTTTGAAATTGCTTTCTAATTACTTTCTAGTTGCAAACCCATTTTGAGGAAATRGCAGCTCAGACTACCCCCAAAAAGGTAATCACTTCAAATATGTTTTCCAAACGTTTTCTAACTATGTTAAAGGCTACTACTACTGCAGGCAAGAAGGTTGTTGGTCAGGTATGTGATTTCTAAGTGTTTTCAAAACGTCTTCTAACTGGTTTATAGGCTTCTAAGACTCTTATTGCTCGGGATGCATCCGCTGCTCGCCAGCAGGTTCAAAACCTGGCCACTCAGCTACTTGAATGCCCTGTTCGAATGGTTGGCAAGAAGGGTGAGCGTGGTCGTCAAGTATGTGTTTTAGTATTGTTTTGTAAACGTTTTCTAACTGACTTCACAGGCTGTTCCAAATGCTGCTGCTATGCGCAAGCTGCTTAACCGTACTACTGCAAAGTGTGCTGGTTGCAAAGGAAGCGGTGAGAAGTGTAAGTGATTTCTATTTGATCTCTAAACGTTTTCTGAATGTCTGCTAACTGTGTCTAAAAGGTCCTGATGTTACTAAACAGAATTGGGCTTCGTCTGGTTGTGAGATCCTGGCTGCTTTTGAGATGCCGGATGATGAATCTGATGGGTCTGATGATGATGATGAATAGATGAATGTGTTTTGAAATCATCTTTAAAATGATTTCAGAACGCTTTTTCTCTGCTTTGCTGGTGTTTTATGGGTGGGATGATACCAAATGGGATATGCATAACGGTTATTATGCAATACAATACAATGATTTTTAAAAAACAAAATTAATTTAAGTGATTTAATACTTTATTATATATAAGAAAGTATAAAAAGAATAAAAATAAAAATATACTAATATTACTTTAGGTATAAGCTGATAGTATATTTAGTACTATAGAATAGAATATATATATAAGCTAGAAGTAAGTATTATAAGTTATAGTTTTATTTTAATTTCTTTGCTTTATTAGTTAAACGTTTAATAAACGTTTAACGAGTATTTGACAAGTATTTAATAAACCTTCATTAAATGCTTGTCAAATACTCGTTAAACGTTTTATTAAATATTTATTAAATACTTATTGAATATTCGTAAAATAATAATTAATTAATTTATAACTACTTGTTAATTATAAACTAATTGTCTCTTATCTTTATAATAACTGTTCCTAAAATACTATCTCGTTATGTTATTTTTATATTAGTAATCGCTCGCTTATAATTCTAAGATTATTAATAATCCCACTATTACAAATTCGAAAAATTACTTACCCCACTTTCTTTCTTTTACGACAAGTTCTTCTATTATAAAGTTATACGTCCTTTTACTTTAATAATGGCAGATCGACGTTATCTTAATCTTCGAGAGCGGCCTGATAACTCTCCAGCCTTTGAGACCCTTCAGGTAAGCTAATAAATCAATCTCTATTTGTTTTAATAACAAGTATAAAATACTAATATTACTTTTTAATAATAACTAGAATACTACCTGTGGATACTCGCAATGTATTCAGATATACCCTGGTGAAATCTTTTGTCGTATTATAGTAGACAGTGAAGAAGAGATTGAGTTATGCCCTGTTAAAGTAAATAAGTTAACTTATAATCTATTTACTTTATATATATTAAATATTTAAATAGGGCCGATTTTCTCGAACATCAAACTTAATAGTCCATATRGCAAAGCATCATCCAGAGTGGCATATACATACCCATCCGCGTGGTAGAGTATCACTTGTTAGTCTATTCCTATTTTAAAAATAATAGTAATTAATAATAAAATAGGAATTTTCACGAATAACAACAGCATATTTTCGTCAAGTCGGGAGGGCGATTGAAGGTCAGGTATGAGATATAATATATATATTCATATAGTATTTTTATAACGTTTTCTAATTATTAATAAACTGTCCAGAGTACGTCTAACTCTAATTCAACTCCTGGTCCGACTCCTGGTCCGACTCCTGGTCCGACTCCTGGTCCGACTCTTGGTCCGACTCCTGGTCCAACTCCTGGCCCGACTCCTGGCCCGACTCCTGGCCCGACTCCTGGCCCGACTCCTAGTCCAATTACTGATATTCTTACTACTTTAACTACTGCTTTAAATAATGCTCCTGCCGACCAACTTATTGCTCTAACTGCTGCTTTAACTGCTACCCTAGCCCAAGCTCAGGCTTCTAACGCAGCTTCTAGTACAATTCCTGGCGTAGCTATAACTGTAAGTATGATCACTTTGAAATCACTTCCAAATCGCTAATAAAACAGCCAGAGAACTGCTCCTACTCTTTCTGGCGTAATAGCTGGCGCAACTCCTAGTATAACTCCTGGCGCAATTCCTGGTACAACTCCTGGCGCAATTCCTGGTGCAACTCCTGGCGCTCCT